AGCTGTTAATGTAAGACTACCTCAAGTGCATTTAGGGATTTTTATTATGGAAAATTCTTGTTGTACGCAATTTTTTGACCAAACTGGGCACCACTGTCATCGCTCAGGCACCATATTCGCCAGATCTGGCGCCATGCGACTTTTTCCTGTTCCCAAAACTTGAATTGCCCCTTCGTGGTAAGCGTTTTGAGTCGATTGAATCGGTAAAAGTGAATTCGCCGAAGAAACTAAAAGCCACACCTGCACGGGCCTACGAAAAGTGTATGGAAGATTGGGTTAAGCGTTGGCATATGTGTATCGCTTCAGAAGAAGCATATTTTGAAGGAAATAAAATAAATTTGAAATAAAATTTAAATTTATGTGTTTTATTTACAAAATCCGGTTACTTTTTGAGCTGGAGGTATATGCAATATTTACACAAATAAATGAAATCGGTAAAGTAATTGTCGTTTACATAATACTAAAAATATATATGTATAAGTCGAAACGCGGTTAAATAACATTAAAACACTACTATGATTATTATTCTGTCTGTGTAATTAGATCTGTTGACATATAACACCATGATGGCCTCTTTTTTTGACGATAGGTGGAAAGCATCAACAGCATCACACAGTGTGAGACTTGAACACACTACAGCCACCTCGATTTGAGAAGATCTCACGCTACAAGCTATGAAAGGCTGAGGCATCTGGCTGATACTCAATAATCAGGGGTGCAAAGATGATAGTATTCATCAGGGGGCAAAGATGATAATATTTAACTTTTCAAATAAAGTACTTGTTTGCACCGTTAAGTTATTGTAAGCAATTTTAGTGTATGTCTCCCAAAATATAGTGCACATAGTTCCCTTAGAACTGTACTATGACTTTAAGAATAAAAAGCATGTTCGTTTTGTCTAATGTTACAAAGCAAGTACCTCAACTCTATCGAATACTTCTCGAAATTTATGAGTACTGAATTTTATTGTATTATAGTGTTTGTTAAAATAATTTATTGCTCTAAAATGAAACCTCAACATATTCAATACTCTATGTTGAACTTTTACTATATATTTAGTTTTATGAATGTCGTGTATTGCCACAAAAAAGAAACACACGATTTGAGATTTTCTTAACGACTGACTGTTATTATAATTTTATAAGTTAATGACAAGTGTGTATCCGTATAATATGTTAAGCTAGGTGCACACCTATCATATAATATAAAATATAAATATAGAATAATATAGTATGTAACAATGAACATTCCAGATTTTATTACGAATTCTTTGTTGTTACTGTTTCCTACCTTCCATATTATAGATTGTTAGTGATTCATAGTATTCAGATGCCAAATCGAACGTTTCAAATCAGAAATGTTCTTCATACAGTAAATCGCTCTTCGATAAGCCCTTCATCTTAAGGAATTTTATTACAAACTCCAAGTTCGCATATAGGGTGAATAAATACAACGGTGTTAAGTTAATCTCTACCATATATTTATAATTATTTATATATTATACATATTACGCGGTAATCGAAATTTTTTTATAAATTACTGGAAAAGGGTTTATATCTCTTCACTCAGGAGTCCTCCACATGTACTTGTGTAGAGTATTCAATGTGTTATTCGAACCAACTTAAAACCAAAAATTTATTTATATCTTAGACGGCAACTAATGTATTGCATTCTTGTCTGAATTTTTTTGAATTTTTTAAACTTAAATTTAAAATATGCACAAAGTTTAATTCTTTTCTGGTTTTTATGAATTTTTTTTTCATGCTACAAAAATCAAAAGTTGCAATTAAAATGATTTTGGTTAGTAAACATAGTTTGCATTTTATCATTTCATTTTTTTTGCAATTTTTTTAATTAACATTACAAAGTATTTATTTGTTGAGGAATTCCAGTTTTAAGAGTCTTGACCAGCAACAGCTGCATACTCATGTATAGTATCTATGAATTAATGGAATATATTTTGAAAAATGTCTCTCGAAAGTAGATTACGAGTATATAAGAAGCTTAAATTCTGTGAATATGGATCCATAGTATATGCACTAACGAAAAATCAAAGCAAGTATCTATTCGTACTAGAAACAATTTGCAATCGCAATTTAATTTGCCTTTAGCAAAAATTTATCATAAAGTTATCTTCTTTCAAGATTTGTATTAAGCATATAGCAAATTAATCAAATTTTTTAATAATATCTCTTCTTTATTTTCAATTAATTATTTTTAAATAATTTTTTTATATATTTTCAATTTAACTTTAGGAAATAATGTTTAATATCTGACCGGACTAACACATATAACTAGTCATTCATTAATATTGAATAGTTCATTAAAAATAAAAACATTTTTTTATCATTGTATGAAAACTATTATTCTGAATACATAATCTTCTTCTTCTTATTTAGCAATAAAGTCTCGTGTGAATTTTGGCCTCCTTCACAACCTGCCTCCATCTGCTTCGATCTTGTGCAGTTGTTTTCCAGTTCAGAACTCCGAGCTTTCTGGCGTCGTCGTACACGTTTTCCTTCCATCTCAGCTTCGGTCTGCCTCTATGCCTTGTTAGCATCGGATTAGCATTAAATATATTGGCCGGATTTCTTTCAGGTCCCATTCTTACAACATGTGCTGCCCATATCAGAGTTTGTGCTTTGACAAATATTAATATCTTTTCATTTTTCAGCAGGTTATCAACTTCGTTGTTTGTTCACCTTCTGAATGTTTCGACGTTCATTCGAATAGGACAATATACTTGGCTCTGAATATATAATATTCAGACGATATTAATGCTAGCATTTGGTTGATTGAAAATTGTTATTTGTCAATTCTAGACAATATTTTTCACAGACTGTTTATAACATTCATATACATATGATTTATTAGGAATTAACCTATATCAAATCAAATTATATAAATCTTATAAACCACTTACAACTACTAATTTCAAAACAATATGGTGATATGCTATACCTAATATGTATATAGATATAGGCACCATACAGAAAAGTCACTCGGCATTCTTTCTAGGCAAACTATTACGTACGCTGAATGTGCCTGTAAGAGTAAAAAATTCTATTTAATTTTTAAACGCCTTATAATATGTTAAATTTCATATCAATTACCTATGGAAATGTAGGCGAAGGCATAGAAATGCTCGTACATTGCAAAGCACATTGTAAATCAACGCATGTTGAGGTCCACTCCAAAAGTGTTTTTTTCTTTCAAATTAGTTTAAAAATGCATAAATTAAATATGTTTCAGAGCAATCTATTCTCAAATTGATTCGCTAATTCAGTTGGGTGATTTATTGCAATTATGTTGAATAAAAGTTACAATGGGAATAAGTCGATTTGAATATTGTGATCTATTGTCACATTTTAACATACAATATATTGTAAGATATATTGCTTAATAATTTTATTTAAAATTTTTTATAATAGAATAACAGATCTCACATTCGAATAGAATATTAGCATATAAAATATTTTCGTTACTAAACGAACATTTTTTTCTTAACAAAAATAGGTGTGAATGCAATGTTTGTTTGACAAGAATGTCAATTTAAATATAATAATAATATTACATTCTAATCGAAATCAAAAACTATATAATAACATTTGCCTTCATGTGAAAAGAAATATTCAAGCGAGTATATTTCAAGCACCTGTCGGACATGTCAACTAGTTTGATATCTGCAAAATTTTGCTATATCTATTAACCAGTCAAACATAATAAACCCAACATTTACACTACGAGTATAGTATTCGTTGCGTATTATGTTGCACAATAGACTTAATTTTTTTGTGTTCAAAAATCTTATATTATTAAATTAAAATCAATTTAAAAATAAACTATTTGATACCAATAACATACTCGTTTGTGTTTACTTTAAATAGTGAAATTGATTAAAATTCTAAATTAGAAAAACAATTTGCAATTACATAGAATTTTGTAAATAGTAATTAAGAGAACTATTTAGTTACAATCTATATTACAATTGAAAATGACAAAAAAAAATAATTAGAATCAGTCGAAGCTTATCGTATCATTATCGCTCGATCGACAGAACTACAAAATGGCACAGTTCATATTTTAATCAAGCAATATCTGTGACAAGTGTAAAATTTAAGTAACCGGGTGTTAACGAAACTATGGAACATCTCCTCTGTTTTTGACTGGCCCCCTTAGACTCTCCTTCTTCTTCTCCTCCTTAATAAACACACTGCTTTCATCGAATCCATTGTGCCTTATCCTCCTTTAATTACCATCTAAAATATTTTTTAAATTCCAAGTTTGTTAGGACTAAACTTTATCCCTGGTTTTAAAGTAAACTACCTCTTAAAATTCGATAATAACATACAAATCTTTGGTAAAGTTTAACATCATTAACTCTAAGAAATCTAATTTAATATCCCTATATTACAAATTATTTGGTAATATCATATATCAGTTTCCCGTTTGTAGCATTAAGATTTTTATTTCTGAATAGCGGTTGGAGATGATGAAGAATTTTGGCACAGCTAATTCTTTTTAATTGAACATGTTTAAGCCATGTGAATCGTTTGTCCAGCATGATACCGAGATATTTAACGCTATCCTCCCAGTTTGTTACCGTATCGTACCCCAGATCACTTGGGGTAAGAACTCTCTGCGATATTTCGACAGCTTCGCTTCTTAGAGACCAAGAGAGCCTATAAAACATACGAATACTGCTATTGAAATCTATATATCTATATAATTATTATTTTGTTTTATTGTTTTTTACGAGCAGAAAGTATTCTTTAATTTAAAATAAAAAAATAACAGAATAATTTTGTTATATGTATATCTATTTTTTATATGTAAATGGTTTAAAGTATCTTTAATGTTGATCATAGTTAAAATTAACTCGAAACAGTATACATACTCGTATATGTATTCCTTTTTGTGATATTTAAAAAAAAATAATACTATCACTAACATTGATTTAAATGTTAATAATTACACTTTAAATACACAAAAACAAATAAAAGTTTTTACAATAAATTTTAAATTGACTGTTGAAAAGAGTACAATTGTTTGGTTCATTTCGCCGATAAAAAATAAATTTGCCCGCAATTATAAGTACAATTAGATAGAAAAGTTTCACATCAATTTTAATAAAAGTTTGTCGGGAAATAAAAACTCCATTTGGTCGATTTCTCTAATTTCTTATGTCATGGAACTGAGACTGTACCAGAGCTCTGAGTACAGATGCAACGGAATAAAGCGAGTTCTTATTCATTAATGTTTTTGATGAACTGCCGATTTGTTGGAGCGAGTATTAGAGCAACTATTAAAGGAAAACAAAAGCAGCAGCTATATCTGAATAAATCTACAACACTATCAGCGCTAACAATTAACTGAAGCTTCATCGAAAAGTTTAAAACGTTTTGCAGTTTTGAAATTCAGTAGTGAATGGTTCGTGTCAATCAAAGGGTGTTTTCAGTACCACAAGAACCTCAGTTGAACTTTATAATTAATGTACTTCACAGTAAAGTTGCATCTGCGTACGTTTACTCTTATCAACTGCTACATGTAAGTTTGATTTACATATATCTGTTAAATTAAAATGTTTGTGGTGGAATATATTTGCTACATATATCATTTGTAATTCTACATGAAACCAATTACAATTAACATATCCAAAAAGTAACAAAGTATATTAAATCAACTCTACTGAAATTGTTACTCAATTTTAAATACTAAAGTGAAACTAAGCTAAAATATCGGTTCAGTGCACAATTTTCAGAAAATCAAGAAACGATTTTTCATTAGTATATGCATAAACATTTGTATATATATTGACAGTTACCAGTAAGTCCTTTACGCTTTTAAGGCATTCTTATAGGCGGACATCTCTTCTAATCGTGCAATGTTGCAAGTCCCCATTTTTCATTTTTCAAATAAATTACATTTTCTTAAACAGTAAAAACTTCTGATCTCTTCGCGAAGGTAATGACTTCAGAGAGCTTTCACTGTTCACACTGGAACATAATTATGTTAAATACGGTGATAGGTATGAAAGAAACCGAAGTTTTTTATGGAAGTGCAAGATACATCGGGACTTTATTGTACAAAAAATGGAACTTAAACATTTGGGGAATAATCCCTGAAGACGCAATGAAGTTGTTTATTTCAGTAGAGTGTGCTGGCGTGTTATCGTAAAGCACAAATTATGGACCAAATTTTGTTTTCTTGTTTTCTAGTAAATTTTCAAAACTTTTGGCAAACAGTATCAGTTTCAGTTTCAATATACTATAAAGCAATCTCGTCTCTCCAGTTTTGAAAGAATAATCAGCTATATCTTTTCTTACGATGAAGTAAATTGATATCTTTACATTTGTTGTCACCGGCTGTTGGTGACTTTAAGAAATGCATCAGCAACTTGTGGACTGTGAGTCCAACATTGACTGGTGCTTTGTTTCTGGGTCGTAGTTGTAGAAACAAGCTTCATCACCTACAACAATTTTATTGACGTATCTCAATTATGGTATAAAATCTTTAAAACTACTTTGAGAGGGTGACATGTAGTTATGTATTCTCTCTATATGCTATTTAGTATTTATTTAATATTGCAACATTTTTAAAATTACTCTGAAATCCGTAAGGTATGTCAAATCGATTCTCTAGTTTAGGTAGCAGAGGAATTTACATCGACTTGTTTTCCCTTTGGCTGATTGATCTGAAATTTTAAATATAATAACACAGTACTATACAGAATCAGCTGTCATTTTTTGAGCTATCGAAAATGTATTTTGCATTATCAACTAACCGACAACGGATGAGTTTTGTTTACCCCTCTGTAATTTTAAGTGTCCGCTGCTCTCCTTTTGCCACTTTCGATGTATCTAATTTTCCAGTAGTAATTTTAGTAAAATGCTCGAAATGGAGTTGTATAGCCTTAACTAAGTTGGTAGTTTATATTGTATATGCATTTAAGCTTCTTATATTGCTGTAAGATAAATAGTTTTTCATTCATGTGAAATGGATCATCTCCATAGCTTTTTCACTACAATATTGTATACATCGGTGAACTACAAGAAATTGATTAGATTTAAACCTATTTTCAATACAAAGACTGGCTTTTATATAATACTGACCTGTTTAAATATCTTCCTGGACCTGTTTATTCTATTGGAAAATGACCACTCATAAAGAAGGAGAATCGTTATTTTCTATAAAAAATACTTAAAAATGTTCGTAATGTTTGAAGAACTTAAAATGTTTTTTGTAGAGTATTTGCGCACATATCAATTTATACCAATTGATCAATTTAATATTAAAATCTCGTACTTTTAAAAATAATTTATTCTGGCGTTCAATTAATTTCGACTATTTTATTATTTTAAAAAAAGTTCCACATACTGTAGTATATCATTTAATCCATAATTTATTCATAGTGCTGATACTTTTATATGTTACAATGTAAAATGGTTTTTCTTTATATCTGCCTGTACTTTAGGCTCTATTTAAACTAATTTCAATTGATTGTCAGAGTATCCAACTCGGTCAGAGTAACTAAATTTACGAGGTTCAAGGTTAAGTTATCTATTTCAAATTTGCATATGAACTGTTTTTAAATTACCTCATCACACAAATCACAACGACAAATTTATGTCAAATGTGCGAGTTGATTAAAAAATTGCATTTACCACATCACATACATATTAACAGCATAACGAGCACTATATTTGCTCACATCCCTTCCCTTGCGAAACAAAAACAGTTTTAGAATTTTGCATGCTAATTTACGTGCACATAAAATAGAAATACCCGTAGAAATGAGATGATTTCAATATAAAAAACTAAAATAAGATTGTTTTACTGATATTTTGGACAATTCCGAAATGAAACTAATTCATTTTTTTAGGTGGCCCTGATAACTATTGACGGATTTCGGACTAATGCAAACATTTTTATGTGCTTAAAAATTATACCCGCCTTTTCTAGGTTCATAGCTGGTACTTCTATAAGTTCATCACTCCACCAAATACACAATCTTCTCTTATGTTTCATTCTCTCTCGTTCTCAACCATATCTTTTACTGCAGGATCGTCATATAGCCTTACGACATGACTTAATCAACGAAGCTGATTTATGTTTATTCACTGAATAATATCAGTATCGAATCTTCTCTCTTAAGTAATTTTAATGTTCTTCCATAGTTTTTTAACATCAATGTGCTACTACATAGTGTAGCAGACCATGTAGTAGCACCGATCAGAGCAGCGAAATATATAAGGTTTAAGTTTGACCATCGAAAAGAGTTTCCCATCACACATACCTATTTAATATCGTAGTTATTTTTCGTCGATTATCTACATTGACATCGTTGTTGGTATTTACGGGGCTGCCTTAATAGGTTTGAAAGCATAATATCCAGCGATCATCCAAAGTCATGCGTGTTTAGTAATTTGATCATAATACTTATTAATTTTATACCGAGTGTATAAGCAGAAGAACTTAAGTATAAGTAATTCGTTTGAACCAAGATCTTCTACATAATTCTATGTTTAAATTGAGAATTGGGTCATCAGATTGTTATATTTCCGATGTTTTTCCTAACAAAGTTACAATCACTTCCAATCGTGTAAAATATACCGTCTACTGTAAGCTAGTGTGACCTCACATAATTAGAATTACATATTTCTTTTATTTTTTCATAAATGAGCTAGCATGATTTTCAAATCGGACCTCTAATACTAATATTTTTCGTATACAAATTCCGGCGGCAAGATCTTTTTTTGTAGAGAATAGATCCAGCCAGAGAATAATATTGAAGGTAATATCCCATAGTTTCTGTCAAGATAATGATTTATATATGAATAATAAAAAAAATGACGGAATAGTTAGTTAGTTGTAGTTGAAGAAGGACGAGTCCTCCTCAATTAGGTAAAAAGCCGTTTTGAATCCGCAAAAACCTCATAAAAGTGGTAGTAGAGAGAAGATCAAACTAAAACCAGCCAGAGGCATTTACAAAGTCAAGAATCTAACTAATGTTAATACTGGAGATATCGCCAAGTGAATTGAAGAAGGGGGCTCGTAGTAGAAGACAGACTAAGTGAGAATGATTTGACAGAATTTATATATAAATTGATTATTTTATTACAAAACCTTTTTTCTTTTGAATTCACGAATATTATACTGTCAAACCGAATAATATTAACAAATTACTTGACGTAAAAGTACACTTACGAGTATTATTTTTAACATTAAAAATGCTTACACAGAGATTTTTCTATAGTCATATTTTTTAAAATTATTTAACGCATTTTTAATGCTGTTAGCTAGCACTTTTTTCAAATATTGATTTTTTTTCATTATTGATGCATCTAACTTAAACTTTTGCTATTACCTACATTTTTTCTGATTTTTAAGGCTGATAGTTAACACTTTTGTTGTTATAATATATATATAAATATATATATATGTAAATATTGGAGTTATAGGAAGTAGTAATTAAATATGCATAACCAAAATGAACGGACAAATAAAAATTAACTATTAATAGAAGTGTTTTTTTTTTAATTTTAGTTTAATAAAAAAGTGTAAATTAATTTAAAGTAAATATGTTAAGCGCACTTTCTAATGATATAACAATTTAATAAGGTAACAAAGGTATTATAAGAGTATATGTTAATTTCAGAATTAGTTGTTCTGAATTGATGTGTCCCCAAAAAAATCATTTTTAAACTTCTAATGCAGATTCAAATCAGTAACACATCTCACTTGATTGTAAAAAAAAACTTTTAATTAAATTTTTTAATACGTACTGGCGAAGCATTGACAAATCGAAATGGTTAGAAAACAATTCCAAACAAAGTTTTTTATTAAACTCGCAGTGGAACCCGCTTTTCATAGCAGATAAGTTCACTTATATTAAATACGCGCTTATGAGTATATCCCAATTAGAATAGAACTTGCGAATCTTCTCAGAAGACGGAGCACGCTTTTCAATCCATTTTGTACTGAGCGTGAGCTAAATTATCAAAAGATCGCTGTGCGAGATATTTGCGGCATGCGTTAGTGGCAGTTGTAGTCGTTAAATGATGCACCATAAAAGCATAGCCATAGCAGCCTAAGTTGAACCGCAAAACACAGAACACAAAAATAACTATAATAATAATAGCAAAAACAACAACAACAACAACCACACCAAGCACAAGCATAAGTTTTATTAAACACAGAGGAGCTCAGAAGTCGTTATCTGTCTTTATGACTGTCAGTTCATGTTTTGTGGATTTTACAACAAACTGTCGTCCATTTGTTTGCCACTTTCTCAATTTTTCTGTACCATTGATTCATAAATTTATTTTGTTATTTATTTATTTATTTATTTATTCATATGAGTACATCCATTGCGCAGTGATTTCTGCCGTTTGATTCTGTAGGTCGGAGCACTTAAATTTTTCAGTACGGTATGCGCGCGCGATAAAAGCGCCCGTCACGGCACAGTCGAGCAGCCAACATTAATCTAAAATATTTTGTATTCGTTACTCTTTCATCAAGGCAATTTTAACAAATTGCCTTCAATTAAGTTTTTAAATAATCCGTACTACAGTGACGTCACAACGTATTTATTACACATTCATCAGATGCATAAATCCCTATCTTAGTGATGAGTCGAAATACGCGATTAGACTCTGTTAAAATTTTACAAACGCGCTCATATCCTTTACCTCGAGTACACAACTCTGTTGGTCACCATGCACAACGCATAGGTAGCAAAAAGAAATTGGGTCTAGGAGTTAATGAGCATACTGGACGCGTACAGTGGTGTCCTGGATTTACATGTTGTAAATTTTTTATTATACTTCCAGTTGTGATGCTACCAATAACTCTAATGTTAATACTTGTAATGCGTATGGACAACATGCTGTTGGCGCTACATTTGCAAAAGAAAGAAATCCGTGATCAACCTATCTATATGGACTATTATGACAATGCTTTGTTTGATTCAGTCAACGATATTGTTACCGAAAGAATAACCCCACCCTTTGAACCACCTGGTATACTAGATGAAGAACGCTTAAAACGTTGTCTCTCACTAAAATTTGGATTAAGTGAAACAATCGATATCGAAGATCGTGACATAATGAAAGACGCACGCACTTCATTTTTACCTAAAGATACGACAGCCATACCACGAGAATGTTTCGAAACATTTAATATCGGAAACAGCTTTCGTGATCTTGATTACGAGGACCCTTATGATGTGTCGAGAACAAGGTCACGTCGTACATTATCAGGTAAAAAATACGTAAATTAAAATAATTTATTTTAATTTTTTTTGATTGGCTTAATTGCTTCTATAATTTTCACTATTGGCCTGAAAATATTGTCTGAAAATGAATTTTTGAAAATGAACAAACTTTTATAAAAAAATAGAGTTTACTGATTTAATAATATATAATTTTTATTATATATTGTTATCTTCTTGTTATTAAAATTGAATTTTTAATTACTTTTAATTATAAATTTTCTTTTTTTAACCATTTACGTTTTTCATTAATAGTTAACTAGAGAATTTAATTTTTTATTGTTAATTAATATTAAAATTAATTAAGGAAATGAGATAATTATATTTAAATTTAAATTTAAACTTAAAAAAAATTATTTTAGGTTGTATTTTTATTATTTGCATTTTTTTTTAATTTAAATACTACCTTGGATTTATTTTTCTGCTATCCATACAATGTGGAACAAATTTTATGTATTTTAAAATATATCGAAGGATATATAGATGTATATATATATATATATATATATAGATATATAGGATAGAATAGCATATTAGCATTTTCATTGTTATACTAATATAGATTTTATTTTTATACTTAACATTGTAGTAGCTAAAGCTGATAGCAGCACTTCTGAATCAGATAGCGACTACTACTTCGATCCATTTAGCAACGAAGATGAAGCGAGTATAATAGAGCAGACATCATCATTACAATCCTTCTGGAACGAGCAAGGTACAAAAGATAGCATACGTATGACTCAAGCAAATACAATGAAACGCTATATGGATACTTCAGTTGACCCGTGTAATGACTTCTACAAATATGCTTGTGGCAATTGGGAGAAATTACATCCGATACCTAAAGACAAGGCTGGTTTTGATACTTTTGAAATGTTACGAGAAAGTTTAGATGCAGTTTTAAAGCTTTTACTGGAGGCCAATGATGAAAGTTTAAATAACAATAAACAGAAACACAAAATTTTACACATACAGGATAATAATTTTGATCATGATGTGGAGGTTAAATCAGATATTGCATCATCGCCAGCTACAAGTAATGGTGCAGTTGCAGCAGCTTCTGAAAGGGTGGAGATATCTGAAGATGCCCAAAAATCACTAAAAGAAAGGGAAACACAATTACGTAAACAAATCGTTAGTCGAAGAGATGAACTTAGTCGCTTACTTATGCGCTACAAACGTCAGCTATTGATTAGTGGCAACAAACAAAAAAGTATTGCAACACTCGTTAATGTCAATTCAATAAGTGCCCTCAACCCATTGCAACCAATAAAACCCAAAACGGAAGATAACTCAAATACTGCACAGCTAAAGGCAAAATATCTTTATAGATCTTGCATTAATAGTCGTTTACTAAATAAACGTGGCATTGAGCCTTTAATAACACTTATTAATAAGCTTGGAGGCTGGCCTGTCTTAGATCCAAATTGGGATGGTAGCCATTTTGATTGGTTAAACTTAACGGCACAGCTACGACGTTACAATAATGACATAATGTTAGTACAATGGGTAGGTCCAGATATAAAAAACTCTGATGAAAACATCATTCAATTCGATCAAACGAGTTTGGGTCTACCAACTAGAGAATACTTTTTACAAGACATGAATCGCAGATATCTGCAAGCTTACCAGCGTTTTATGTCTGAAGTCATGCAAAAGCTAGGAGCATCCCAAGAAATTGCTGTGAAGACTGCCGCTGAGATTGTAGGTTTCGAAACTCAACTTGCGGGCATCACTTCTCCAGCAGATCAGCGGCTAAACGTAACCAAACTTTACAAACGGATGACACTAAAACAGTTACACGAAATCGTACCAGAAATAAATTGGGTGCGCTATTTAACAATTTTACAGGAGCGCAATGTGCAGGATTCCGAACAGATTGTGGTATATGCCATGGATTATATGCAGGAATTAGTATCACTACTTGCAACAACTCAACCACGTACCGTTTCTAATTACATACTTTGGCGTTTTGTACGCCATCGTATTAATAATGTTGATGATCGATTTGAAGATATCAAACAAAATTTCTATCACACCCTTTTTGGTCGTGAAGAAAGCCCTTCTAGATGGAAAGTTTGCATTGCTCAAGTAAACACCAATATGGGCATGGCATTAGGCTCTATGTTCGTCAAAAAATACTTTGATGAGAATAGTAAACGTGATACACTTAGAATGACACATGAATTACAACAAGCATTTCGTGATGTACTCAAAACTACTGACTGGCTAGATCCAACTACAAAGCATTTAGCAGAATTGAAAGTTAACGCAATGTCTCTCAAAATTGGTTATCCCGATTTTATATTAAATCAAGCTGAACTTAATGAAAAATATGCTGGTATTGAAATACATCCAGAAAAGTATTTTGAAAATACCCTAAACGTATTACTCCATACATCAAAAATTGAACAGGGAAAATTACAGGAAGCTGTAAACAAGACAACATGGCAAACTGCTCCAGCTATAGTTAATGCATATTATAGCCGTAACAAAAATCAAATAATGTTTCCGGCAGGTATATTACAGCCACCATTTTACCATCGCCACTTTCCAAGAGCACTCAACTTTGGTGGCATCGGTGTAGTTATCGGGCACGAACTAACTCATGGCTTTGATGACAAGGGTCGATTATTTGATAAGAATGGTAGCATACACAAATGGTGGACAGACTCTGCTATTAAAGGATTCGATGAACGTGCTCGATGCATAATTGCACAATATAGCAACTATACAGTTGGAGAAGTTGGTATATCCCTTAATGGAGAAAGTACTCAAGGTATGCTTCGCAATTATCGTTTTAATATTCTTTAATAAAATATATACTTATTAGGAGAAAATATAGCAGACAACGGTGGACTGCGCCAAGCTTTTCATGCTTATAAGCGTTGGTTGGTAAGCAACCCTCAAGAAGCATCTGATGAACGATTACCTGGCATTGATATGAGTGGAGAGCAGTTATTCTTTTTAAATTTTGGTCAAGTATGGTGTGGAGCTATGCGTCCAGAAGCTGTTCGTAATAAGTTAAATACTGCCATACACAGTCCAGGAAGGTTTCGCGTAATTGGCACACTTTCGAATTCCAACGATTTTGCACGTGAGTTTCGGTGTCCTAGAGGTTCTCCAATGAATCCAGTTCACAAATGTAGTGTATGGTAAAGACGACTCAAAATAGTATTACCAATGAATACAGTCCAAATCATTCAAACCAATTTACTCCTTGTTTTTCCCACCAATATCAAGTAACACTTATCAATGACTTCTTAGAAGTTTCAGCTAAGCGAAGGTAAACTAAATAATAACCAGTACATACACGATTTAGCACGATTGATGAAGCTATCGTTTTCTTGTAGATTTTGTTCCATGTACTGATGTTTCTCAAACTGTGTCACTCTATAAATTAGACAAGGATTATAAAGAGCCTAAGGCGCAAGCAATCAAACATTAATTTTAAGCAATGCATTTTATTTTTTAAATATTTTGTTTTAATTTTATTTATTAAATTATCTAAACAACTAAATTTAATTATATTTTGTAATTAATGTTTTTAATACGAATATATTAATAAAAGAAATCTTATTTTATAAAACTAAAATATTCTGGAAGAGAAAATTACTCAAATTTTAAATAAATAATGTTTTCTCTTAAACATTAAAAATATAACAAAATTGGATTTATTTTTATTGAGCCAAAAATTGTTTAAATTAAGAATTTTCTGAAAGTATTTAGTTGTTTCCATGCTCTCCACGTGTGCGGGAGTACCATTTGTATCTGGCGAAAGTATCTATCGTTTTAAATACTTTTCAGTGTGGACAGTTAAAAAAGCAAGAAATAAGATGAGAAAACCTTTGAAAATTAAATTTTTAGTTACATACTTGTTTTCATTGATATTTAGTGGTGCAGTAAAAGTAACCATGGCTTATTCACAGCTGGATTCTTATAATTTTGAGTCTAACCAGGGCACAAGCAGCAGCATACGTATCGGTAAGCATGCACTCATAATAGGAAGAGTGTCTTTTTTATATTGCACATATGTCAGCTTATTTACTCTCAAACTAATTGTGTGTATGGCATCTTATTTATTATTACGATATGTCCGATTTTATAGACAAAACTTACAAATTTCTTAGGTTTGATCTCCGATTTCAATACTGAACATTTACGCACTGCATTTGAGTTTGGAATATTCAAAGCGAACTCTGACTTAAGCGTTCCTCTAGTGGGAATAACTGAAGAAATCAATTACGGAAACTCTCTTCAAGCAAATGATAAATTATGCCAATTAATGAAGGTAGGTATAATTAATAATATGAAAGATGGCATATTTTATCTCAATTAACTCAATTCCTTTCTAGGATAGTATTGGTGGGGTATTTGCTCCAACAGCAAAACATACTGCAGCTCATCTCATGCAAATATGTGATGATAAAGATGTACCATATATTTATCCACGGATGACTGACAAGTACGATGGTTTTAATTTATTTCCTCATCCAATAGATGTAGCAACTGCTTTACATTCTATCATAAGTGCTTTCGAGTGGTCACGGTTTATATTTCTTTATGAATCCTGTAAGTAAAGATTTGTTAAGTTATGGTAGTGATCCAAAGCGAAATATTTGTACTACTCGTAGTGAATTTTAGAACCTAGTATAATAATCAATTGTAAATGTACTTAATGTGATGTACGTATAGTTTCTATTAAACTAACGTTCAGTGAACTGGAATACCGACTAATAACCTAAGAATCATTTTCTTATTATTTTGACCATGTTTCTTTAATTTCTTTTATTATTTTCACTAATACATTTTAGCCAATTATCATACGATATTAGATGGACTAATGTCATTTTATAGTAGCAATGGACCAGCCATATCTGTTGTGCGTTATGATTTAAATTTAAATGGTAACTACAAACCCGTACTGCGTCGTGTTCGGAAATCTGTAGATAATAGAATTGTAGTTGTGGGGTCTACACCATCGGTTGCTGAGCTTTTAAAGCAGGTTTATTTAAAACATATTGATTACATCAAACGTTTATTAATAACGGTTAGTCTTTTAGGCACAGCAAGTCGGTATGATTAATGAGGACTATAAGTATATAATCGGGAACTTGGACTTTCAAACTTTTGACTTGGAAGAATTTAAATATAGTGAAGTTAATATTACTGGTTTCCGAATGTTTTCAATAGATAACCCACAAATACGAGAGTTAATGGATCGTTTAAATGAAGATAAACTTGCAATGCAGTACGGAAAGCCCAAAGAAAAAACTAACGAAGAAGGTAAAGATATAGTATATAAATGATATATAGCTTTTTGTTATATAAAAATACTTTTATATTTTTTATTTCTCAATTTCGACTAAAAAAAATATAAATATTATTGTATTTTGGATTTATTGAAAAAGTTTCATTTGTCCTTATAGGATCTTGTCCTATAACAATTGATATGGCATTGACATATGATGCCATACAGGTATTTGCTGAAACTACTAAGCACTTAATATATAATCCTCAACCACTTAATTGCTCAGACACAAATGATAATGTGCAAAATGATGGTTCAACTTTCGGAAATTACATGAAATCGGTACTTTTATAATACTCATAACTCATAACTCATAACTCTGTTGCCGCAATTTTTTAATGACTTCATATTTTTTATAAATTCCTTATAGCTCGATATCTCAGATAAAACTATTACAGGCCGTATTTACTTCGAAGGTAATATTCGTAAAGGATATACGTTTGATGTTATTGAATTACAGCAATCAGGAATTGTTAAAATTGGCACGTGGAACGAATATACCAATTTAACTATTGAACGTCCTCCACTTAAAAATTTGGTAAGCCAAACCATTGATGATTCCCTAGTTAATAAAACTTTCGTGGTGCTAATATCGGTTGAGGTAAGATATAGATATATAATTATGACAGATCTTCACATTTTCGTTAACATTGTCTATCATAAGACCAAACCTTATGCCAGTTTAGTGAAAACTCATAAAAAACTGGTGGGTAATGATCAATACGAAGGGTATGGAGTTGATTTGATAACTGAATTAGCGGACAGATTGGGTTTTAATTTTACACTAGTGCCAGGTGGAAATGATTATGGTACTTTCAATAAAACAACTAATGAAACATCAGGAATGTTAAAAAAAATTGTGGAAGGTGTAAGTTTAAAGATATTATTTATATAATTTATTTTGCTGACTTATATTTATTTGTATATAGGAAGCAGACTTAATCATAACTGATCTAACCATAACTTCTGAACGCGAAGAAGTTATTGACTTTTCTTTACCTTTTATGAATTTAGGTAGAACTTCATAATTTAGTTTATACAATAAATGATACATATATACTATTTAACATTACAGGCATATCAATTTTATTTGTAAAACCAAAAAAAACTCCTCCCGCTGTCTTTTCTTTCATGGACCCTTTTTCTGAAGAAGTTTGGTGGTATTTAGGTTTGGCCTATTTGGGAGTATCATTAAGTTTTTTTATATTAGGTCGATTGTCACCAACAGAATGGGATAATCCATATCCATGCATTGAGGAACCCGAGGAATTGGAAAATCAATTCACAGTAAATAATTCCTTATGGTTTACTACAGGAGCACTTCTGCAACAAGGTTCGGAAATAGCGCCCAAGTATGTTTGTATTTCATATTTCAAACTTCTATTTGATATAATAGTATTAAACTCATAAAAAAAGGGCGCTTTCTACACGAACTATTGCCTCTATATGGTGGTTTTTTACACTAATTATGGTCTCATCTTACACAGCTAATTTAGCTGCCTTTCTGACTATAGAAAACCCTACCAGTGTTATTAACGACGTTAAAGATTTATCTGAAAACAAGGGTGATGTTCAATATGGCGCTAAAAGAACGGGATCCACCCGTGCTTTTTTTGCAGTGAGTTTTATAGTGAATTGTATTATTCTTTATTTCAATTAAATAAAGTTTATTATATATGTTATTTCAGACATCAGAGGAAGAAATTTATAAAAAAATGAATGAGTACATGACAAAGAACCCAGGTTACCTTACTGATGGTAATGAGGCTGGTGTTCTTCGCGTAAAAAGTGAATCCAATTATGCATTTCTAATGGAATCAACTTCAATCGAATATAATACTGTACGCGAATGTAGTCTTATGAAAGTTGGAGATCCTTTAGATGAGAAAGGCTATGGCATTGCAATGAAAAAAAGTACTGCAAAATATTAATTTTTTATTTAATCTACTATTAATAAACATACTTGCATTAATTTTATTTTAAGTTTTGAGTCGTTACTTCCAAATACTTTGATTAGTTATTCAATTACTAATATTTATTATTTACATTATTAAATATAAATATATTACTTATTAATATAAACAGATTGGCCTCACCGTGACAAATTCAATAATGCAATGTTGGAACTGCAAGAACAGGGAGTACTTGCACAAATCAAAACCAAATGGTGGAATGAGATCGGTGCTGGTGTGTGTGAAGTATGGTACCATGTACTCATTTATTGTTGAATCATTTTTTATAAAACTGTTCATTTGCAGTCTAAAACCGGATCAGGAGATGCATCTGAATTAAATCTGCACAATTTAAGTGGTGTCTTCTATGTTCTAGTAGCAGGAAGCTGCTTTTCAGTAGTTTTTGGTGTTGTACAATGTTGCATAGATGTCGGGAAGAAAGCAAACTATTACCAAGTAATGTGTTTTAGTCCAGAATGTGAAACATGTTAAACATGTTATTGAATGTGAAACATGTATTTTGATTAATTTTGTAGGTACCATTTACGGCTGCTCTCTTTGAGGAATTTAAGAATGTGGTACATTTTTCGAATAACGAGCGCACATTGAAGAGCGCTACATCAGTTTACTCACGCAGCAGGAACTCTTCAATGTCAATAAATTCTCTGGAAACCGACTCTGATAAAACAGCAACAAAATAATGAATTTCTTAAATTTAATATATGAAAAACTAGCATTTTCTTTATTTCATTTTCATCTTCAAACAAATTGAAAGGAATCAAAGAGATTGTTTTTTTCTCAATAAGAGTGTCCGCTTATTATAACAGTTTGTTAGAGATTCTAAAAAACGTTGATTTAAAATAAATTGAGCATTTATATATATAGCAGTGTGTTTTGTTTTCAATACGAGTGTATATATATATATTCTTTTGAAAGACTCATTAGTTTTCAATTTTTCTTCAACGGGAGTGCAGTCAAAATTTTATTCACTGATATGTGCTTATAATATACAAAAATAGACATCCACATGTCATAACAAAAATAAATCTGGAAAATTGCAATATGATAAAAATGATAAAAAATGTATTGCAGATACAAAATTTTTAAATTTTTGTTCATATTTTGTGAAATAATCATCTGTAATGCACAATCTAATGATCGTTATAGTAAAAATCGCAACTACGGTTATCAAGAGGAAATTGTGCCCATACCGATTGGTAAGTACTCAAAACCCATATTCTCGTTCTTTGGCGGAATTAAATGAAATACATGAAGTTCAAATAGGGTTAATTAAGGTTAATTAACCATTACCTACAAATTAATTTTCGAACATGAGTATTTTACAAATAACTACGATCCTGGACGGAAGGGTCCTGAATGAACCCTGGAAAAAACAATTAAACAATGCTTAATTTCTTTCAAAATAAAAATAGTAATAATTTTACAATTAATTTCATTTGGAAGCATATTTTTGTTTTTGTTTTTCTTTTGAATCAATCATATATCACATGATCTCATTTTTCGTTTTCATTTCATAAAAAATATATAGAATTAGAAGAAGATAGAAGAATTGAAGAACCAAAATAAATTTTTCGATAAATAATCATTATTAATAATCATAGGATTAATAACCGATCAAAATACTTACGAACTGGGTCGAGTTTTCGATTACGCAATAGAGGTAGCTAATGTAGACACCAGCTCAACTAGACCTCAACTATTCGCAAAAAAGGACGAACTCAATTATGGCGATTGTTTTGAAGGCTATGAAAAACTATGCCAAATGTTGGAAGTAAGTACATACTACATTGGGTGGAGGAAATCTTACAACAACCAACAACTACTTTACTTCTTTCAGACAGGTGTTGCCGGTATATTTGGTCCTTCATCCAAACACACTGCCGAACACCTTATGACTGTTTGTGAATATAAAGATATACCTTATTTTTACCCTTTCTTAAATAGAAACTTGTTAAGTTTTAATTTAAGTCCGCATCCAGCTGATCTGGCATTAGCTCTTTATTCGCTTCTAGCTGCATATGAATGGACAAAATTTACGTTTCTATATGAATCTGGTTAGTAAAAAGTTAAAAAAAAGATGAAACAACCATTTAATAATATTTTTTCAAAGTTGAAGATTTAAACATGCTTCATGAATTAGTGTCACATTATAAGAAAAATGCTCCTATTATCACTGTTTTAAGGTACGATTCCGAACTGAATGGCGATTACAAACCGATTTTAAGAAGAGTGCGCAAATCGACCGATAACAATATAGTTGTAGTAGGTTCAACTAATACCATGGAGGAATTCTTGAAACAGGTTATTACCTATCCTAACTAAACTATAATTAATAAAAAACATTAAATCCATCTTATTTGATTGTAGGCACAACAAGTTGGTATTATTAACGAAAGTTACAATTACATAATTGGCAACCTGGATTTTCATTCCTTTGACCTAGAGGAGTATAAGTATAGTGAAGCAAACATAACAAGCTTTCGCATGTTTTCTCCAGAACAACCCAACATGCAGAATTTATTAAATTCAATTGACTACACAGATGTGGAAGAAATCTTTAGAAATGGTATTTAAGTTATGTAAAAGATCAATACAGAAACAGAAATTTTTTTTTAGGATCTTGTCCCATAACAATGGAAATGGCTTTGACATTCGATGCAGTGCAATTATTCGCAGAAACTTTAAAACATCATAGCCTTCGTGCTATTGGAGTTAGTTGTTCTAAAAATAATGACAACGTTTTAGAGGATGGTTCTTCATTTCGAAACTATATGCGCTCGGTTATACGACTTTTTATTTCAATCCCTTAATCGCATTACTTAATCAGCAAATACTTGTTTTCTCTAGATGGATATTCAAAACAAAACATTAACTGGTCGCATTTTTTTCGATGGATATGTACGTAAAGGCTATACATTTGATGTTATTGAATTGCAACCCTCAGGTATTGTAAAAGTTGGAAGTTGGAATCAAAATGACGGATTCAGTGCTCAAAGACTAGCACCTACTAAGTCCCAATTTGATAATGTAGATAATTTATTAGCGGATAAGACTTTTACGATATTACTATCAGTATCTGTAAGTGTGTTATAAAATTTACATTACATTACATTACTCATTACAGTATCATAGAAAATTTATCAATTAACATTTTTCAGAATAAACCTTATGCTAGCGTAGTTGAAAGTCATCAAATGCTAGAGGGTAACAACCGGTACGAAGGATATGGTGTTGACTTAATAAAAGAACTGGCTGATAAGCTTGGTTTTAATTACACTTTCATGAACGGTGGCAACGACTATGGTACCTTTGATAAGAACACAAATAAATCAACTGGTATGCTTAAAGATATTATCGAAGGTGTAAGTTACATAAAATTTTTGTTATCACTATATTTACCTTTACCTATTTACCTTCAAATATAGACAGCAGACTTGATTGTAACAGATTTAACCATAACATCAGAACGTCAGGAAGCAGTAGATTTTTCAACACCATTCATGAGTTTGGGTAAACATATGTTGAATATTCTTATTATACTAAATACATATAACGATTTCCTTTTAATGATTTTCAGGTATTGCGATATTATACGTAAAACCTCAAAAATCAAAACCAGCGTTATTTTCATTTATGGATCCGTTCTCTAAAGAAGTGTGGTGGTTTTTGGGTTTAACCTATTTGGGAGTATCGTTAAGCTTTTTCATACTAGGTCGTTTGTCCCCAACTGAATGGGATAACCCATTTCCTTGTGTTGAAGAGCCAACTGAACTGGAAAATCAATTTACTATAGGAAACTCACTTTGGTTTACGACAGGTGCCTTATTACAACAAGGTTCAGAAATTGCACCTAAGTACGTATAAATTACTACTAACTTTAAATATACTTTAAATATTTTTCCCATAAATTATTATTGCTTACATTCTTTCTCCCACAAGGGCTTGGTCCACGCGACTAGTTGCTTCTATATGGTGGTTTTTTACACTGATTATAGTATCTTCCTATACTGCTAATTTAGCAGCATTTTTAACTATTGAAAAACCAACGAGTTTGATAGATAATGTGCAAGACTTGGCTAATAATAAAGGTGGTGTCACTTATGGTGCTAAACGTTCTGGATCTACACGAAATTTTTTTTTGGTGAGAGAATTATACATTATATGTATCAAATAACCAGTATTTGATATACCAGTATTTTGATAACCATTATTTTTACTAAAAATTTAAAATAAATTATTATCTTAGACCTCAAAAGACCCTCTTTATAAAAAAATGAATGATTTTATGACAAATAATCCAGACTTACTTACTGATTCAAATGAAAATGGTGTTGAACTCGTAAAAAAAGGTGTCAAATATGCTTTTCTAATGGAATCTACGTCAATTGAATACAATACGATGCGTGAATGCGGTCTACGCAAGCTTGGTGATGCACTAGATGAAAAAGTATACGGCATCGCAATGAGAAAGAGTAAGTCTGCAGTTATTTTTGATTATTAAATGTAAGTACCTTTTACCTATTATATCGTTTCATAGAATGGCCGTATGCAGACAAACTTAACCAAGCAATATTGGAATTACAGGAGCAAGGAGCTTTAGCGAAACTGAAAAACAAATGGTGGAATGAAGTTGGTGCTGGATTATGTTCTGTAAGATAACTAAAAAATTTCAAATTTAATTGATCTAATCAATTGTAGATATCAAATGTTTTAGCTCAATTATATATTTTTTTTTTTACGTAGTCTAAAGAAGAACCACCAGACGCTTCCGCACTTAATATGGAAAATTTAAAAGGTGTATACCTTGTGTTGGTAGTAGGTAGCACTCTAGCAATTATTTACGGTGTTACTAGTTGGCTGATATATGTTATTTCAAAGGCTCGTGTGTATCATGTATGTATTTTCACTGTTTTAATTACAACAACTTTATTACTCTTTCTACACTTTAAAGCTGCCAATAAAAGATGCATTTATAGAAGAGTTTAGAATTGTGACTGATCTCCAAACATACACCCGAGAGCTGAAAAGTTCTGCCTCCGTATATTCAGTTAGCAAAAGTTCATCACTCTCTAGCGCTGTATCTAGTCAAGCTTTACAAACACGTCGGAAATTGAAAACATGAAGTTCTAATTAAAATATTAATAGTTTTAAAAGTGTTTGTAAATACTTATATTTTGGAATGTTAAAATCACAAGCAGATTTAAGTCTATCTAATAAAAATTGTTTGCGATATATTTTACAACAATAAAATAAATTAATTTAAATGATTAATTACGATAATAATTTATAATTACAAATATAGCAACAAGTTGACCAGTTTTTTAAAACTAAACGAATTCAAATAGTTAAAAGTTCATTTAAGTAAAATAAATAAGATAAGTAAATTTGTTAGTTAAACTTAGATTGATACATTAAACATACAATTAACATTGTAATCTAATATTAAGTAAAAAAACAAACACGGACATATAATAAATATCATTTTGGAGCTGATGATATGAGAAATATGTTATTACAATAACTGAATCAAGTGATTAAACAAAAAACTATTCGAATTAGGAGCGCAGATAAATTAATGAGTTCCGCATCTATACTAAAGCATGGATTATATGAATTAATTAACCACGGTAAATACTTTCATAGCTCAACGCGTTTATTGTTTATGTCCAGTCTTTTGCACGCCACAACAGACAATGGATATGGTCGTCAATATCAACTGAAGTTGTTTTTGGACTATTTTTAAATGGTTCAGATTGGTTTGAAGTGGAAATATTTTTTGTAGTCTGTGTATCATCCATATATCTTGAAATAAGAGATCGATATCGTCTACCAATTGTGGCAATAATTGGTGAATTTTTGTTTGGTATTGGAATTATTGCTTTAATCTGCAATAAATATTGTAATTTCATAAATTTTATAATTTTTTTAATATTATGTATTTTACTTACTTCATTTTCATAAGGTCTAAAAACTGTTATTGGGCGTAAAGAATTTACTTCTGCGATTATTAAGCATCCCCAAGTGGTGCCTATATAAAGTTCGGTTAAATGCACTGCTAAAGCCGATATCTGACACTTTATCAAACTCAAGTGCTCATCAATGGCGATACTCTTCAAAGATTCAGAGCATGGTAGTAATTTGGAACAATCTAATTTATTGTCAATTTGCTTGGTACTTGTATTCCATTGGTATACCATAAAACCCGGATATAAGCAAGTAAAAACAAACTCATTATTTGAGCACATACGTGCCACTTTAACATCCTCTATAGCACTTGGTTCATCATTATGTAATAAGGCTTGATGCCCACACACACCTGTAGAGCTCAGTGGAAATATATTAATTTTACCCGCCATCTCACCGCACCAAAGTTCGTAATTACTGTCGAAAATTAAAAACAAAAATCAATTCAAAAATCACATCAATTAAATTATACTATTTTAAACACCTACTTTTCCGTCATAACATAACAAGCACTATGCATTATTAACCCTGCACAAATTTCTGTCAGAACAAATGAACCTTCAGCAAAAGCACAGTTTGTAGGTATTATCTGAGCGTCAACTAAAAACACTCGACCGTTGTGTAATCCAACTGCAACACGCTGTATTTTTTCTAAATAGACTAAACTTATTACTGGTGATTTTATTGCAGGATCCAACATATAAGAAAATACATGCTCATACTCAGAGATTCTGAAAAATATTTTATTAATATTATTACAAGCAAAGCAATATATTTAATATCACCTATATGCATGTAAATGCCCTGCTGCATCACCTATCCATATAGAATCTACAATTATGCAACAACACAGCATATTAATTTTGTGAACTCGAGTACCTGATCGGGCTCTATTTGATGGAGTTTCAGCCCGAGGTGATTGCTCCAAATGCAACTTATTAGTACATACAATACTACTACATTGCAGGAAATTACCAAAGGCAGTAATATCAAGTATATCAATATGTGAATTATAAGCAGGCAACCACAACTCAAAGCCAGTAATGTCATCTAGAAATATTGCAATTCTATTGTTATTAAATAAGATCATCATACGAATTTATCGAACCTTCAGATGTTGTCACTGTATTAAAAACACCACATACAATTTTATCCGTGGTAGGCAAAGCAATAACATCTAATAAATGAATACACTCAGGAGCTGTTAAAATGGAAACTATTTGACTAGCTGAAGGACGCTTCTTTGGCAATTCATCCCAGCATAACACCATCAAATCTAAGCAATATGTTGGAAATTGTGTCTCACGTTGAGTTAATGGAGGACGATTACCATCTAAAATACATTCCTTAATTGACTCTTGTCCTTCAAATGGTTGACGCAGGCTTATATTTTCATATATAAACATTCCAAATGAAAAACAATCCACCTAACGAATATATATAATTTTCACAAATTTTTTTTAATTTACTTTGACTAAAACTTATTTTACTTACTTTTTCTGTATACTCCTCTTCACCGTTGTAACGTATTATTTCAGGAGCCATAAAACCCTCAGTTCCACCAAATCCTTTAGAACCACTGGGTGCAATTTGACGACTTATGCCATAGTCAGCAATTTTAATATGAACACAATTTCTAGGATTATCGTCTCTGTAAATTTATCAAACCTCTCTATTAAAATTTTCGCACGGCTAACATAAAACTTATAAAACTTACGCATGTGGTTGCGGAAAATCCCATACTAAAACATTTTCCGATTTAAGATCACGATATATAATTCGTCTTCTATGTAGATATTCAATAGCTCTTGCAGCTTGCAGAACCAGTATTTGAAATGTATGTGGTCCTATGTGCGCTCCACTTCGACGATACTGGCGCAATATCAAATCTAAACCACCCATGGGTGCAAGTTCCAAAACTAACGCTAGTGGTTTAATACATATACCAACAAGCGGTACGATATTAGGATGTTTTAATGTAAGTAGTACCGCCAGTTCTTGTCTAGCTGTACAATATGCTTTGCATGCATGCTGTAATGGATCTCGATCCCATTTACCCAACGCAACTTTATAAGCCATTAAAGCACTCTGAACAAATTGAAATATTTGAGAAATTAAATAAATTATTTATTTAATCACTAAACTAAAGAAAATTAGTTTTCTATTCACTATGTTTCCATCGCCTTCGTATAATAAATCATATCAAATATTTTCTAATGACATACTAAATTATTCATTAGCTTTTCTTCTTACTTTTTAATGTAATAGTATGTTCCCATTAGCATCATTAGGCCAGTTAACTTACTTGATATTGCTTAAATTACTTGAATATTAAGTTAACTGGTCTAACGAAGCCAGTTGAAAAATAATAAAATAACAAAATAAAAAATAACAAAAATAAAAAAAATAGTCAACTAAACTGCATTTTCTAAATCTTTATAAACTAAAGATATCTATTTCTTACATCAGTTTGAAGGATATAATAACATTGAAATAATTTACCTCTTTTGCTCTTGGCCCAGGTGGTACGGGTTGCAACATTTTCATAGCGACTGATTTAAATACTCTAGAGCCTTTAATTTTGCAAGTTGCCTTGAAAACAAATCCAAATGCTCCACGTCCGAGTAATGAGCCTTTCACGATACTATCAGAATTTATGGTATATTTTTCTGGTATATCAGCAAATATAACGTCTGGAGCTAATTTCATCATATCCATTTCCAAATGAACTGGACAACATATTTTTGTTTGATTATATACAGATAAAATGCATTCTTCAATCATCCAAGAATAACATACATTAGATATGTCAGGTATGTTATATAAAGGATGTCCATCTACAGAAGTAGTTCTAGAAGAAGAACATGAATCGGGACCAACTCCCGAATCAGCATCAGAAAGGCAAAGCGAATCTTCTGAACGCCTTTCCCTTCTAGAAGTTGCATTTAAATATGCGGAGAACACATTTGGGACACTATCATCGAAGCCATCGCTATGCATAAAAAAAATTCTCTTGTTATTTATACGAGATTTAGTAGCATTTGTACTATTATCAGCGCCTTCACATATATCTTTTCCATTTCCATTTCCATTACCCAAAATACAAAGTTTTCTTAAACATTTAGGGCATAACACTAACCGTGTTATTAAAAACCGTCCTTCAGATGTGTGTACAAAACGAGTTCCTAATGAAGGATACCAATCCTCTAAAAGCAAATCAATATGATCAACAGCTAGAGCCAATAATTTTGCAATTACTGACATATTAGGCTCAATTTGAGCTAGAAGCTGATTATCATTACCTTCTTGACTTACATTTATATTTAAAAGAGGAAAATGAATTTCTAAAATACTTGATGAGGCAATATTTACATCACTCCAAACTCCATCCACTTTAAGTTTAAAGCGATTAGTAGTACTACGAAATATATGCGTTTTTACTGATGTCTGAAATGGCACCTCCCAAATTTTCAATATTAAAATTGAACCGTAATATAGAGATAACCCATTTTGCCAAAGATTCCAAAACGTATTTTGATCCAATGAAATACGTAAATCAAAATCAAAAAACCTCTAAATGATTGCAAGATAAATTATTAACAATCAATGTGTAACTCAGAACCAATGTGTGTGTACTTACATCAGAACACATAACATATGCATTTTTAATGGCATCTATAATTTGTTCATCCGCCAACACACGTGTTAAAAGTCTTGACCAAAATCCAGAGGGAAAATAAGTCATAAGTAGTATTCGCCTTAAACCCATTTCTAAATTATTGCTATCATTCATAACCGTACACTGTGGTTCAAACTTTAAGTTATTTGTACTCATTTCTTTCGATATAGAGTTGCTCAGGTTTACACTACGGCCTCGTGATCTCTGCGATATCTATTAAGAAATTCATTTCAAAAGTATAAAGACACTATTCACTTTACAACAATACCTTAATTGTTGTACCACCACTTGGGAATTCATTTTCGTTAGGTGGTAGAAGAGACGGTATCAATAACGTGCGAGAATCCCACGTCAGTGCTACTTCAAACTTATTTAATAAACTTGTAATATAACTACAATTAAATGAAATAAAATATTAATAAAAGTTCCTTATTTGGAAATTATTATTAAAACATTTAGAACTTACCAACGATTATTAATACCCTGTGTGCTCGTATTTCGAAAAAGTAAGTTAAGATCATCTAGCTTCATAACACCAGTGCGGGCAAAAGGATTTATTTCTCTTACAGTAACAACGTGGGCCAACATATCACATAGCCATTGAGGATCAAGAAAATAAAAATCTCTAAGAGTAGCATCATCATAATGGAGAATAACACCGTTGTCATGCAAAAACATAGAAGCCTGGTTAAGTTCGGCAACATCTCTAAAGCTTTTGTAATTATGCAATCGCATTTCCTCAACTACAACTTTCTTGTACTGTTCGGCGTCCAACACGGGATCCATGCCCATCGCACGTAAATTACACGAAATTACATGAACTATATCTTCAAGTGCAATATAACTAGCGGGAATTTTTTGCAAAAGCAATGGCTCTTTGGAACCAGGTGAACGTAACATAAAAGCTGTATCGTAAATAATGTTAGCTAATAAACGTATGTTATGCATTGTGCTATAGAAAACAATAAAATTTACAACAAATTGGATATAAAAAAAATAATTAATACCGGCAGCTTATTTCTATAGAATCAATAACTCGTGGTAAACCAATTTTTTCAGCATCAGGAATAGCTATGAACTTTTCACGTATAATCTGCTGTAATTCCTCTGCTTTCTCTGCTGAAAATGATTCCCCAACTGCATCAAAATGAGTACCAACTATAATGACAGGGGAATTAGGTGCACGTGCCTGTATATTTCCAAGCCATTGCAATATTTCTGAAAGCCCCTTGTGGCCATCTGTTACTTTCCAAAGTACCAAATACAAACTACGTTTTGACAAAAAATACTGATGTGTAGCGTAATATCTAAATTAATTACCGAACTTAATTATAGTTATCATTTAAATATGACATGCACATACTCTTTTTGTCCACCAAAATCCCAGGTTCTAAATACAACTGGTCCATGCGATCCTGGTGCTTTTCTACGCTTTTCACAAATCCACGTTCCAATATCGACCCCAACAGTCGATATGTTACTGTCACGCGTAGTTGATCTAGACAGATTCCTTGTGTGACCCATACGTTTTGCCCAATGATTTTCAGAAGCACGTGATCTATGTGAACCTGCTCCACCTTGCCTTAAAAGATCCAGTAACGTCGTTTTACCAATTCCCTGAACACCAACTACCATCAATTTCATTCGTGCATACGGTTGTGCATCTTCATATATTGATTTAAGATATCCAATAATGTCCATTGTTTTATATTTTTTACTTTCTATCATCGATCTTAGAGGGTCTTGAAGAAGACAACCCCTAGTATTCAAATTCCATAATCGAGACAATAAACCTAAATGGGCCGGTAGGTCTGTAACATTAATATTTCCACTAATATTTAAAACACTTAAACTATTGAGTTCGTGCAGAGATGAAGGAATTTCCTAGACAAAATTTTTCATTTATTTATTTTCCAAAAGTGATGCGAGCGAACACGTGTTACACTTACTTTTAAGCAATTATTGCTAATATCCAACATCGATAAATTTGGAAAAATTAATTTGGATTTGGTAATACCAACAACACTCCAATCTGCATCATCAGATTCATTGAATAATGTTGTAATATCGTCGGTTGAAAGCTGTATGCGAGTTAGGAGGTTATCAGCTAAAATTAGAGTGCGCAATGATTCTAAACGCAAATGACGACGATGCCTACAAACACTTCTTAACACAGTACTACGGAAAGACGTAGTTTTATTACTACTGCATGCTTTTGAAAATGAAGACACATGGTCATCAGTGTCACTATTATTAGCTCGTTCTGTATAGCTGTAACAAAGTAAATGCGGATCAGATTCGGTAATGCGAGGCAAGCTTGGCCAGCAGGATATTTCATTGTGACTGAGATCAAGTTGTTTGAGTGTCGATGGATAACTTGTGACATGTCCCATTGACCTAAGTATAAGTTCATTCAAATACATTTCATTTATTATTTATTATAATAATGCAATTAAAATGACATGTTACCGCAAATTATTATAAGACATATTTAATCTTGTTAGACTAACTGCTAAACATGGCAAGGCGACTGGAATGCTAGTAAACAAATTATTGGCAATATTTATACTATTTAATTGCGAAGCACCATCTTCTTGCTTGGATTCATTCCACTTCAGATCATTATCAATTATATCCAGCGAACTGCACCATATATTGCGATGTAAGACTTGATGTGTAACAAGTGAGCGTGGTTTGCTTTTGTGAATATCGGAACCATCCAAATGGGAAAATGCTTCTAAATCTAATTTATCTAAACTAACCTGAGATGTTGAAGTCTAAACATTGTTCTTATATTAGATATATGATATTAAAACTAAATGTGGATATTTTACCTGCATTGGTGGTACTGGCAAGTCTTTGAGCAAGTTAAATGATATGTTTAGTTCGCGTAATTTTGGTGCCTTCCACATATCAAACGGCATTTCTTGTAGTTTGTTGTTGGAAATATCCAAAATGGTTAAGCATGGTAAATGAAAAATTTCTGCAGGTATAGAAAACAAACGATTATCTTGTATGAAAAGCTCATCTAAAACTGGACAGCTATAAGAAGGTTTGGCACCATTTGATGAAGTCAATGGCAGTGGTAATTGATTAATTTTATTTTGTGCAAGATTAAGATACCTGCAAAAGTATTGTAAATAAGTTAATTATTACACATATGGCAATATAAAACATATATATACATATATAAACTAAATCCACTTAATAACACAAAGCAAAAACAACTATCATAATGTATAATCTTTCAATTAATCACTGGATAGATAATAAAACAAATAAAAACATTTAAAGATATTAAATTTTTTTAGTAATTCTTCAGATATATCAAGTATATTTAATATTCATATATTTGTTTTAATTTATTATTTATTATTAAAATCTATTATAAATCAAAATAATTAATTCAGACAACAGATCAAGGTGTACTTCTATCCACTCCATTTTAAAATAATACAATTTTATAAAATATATTAAATTTTTAAAACTTCTTTTAAGTTAATATATAAACAAAAACTAACCTTAAGCTCACTAAATTAAAAATTTCCACAGGAACACTGCTTAAATTATTGTGTGAGAAATCAATACGAGTAATAGCTGTCAATGCTACTTCTGTGATTCTAGGATGTCCATGTAATTTCGGATTCAATTGCAGTACACCATTTACCATCCAATTAACACTATAACAATTATGTACTAATAAATACATTATAAATTGTCAAAAAGGAAAGGAAACTATACCGTATGAATGGTAACTGCACATTTGTGTTATTATGCCAGTCTATAATCGTTGGTACATTTGGAAACATTGTGCTATAAGATATGTTCGAAGCAGATGGTAAAAACACTTTAACCTCAACTGGAGTTGGAAGACCCTTTTTATTTATTTTATAATCTGAATCGGGATGTATACGTTTCGACAATAAACGATTCAAAATAGCCTCGTCTTCAGCTGCTATAGCAACACTCAAAGCAGTTCCGTTGTCATCTCGGGCACCATGACTATTAAAATATAAAAGCATTAATTCATAAATTAACAAAAAAAAATCATTAATCCATAGTTACTTTAGCAAAAGTTCCACCATAGGCAGCGAACGTTGCTTACATGCCTCAGCAATTGGAATATTACTTAACCCATATATTTCTTCACTACATTTAGGATCATTTTGATCTTCTACTGGCTTCGCAATTACATTAGGATTAGCGCCATATTGCAGCAATACAGCAACTACATCCAAAAAGCCTCCTCTGACAGCTGCTAAGAGAGCCGTTTCACGCGCAGCACCACACAATAAATTCAAATTTATTGGACATTTTTCAGTCTCATTTTCTTCCTTTGTAAAAAAAAATATAAGATCAATTTAAAATCCTATTTTTAGAAAATTTAAAATTTTATAGAAAAATTCAATTTACCTTAACTATATTATCGCCCTCAGCAGATATATTTAGTTTGGACATAATTGCTTGTATGCCAAATGATATACGCTTTCGTGTTGGTGTTACAGTTGTGCTGTTTGGACTTGTACATGAAAGGACCTTGAAACATTTTGCACGCCATTTTAATAGGACATTTACCAATTCTTTATTACCGAGTATACTCGCTATGTACAAGCTTGTTTGACCTGTCACATCTTGAGCGTTAGGATCAAACGGCAATCGCCACTCCCATATACCTTCTTCATCTCGATATGTTGAGTAGAGATATTCTGGATATGGAAAATTTATTAGTAGTTCTAGCACTTTGATATGACCATTAATACAAGCAGCATGTAATGGAAACCAACGTTCTACTGTTGGTTGCTAAAATATAAATTTTACTTTGTATAATTATTTTTTAAAATAAATAAAACGAAAGTCTTACCTGAATTAAATCTGCAAATTTTTCTAGCATGACTTTTGCTATGTTGTAGTGACCATGATGGACGGCAATATAAAGAGGAGAATATTTCGTAACAGCATGCGAGCGACCATCTGCTCCAGCATCAAGTAAGCGGTGTGTTATATTCTCAAAGCCTGACTGAGCAGCTCTATATATAAATATTATAAATCAGTAAAAACCATATATTATGACGAATTTAATTATAGTTGTCATTCATGCCTTTATTAATGCTTTATTTATATAAATCAGTTCAGAGGTTTCATGGACAAAACACTAATCCGATTAACAATACGTACGAGTACAATTTAGGACAATTTAATTTTGATATTTATGGTGTCTAAAGCAGATGTCAATGTAGCAACTTGATATTTCGAAATTATGAACAAGCCAAACAAAGGAATGAATTCCGAGTGAATGAATACTTGAATCTGAAATCTTATTTGTGTACCACACAACACCCAAGCAGTTATTGTTTATAATATACATACATATGTACGTGGAAACGTGGAAGATAACAATTAGTAGCAATGGAATTAAGTGAATGCTTGAGTCTAAAAGTGAGACTGCTAAAGGTCTCTACTCAAATTTAAATATACGTATACATTTGTCAATGCGCTTTTTCCAATTCCCCTTAATATCATATTGTAGACCATGGCATTATTTTTTTTAATAATTGACTATTAAATTAATTAAAAAAAATTAATTTATTTAATTAACAAGAAATCCTGAAAACATAATTATTTAGCACTTTTAATTTCACTCACAAGAACAACAACGTATTTGCTCCTGCCAATGCCATATTGACAATAATTTGCCTTTCACTTCCTAAGGCTTCTAGCAATACACGCACTATTCGCTCATCACCGGTAGTAACGGCCTGACGTAATTCCCGATGTTTAATGACACGAACTTGTTCGCGGGCATCTGTAAATAAATTTAATATAAACTTTGGTATTATATAAGTAAAAATACTCAGATTTATTTTATATTTGTACCTAAACACCTAGTTACATCCATAACTTCATCCACAAAATAATCACACGCATCCAAAGCGGTTTCAGTACCAGATTTTGGTTTATCAACAAAGTCCCAATCCAACATTTTTGAAAATTTTATGATTTATATATTTAAACACTTCCACAGATGGCAGAAATTTTCTTTATGTATAAATTTGGGACAGTCTAAAATTTATAATTGCTCCCCCAAAAAACTTGGCTAAGTCCAACCTACCCGTCCAATGGAAAAATTCACACTAAAACCAATCGAACGTTACATATCGGTTTTTCCGTTTTAATAAAACTTTTTATACATTAAAAGAATATTGAAAAATCAATTTTCACTTTGGAGACTCATTCATTAGACACATGGAACCAGGGTGAGTGCCGAAGCAACCAAAGAAGAAAGTGGTAGCAAAACAAAACGCATAGCCACGGATTTTTTCTCTGCGCAAGGCACACAAACAAGACCAACTGTTGCACGTTAAACAGTCCAACTGTTTTGGTTTTATTTTTGTTGTTGTTTTGTTTTGTTTTTATTATCGAATGATACCAAAACTGCTGCAGTCGTAAGTCATCATCCATGTCTGCTTATGCTTTAATGAAGCATAAATTTACTCAGATATCATTTACGATAATAAATTCCATATGTTATAGCAAACAGTGCAGAAAGTTTTTAAAAAAGTGTTAAACATTTTATGAAAAAAATTAGCTAAGAAGAAGACGAAGAATATTGGACTGAATTTTTGGACAGAAATTATTTAGAGGAATATCTGATCTTTATTAACACTACCTATGTTAAACAATGACAATTACACAAAATATTTTATCTGAAACCCTAAGACTCTTCAAAATTATTCAAACTGTAAATATGGTTTACGCCTACTTCCCTAGGATGTCTTCGTGTCCCTTATAAATAATTATTCAAATATGTAGACATAAGTATTTACTCATTTATAGTCAGAATTATCTAGCCTATAGTAAAGAACAATTCGAAATATGAAACAGAGGAAGCATGATGTGTATATTAAGCTATCTTCATATAATCTAGTACTAACATTCATTTCGCACCTTAAATTTACATAAAACTCTATATAAAAAAATGGTTTACAAAGTTTGGACATTATAGAAAACTTTTTCATATTGAGATTTACATCAATTTTCAAAAAATGGATGTTAGGACTAAGTTTTAGGTAAAAATACATTTACTTAAAAACTTTTTAATGATTTAACAATAATATAGCGGATTTTTGACTTTAAATATCATGAAACCTTTCAAACACTAATAATGTTTTTATAAAAATAAAAAAAATTTATCCGAAAGCTGTCTTTATCAAGATTAACAACTATCTTTATCACTTAGACTATGTATGTCGTTATGTATATCGACGTTTGCTAAACATTAATTGAACGGAACATATTCCAAATTCGGCAATACTTTTATGCGTTAGCAAAAAAAAAAGAAATATTGAAGACAATAAAGCAATGAAAACTCTTTCGTCATTGTCCTAAGTTGATCACTGAAAGCAGAATTCAAAGAGTCTTGCTTAAAGTGTTTGAAAGAGCCTATTAGCATTAAAAATTCAATGAAAATTCAACATATTGGTCGTAGAAACTTGTGGAAATGGAAGTCTTGATAAAGAATTAAATGTAATAACCTATTCAAAAGGCAAAAGTTTATCTCTATCCTGGGATCTAGATTCAATCAACACTCACACTTAAATTCCACACCAAATTAAAAGACTGCATTTGATTACTAAATAGAACATACAACTAAGTACAATTGAAAAACCATTTCAAAAACTTGTTTCAATGAACTGGTTTTTCCAAAAATCAAAAACCTTTTTTGATATAACAATTATATATTTGTCAATATTTTTATATCTTAAATTATATTATATTATTGATATTGTACTAACATATTACTATAGATAAATACAAATAAACAAATTACTAATTTTGTAAATATTTCTGGAATGCTATTGCGATTTCCTGGAAACGCCGATTTAACAACTACGACTTCTACTACTCTATATGCTGACATTATTTATTTAACAAACTTCAGGAGCGGTGAAAGTTAATTAAATTTATTAATTAAAATCCGTTGTTAAATATGGATGTCTGGTAATGTGCCAGCTTTAATATAAGTAACATGATATACATGGCATTCTTGAAAAGTAACTGCCCGTTGTTAATGTTAAAATACAATACAAGACAATATTTTCTTTTCAGAGGTGGCAGCACTACATTTCATTTTGTAAATAAACCAAAACATACATACATACAAGTATTTGGACTTATGAACGTACTTCGTAAATAAATCGATTTCATTCAAGAAAGTATTAAATATTCAATCATATTCTCTTCCTATTAAAACTGATATAATTTGATTATTTTAATACAACTTTATAAAAAATCACCTAATTTTTTGACTGTTTAATTTAGTTTTTAATAATTAGTTATTGATAAACATACCTTCGTCAGAATCACTCATATTATTCACTCTTTTCAACTTCAATTATTCAAATGCTGCTACTTAAAACACTAAAAACATTTCTCTTTTACATAAAAATTTTATCTACAAATCACATTTATTTAAATAAAGTTAAAGACGAAATAAACTGCAACACCAAACACAAACTTTAGGGGACGACTGTCAACAATACACACAGAACAAAACAATATACACCCTCATTGGAAATGACATGGAATAATGTTTAAAAATGTCTTTATCCAACATTGCCAAAAACAACGTCACTGAAATTATCAAAATATACGTCTCATACAAATTTTTTCATATATTTTTGGTAATAAAATAAATAAATAAGAATATAACAAATAATAATATTGATATAAAAATTTTATTTCATTATTGTTTTTAACAATTCTAATTTAAATGTGATATGTTCAAATAAATAAAAATTACTTTTACCAAAAGACATACATATAAGAATCGAAAACAATACAGTAATAAACATTGAGGGCTTGAATTGTGATTGACAACAGTTCAATTAGTAAAGTTATAGGAAGAGTACCGATAAAAAAACTAAGTTTTTTTCATACCTATAGGTTATATAAATATAAAATATATTTTTATATAAATAAACTTTTGCTGTATAATGTATATTACACAGCTATACAAATACATAATGATCCAGAGATCAGAGATTTCATATATTTTAACATAAATATAATTCACTTTTACGTACATTTAAGTTCATTTATATGAAATCCGATTAAGACTGACAAAAATGCATAATTTTAGAAAAATTTAAATAAATAAATAAATTTGGCAAACTATACAATTTAATACAATTTAATTAAATGAATTTGCATCTGCCTAAACTAAAATCATTTTTGCAAATTTTATATTATGTATATCATTTTTATGATATATTCTAGTGCGCTTCCATACTAAGATCACTTTTCAACACTGTCTTGTTGATATTTATCCCACGAAACGGAGGAGTGAAACAGTAAAAAGGAAAATTTAGTATGCGTGTGGAAGTGGAAAATTATTTTGTCCTATATTAATTTAAAAATAAAAGTTTCTAAAGATAAAATTAATTATATTAGCATATAAAGTATAAAGAAAACGTGTGCAATGAAACAGAAGTGAAAATAATTTATAGAATTTCAAACAAGAAATTTGTGAAGTTCTATGAAAAGGGCAATGATGTTGCAGACATCTACAACATAGTTTTTCTCACCGCCTTAAAAGATTCTACAAAGTTTATTAAAAGTGCTGCATTAAAATACATTTGATTAACAAAGGTTTTAAGTGTTAAAATATGTTATTAATATTTTGTAAATAGTTTAAATTTTGCTATAATAAACATTAAAAAAATTAAGATGCTTTCCTATTCTCATACATATTTACATATGCTCTCTTTCGCATTTTTCTTTTACTCCCCTATTTGTTTTTAATTTGAATGTCTCCTAATATTTTTTGGTAATTAAAAACATGGCTTACTCATCAGATTCTAGAAATTGATACTATGAGACACTTTGTTGATTATTTTAGAATATTGTATTTATATTGTATAATAAAAGCCATATTTTTTATTGTAAGTTTTTATTAATTTTTGCTCAGTATCAAACCATATAGAGCTCTATGGAATGGAGTCCTTTTTCTGTTTCCTAGTAAAAACTCCACTTTAGTTGGCAACGCCGATTTTACACCTATGTTTGAAATATTACACACCCAAAAACGAAATCTGAGATCAAAACAAAATATAAAGGTGTAGTAGAGCATAAATGAATGAAAAATCCCGCCTTATCAGTTAAAGTGGTTTGTTGGTTGGGCTTTTTAATTATGACAACGCCAAAGCTATGTAATATCTTGTATATCAAGAGAAATATACAATAATCTTGGTAAATCCTGACAATATATATATTAATAATATATATATGGATATATATATATATAATCAGATATCAACTCTATATGATGTATTTTTCTTGAAACTATCATTTGAATAATATTAAGCACACATAGACATATAATTTAAGCAAAAAAGTTGGTTTTGTTTTTTTGAAAGAACTACTAAACTTATCTTCCTTATCTTCTTCTTCTTAGTATCCGTTTTCCCTAGTGAAGCATATAGCCTCAACGATTCAACCGCGCTTTGTTAGGTGCTTCTCTGCATATATTGTTCCATGTGTAGCGTGCTTTTGTGATTTCTCTTTCAAGTCAAAGCCGGTGCACCACGGCGTCTGTTGCCTTGAGGGTTCCATGTCAAAGAAGCTTGTCATGAATGGTATTTATTTAATCGTCGGATAGTATGCCCTATCCAATTCTTTTTCTGATTTGTTTGAAGCAAAAGTTCTGCATTTAATATGTGGTGAGGCCGCCATATTTCTAGGATGTCCTTGTCGAATTTAATTTAAAAAGGATTAGATTAGTATTGGGATTGATTTAATTATATGAAAATAAAAATATTTATTTCATTCTTAACATATCTACTTATTTAATAGAAAATAATATATAATATATCGAAAATAATATAAAATAAAATCGTTTGTTTATTTTCATATTATTATTACAAAATAATACAATGATATTTACTTATCTTTTTAGAGTGCCATCAAAAAAAGTTAAAGTATAGTAAATCTAGCAGAGTAATTAAATCCATTGTTCGAGATCGACATAACATTAAACATAATTTAAACATGGCACCTCAGGCCTGTTCAGTTTTCTCCAGTGATTTCTGGAAGAACGATCCACCTGATATTGTGGAGCTTACGTGCTTTATGCCCAATGGAATTTTCATACTGATGAATGTTTCTGTAACTGCAACAATAAAAGAAATAAAAACGGTAAAATACGGTTTTTAAACGTTACGAATATTATATAATTTAAATATTATTTTATTATATATAAATAATTTGCAGGAAATGATTCGAAAATCAAAAAACTATCCATTAAATCATCTTATTAAAGATGCGTGCGATTATGAAGTTAGTGGTATTTCTTCTTATGCCAATGTTGATGCATTTACTGACGAGACTAAACGCCTTTCCGAAGTGCAGCCTTATTTTTGTTTATTACGCTTAGGAGAACGCAGTGAAACCACAGCTGCTTCTAGTGATTATGAGTTGTCTAAGTTAGTTAGCAATATGATAGGAAAATCATATGAGGAATATTGTGCTCAATCTAGTCCAGAAGTAGATGACTTTCGTCGGAAAATGACACAAGTCTGTGACGAAATTGAGTTAGAGCGATCGAAGTTTTCTTGGTCGGAGAAGTTATTATATGAGCATCCTTTACGTTTGGCTAACACTCCTGTAATGCCAAATATAATTAAAAGTAGATTGGGGAATTCAAATTTTTTAATAGTTGTCAAATTAGAAAATGATGAGACTTCTTTTACTATATCAGCTAGTGAACATGATACGCCGAAAAGTTTTATTGAACAAGCCCTTTCAAAAATGTCTCGCGCACAAATAAGAGTTAGCGATCGTGCATCCGACTATATATTAAAAATGCGTGGACGAGAAGAATACCTGTTTGGTGATTTTCCTTTGATACAATTCATATATATACAGGTATGCTAACTGTATATAATAATAATTATAAACAGAATATTAAACAATGTAATTCATTTCATTTAGGAAAGCCTTTCTGGTTCTGATGTCCCAAATGTAGTTTTAAAGCCTATAAACACATTGCAATCTTATATTACTTATAAGCAGGAACTAAATGCTGTTCCGAAAAGACCACCTAAACCGGATAGCCTGCGTCCATTAACAAATTCAATGCACAAACGACAAAAAAGCTATTCATCTTGGGATATACAGGAGTGCTTTCGTGTAAAACTTATTCGAATTGATAATGTTAATTGCGATTTAGGGCGTGCTATAAAAGTTGGTATACGAATAGGACTTTATCACGGTGAACGAAAACTTTGCGCTCACCAATCTATGGAAATGCCTATTAGCAACTTACGTTCATTTTTATTTGATAAGGATATATCATTTGAAATTGATGTAAAAAATTTACCACGAATGACAAGAGTGTGCATGGTAATTTATGAAGTAACTAAAGGATCACGATCAAAAAAATCATCAAATACTAATAAAGATACAGTATTTAAGGAAGCCAAACCAAATGGTGGTAAAAATCCATTGGCATGGGTTAATACTACTTTATTTGACTATAAACATCATTTGCGGAAAGGTGTCTTACAACTTCATACATGGACTCATGCAGATGATATACAATCAGATGAACAATTTCATCCTTTAGGTACAATAGAGCCAAATCCCCGAAAAGATGAATGTGCTGTAGTGCAACTGACATTCCACAGGTAATTTATATACAACTTAATGCTAGACTGTATACAATAATAGAAATCCTTATTTTAGTTACGGTTGCGAAAACATACAGTTTCCTCCAGAAGATGCTGTACTTCGATATGCGGGTGAATTGATGAATAGCGGAAATATAAATCGCGACTTACCAGAAGATTGTACAAAAACGGTCAACGAAGTTTTATCGCAATATTTAAGGAGCGATAAGCTGTATGAAATGCATGACCAAGATCGCAATGCTATATGGTCCAGAAGGTCTTTGAATACAACTTTGAATTTATTACATATTTTATTCTTATTAATTTAAATTTTAGACTAGATATAAAGGATGAAGCTCCAGAGGAACTTTCAGTGTTACTGCATTGTGTTACTTGGAATACACGTGATGATGTTGCTATTATGTGGAGTTTGTTAAAACAATGGCCAACCGTTTCAGTGGAAAGATCATTAGAACTTCTCGATTATGCTTATCCAGATCCAGCAGTACGAAAATTTGCTATACGGTGCTTGCGTATGTTAAGAGATGAAGAACTTTTACTATATCTCTTGCAATTGGTACAGGCTATGAAACACGAATCTTATCTTGATTGCGATTTGGTTACGTTTGTACTTGAACGAGCTTTACGAAATCAGCGAATCGGTCATTATTTCTTTTGGCATTTACGCTCTGAAATGCAAACACCATCTATGCAGACTCGATTTGGTTTACTTCTCGAAGCATATTTAAAGGGGTGCAGACCACATGTACCCTTACTGCGTAAGCAGTTACAAGTTTTAGAAAAATTAAAGCAGGGATCAGAATTAGCTAAAAAAGGAAGCAAAGAAAAAGTACGTTATATGCTGCAGGATTTTTTATCTAATCAGCGCAATTGTGGCGCATTTCAAAGTTCACAAAATCCACTCAATCCAAGTTTCCGCTGTAAAGGTGTAAAACCAGAAAAGTGCAAAGTTATGGATTCTAAAATGCGTCCGTTATGGATTGTATTTGAAAATGCTGATCACAATTGCAATGATATTTACATAATATTTAAAAACGGTGATGACTTACGACAGGATATGTTAACGTTACAAATGTTGCGTGTTATGGATCAATTGTGGAAGAACGAAGGGTAAAGAATTTTATTCAATTTATTCATATATACATTTGCATATATGCATATGCATTGTAAATATTACAGTATATACCTATATGTAGTTGAAAACTATTTATTTTTTAACTCATTAATATATGTGGTATATGTGGTATAATTTATGTTTTATTTCAGTATGGACTTCCGTATGAACATATATAATTGTATTAGCATGGAACGGCGCTTAGGCATGATCGAAGTAGTGTTAAACGCTGAGACTATTGCAAACATACAGAAAGAGAAGGGTATGTTTTCAGCAACGTCGGCATTTAAGAAGGGGTCCCTTTACAGTTGGCTTAAAGAATACAATAAGACAGACGATGAAATGAATAAAGCTATTAAGGAATTCACACTTAGTTGCGCGGGATATTGTGTAGCGACTTATGTTTTAGGTGTAGCTGACAGACATTCAGATAATATTATGGTTAAACGAAATGGACAGGTATTATAATTTTAATATTAATCATTTTACGTTACAAGTTGTATAAAAAACCATTCTTTTAGCTTTTTCATATTGATTTCGGTCATATACTTGGCCATTTTAAAGAAAAGTTCGGTGTAAGACGTGAACGAGTTCCTTTTGTACTTACGCATGATTTTGTATATGTTATAAATAAGGGGCGTGCTGATCGGGAATCAGACGAATTTAGATATTTTCAAAATATGTGCGAAAAGGTACGTATGTGAGATTATAATGCAATACCTACCATAAGTAAATATATAAATGGCATATACATTTTCCAGGCATTTCTAGTTTTACGTAAGCATGGCTGCCTTATTTTGTCGTTGTTTTCTATGATGATTTCAACTGGACTGCCAGAGTTGTCCTCCGAAAAGGATCTGAATTATTTAAAAGAAACATTGGTAAGACAATCTTTAAAGAATCATAAAACATCCATTTTAACTTATTTATATCTAATATTTTATTCAGGTACTCGAGTATACAGAAGAAAAAGCACGGGAACATTTTAAATCTAAGTTTAGTGAAGCGTTAGCAAATTCATGGAAGACGTCTCTAAATTGGGCTTCTCATAACTTCTCAAAAAATAATAAACAATAAAATGAACAATGAAAACGAAGAGTTTATTATATGTTTATAACTTTTAATTAACCCTTGCTTTTAATTTAATTTTAATTTAATGATGATAAATAGTAATAAAATAAAAGTGTTCAACACATTGTTAATAATACACACTTTTCACACCATTTCAAATTTTATAACATCTTTTAAAACTGCCTTTAGCTATTAAATGAACATATTCTTACTATTGTTACTGCTTGTTTATTTTTTTATGAGAGTTTTATTGAAACTACAGCTAAACATGAATTTATGTTTTTGTAATAATTTTTAGCTATTTACTCCGAAAACGAATCCTATTTAAATGTAAAAACGAGTGATTTAAAAATTGCCTATGATAATTATATTAAGTTACACATATTTCATTTAACATTAATGCAAATATTTATATTCAATATTTTTAATTGAGTTTTTTTTTAATTATACTACATTTTTTTCTAGTTTACTTAAGAGGAATTAAGATTTGAATTTTATTTAAATGTAAGAAAATGCAATTATTTTGCTCTATTTGAAGTTTAACATGTTTATACAATAGAATTAGAGTTTTTCACTGAATAAAATAAAATATTAAAAATTTGCAAAGTTCATTTTTATTTAAATAAAAACAAATCGATATCGTAATGTTGTTTTGATTGAAATGAGAAATCAACTCTTGGATCGCTGCGTTAGCTGCATGACTTATATAATTGTGTCCAAATAGCAAATACAGCAGATGTCCAATATTACAAATTTCACAAATATCCAATTTAACGAATGTCAAATATAAGGATCCATAAGACCTTAAAAAGATCTTGTAAAAGGATGGACGGATTTTTTATATGTTTCTTTCGAATTTCGGAGACGAGGCTTTAGAGCAACGGCATTAGAGTCGTTGAAACATGTTTGAGTTTTTCAGAACAAGAAACTATTACAGTTTTTATCAAAATTATTTCACCAATTTGGGTCGAATTACATAATTCATATTATTCATATTAATTTATTTTTTAATATGTAAAGTAATAAAATTCAATGAGCCAAAACGTCAAATCTACACAAATTAATGACTATTTATTTTTTAATATGTAAAGTAATAAAATTCAATGAGCCAAAACGTCAAATCTACACAAATTAATGACTATCAATTATTCTCTATTGAGCATTTCTCATAAAAAAAAAAATCTTCAAAACTCGATTACAACTGAAATATGTCAATTGGAGTTGAAAAATAATGAATGAATATACACATGTAAAACTGTATATATCTAAGACATAGCTGTATTGTTATAAGGTCACATGTGTCTAAGCTCTACTGAACTCTACTAATTCTCTCTTGAAATAGCGAAAGTTATTCATCAGCTGAAGATTGAACTCACCGTTTCTTCTATTTTATTCTCATTTCTTCTAAAGTATCTTCCATCTCTAGTTCATTCTTTATATATATGTCGAATTCAAAAAATAGACAAAAAAATTAAAGCAGGTAGTGGGCGATAGTAAGACCATTCAAAAATGTCTAAAAATTTAATAACTTATATATAAAGCACTCATAGTTTCAAGACCAATCGTCTGTGAAATATTTGAACCACAAATTTTTCATTGATTTTTAAATTTGTTTGGTCTAAGATATTACTCTAAGAGTGCGAAAAAAAGTTGTACGATTGCAAAAAGAAAACTTCTAACAAATAGTAGAAACAAAAAAAATTTAAAATCCCTGCTGCAATCAAAACATATGAAAAAGCAAACGCAACGGAATTTGAACGAACAATAGAAGACAAATATCTGGTTTAAAACAAGTAACTGAAGACGTGTAACATTTTCTACGAATGGACGCGCATACGTTCCAGAGCCACTATTGCTCACGTTGTTAAAGGCCGTAAGGATCTGCTTGTGTAGTTCCTTTGGGTGTGCTGAACGGCATTTGGTCGTCGAACTTGACAAGTATCATTGTCAACTACTGATTCAAATCGTAAAGCAATTCTATGTGTCTATTCGCAATAATCAGTACTACTCCGGTGACAAAGAGTAAGACCCGGTAAGAACGGGTATGCCAACATTAGCAATAATTCAAATCTTCTATATATTTATTTTAGATAGTATGTATATTTTTTAAATATTTTGCATTTGACATCAATAATATATATATTTTTATTTATAAAGTATATTTTTAAAACTATGCTCTCTCTGCGTCTTATTTAAATAGTTTATCATAAATAAAAGTACAATATTTGTAAAGTATTATTATAAAATTTCGTTTTTAATCTTAAATTACAGTACATGAATAAAAAATATAAAATTTTACATTTATTTGTAAAAGTAGTTTACTTATATTAATTTGTTTCTTTTATTTTAAATATTTTTAACTTTGTAACAAAAGTGGAAATTTTTTCTTTATACAAATATTATGTAGAAAATATATATTTAAATATTTGTTTAGTAAATAGTTTTTGTTATATTTAAAATATATTACAAGTTTGTTGTTTAAGATGAATGCTGACTTTTGGAATATAAAGCATACAAATTTAAATATAATTTAGTTTTTAATTGTCGTTATTCAATTATGTTGTGCGACTTTCTATGAGTTTCTAAGAGTTGGTTTTAATTCTATTTAAGTGTTAATTAAATTCCTCGTAGCAAATTATTATATAAAAAATAACATTGATATACATAGTTAATGCAATGTTTTGTAACAGTTCTCTTTTTAGTGTCGATTTTTCAGTTTTTTAACCATAACTGAAAAGAAGTACTATTAAGAATATTTCATATAAGTCTGTATAGTCTGTATAGTCTATATAGTCTATATAGTCTATATAGTCTATATAGTCTGCATTAATGGCATTTTTTGTAGGATTTATGATCTTTTGGAAATGTTAGATTTAAGTTATTTGTTTTAATTAAAATATATAATGCATAGTTTATAATGTTTATAAATTTCTTGTTGTATATTACATTTGCATGTTTGTATATTGATAAAATACTTTAAGACTTTTTAAAACTTTGTACACTTCTTAAGGTGACATGTCATCAAATTTAACATTAGGTTATATTAATTAATCATAAGAATTTCCTTCATTTTTTAATTGATTATTAGTTTATATATTAAATAAATGTTGTTTTGAAGAAAGTACAAATAATTGGTTTCAATTGTTAAACTCATAAAACTTGATCTTACAGTATTCTAGATGCGTGAAGAACTAATTTCTCTCTTGTTAAATAAAAAGTACTAATAGGAAAGGAAATATTTATTATATATATTATAATATTAGTAATGTAATATTATTAATTACATTAAATTAATTTGTATTAAATATTTTTAATTATATTTTAATTTTTATAAAAAATATTCATATTACAGATATTTCGGTCTGCATTGTAGACCATTTTCAAATGATCTTCTTGGTAATTTAATAATATTTTTAAATCAATTTCATAGTTTTAGAAACCATAGTAATAAAATTTATAAAAGTATACTTGACTTAGAAATTTTATATTTTTTTTTTGTTCCTATTGCAAAAAATATTATATCTTCAAAATATTATATTTACATTAAGAAGAAACGAATCTATTGGTAAATAATTTCTTATTAGCACAATTTATTATAAAATAAAATGAGCTAAAATAAAAAACTAGTTTCTTTTTTTAAATTAATAAATTTGTGATATTTCGACTATCGACAATAGTCATCTTCGGTAACATGTTTTTCGTAGATGACAGTCAATGACAGTCTCATTATCGGAAATTTATTCAACTAATAAAAACAATAATTTAACTTGTAGTTATTATTACTAAATAACTGACCAATTATCCGGATTGTAATTAATTATTAAATAATAAACATGTATATATATATAAATATATATAAATATATATAAATATATATAAATATATATAAATATATATAAATATATATAAATATATATAAATATATATAAATATATATAATATATATAAATATATATAAATATATAAATATATATAAATATATAATATATATAAATATATAAATATATATAAATTATATATAAATGTATATAATATATATAAATATATAAAATATATATAAATATATATAAATATATATAAATATATATAAATATATATAAATATATATAAATATATATAAATATATATATAACTTTTATTAAGTTCTTTTGAATAAATATTTTAAAAATCTACTGAAATACAAAAACATAACAACAATTGTATATTTTGTCAACGTTTAGTGGATCAGTAAAAAAATAAAACAACACAATCGGTTTAATATACACTTCTTATCCTCATAATTATTCATACAGCGATGTTTAATTACTTCCCTGTTATTAGTCATATGAGTATATGTATCATTTTTGCCAACGTATGTCTACAAAGAAATTTGTTCTTCATATCATTACAAATGAATTCTAAGATACATGTAGATTCTTCTACTGTTTTCAAGTTTGTACTTTCATAATTCAAATACATTTTGTCAAAAAAAATTTTGCGCCAGCGCCGTTCATTCATGTTCATAAATATATATGTATATAGTAATATGTAGTTTCATTTATTCCATAACTTATTTTTTTGGATTAAAGCGATTGATTATTCATTTCGATTATTCATTTTTGTTTATCAGTTTAGTTTTATTTATTTTAAATGATTCTAAAGGCACAATTTTCTTTCTTTGTTTTAAACTTTTCAAGTAAATTTTTAGATAAATTTCACTTTTACTTTCACTTTTTCTATCCTGCTAAGAATGTACAAAATAACCCAATAGATCTATTCGCTTCAGTCTATTTTAAATGCTTAATAAAAATAAAAATTGAGATTCATTACATTCAATGTAAGAAATAATTAATATGCAAAGCACAATTAAATCAGAATCTTTATTTAAATTCTGATGTTTCGCATAAAAAGAACTTCTTACACTTTTACTTATTAAAAACTACAGCAAGACATAATTATTTATTGTTTGTAATATAAACAAATAATGAAAAGATTATAGAGGAATATGAATTTAATATTGTTCATATAAAGTCAACGATTTTTTAAATAACATTTTGCTAAAGTTCATACTTTCATTTACTCATATCATTTTCTTTGATATTTGATATTTGATATTAAACATACAAATAATTACTTTCAACTGGAAATCGACATTACATTTAAAGTTAAAGAAATCTAAAATAAAATCGGCAGCACACACATTTATCGCCACATGCGATCAATTTGTATGCAGCTACAAGCAGTCTTCTTAATTTTAGGTAAAGGATGTCGATTTCCAAAACTTATCTATTACAATGGATGTGACTGGAACAAATAAAAGTACATTTAATTTCTTAAATAAATTATTACGAAAAGTTGATAAACTTGAATATACCATATATAACGAAATCTAAGTCTTAGTGTGTACATTTGTATGCTTTAAAATGGATGTAAGAAAGAAAACATTTTTGGATATATAAACTAAAATTATATACCAAAATCACTAAATATTAAACTCTTCTTATACTAAAGTAAAAAATAGTTCTAGAATTTAATGATGACCTGTCCTATCCTGTAATTTAAAACTAACTTAGCAATATAATAATATTATTATTATATCTATATATATTTATATATAAATGTATATATATGTATATACATACAATAATAATAGTAATAATAATAATATTTATAGGTATGTTCTTCTATAATGATAGTAAAAACACTTACAATTCTATGTTATGGAAACCGATTTTAATGTTTTGATAAATTTAAGGGTACATCTGGAAAGCAAAAAAAAATTATATATGTAATATATTTATTAATAAATAATAAAAGCAACGGAATCATACCTGAACTAAGTTCATCTTTAATGCTATTTGGGTAAAGTGCAGTTGGTGTTGCTTCCATATTTTGTGCTGAAGGAGTGCTCTTTATTACTGTATTCATTTCAGTAGTATTATCAGTCAATTTGGTTGTATGTGCTGTTAGAGCGCTCATATTTAATCCACTGTGTATACCTGTTGCAGGTGTCATAAGCATATTATGATGGTTAACTGCTGCAATAGCTGCATTTTGTTGATAATGTGTCCCTACTGCTGGAGACATAGGGGTTGCCATACCATTGAAAGCAGCTGCTATACTGGCAGCGCCATTATATGGAAAACTATGGAAAGGAGGTGATATACTTGCTGCAGTTGGCGGTGGTAGCACAGGTGCACCAGCACCAGGACTAGTGCCTGGATAATGGTGCATCCATAACGGATTATGCCGTAACGCTGCTAGTGTTAAAATATATGGATGATAATAGGGCGACGATACTACCGATGGAATGTAAGCTGCAGCTGCTGCTACTGCAGCAGCTGTATTATTTATTGGCGGTGGTGGACCACTAGACTGCGAATGGGAACTGGGCACACTACTAGCGGGTGAGGGATACATATAATAATTAAATGGCGAATTAATTGAACCAATTGTGCTCCCAGGCGAACTGCCTTGTAGCAAATTTTGATTGCTTGTAATAGGTGTTTTACGGTCTTGTACAACAACTTCTTCACAATTGCGGTCGCTCGGCGATGGGCAACTACTCGTTGTACTAGCATTAGGCGAAGCAAACTGTCGACGTATTGATGCAGTCTTTTTTGGTACAGTGCGTGGGGTGGAATCGCGAGGCGATGCAGTTAATGAACGTGGTGGTGACAGCTCTCGCTTAACTAGGCCCGATGAACTGGACGAGTTTGGAATGTGTGCTGAAAACGTTGTAGACATTGTTTTACTATTAGATTGAGAATTGCTATTAAAAGCAGATGAATGTCGAGGTGAACGTACAACATTAATTGAAGTTGAATTTGAATTTGAATTTGAATTTGGGGACAATGAACTTTGCGGAGCTGTAACGTATTTTGGTGACATCATATAATTTGAATATAAGCCTTGTTGTTGGGAAATATGAACACTAGTTGAATGTAGAGTGGATCCTATGCTATGCTCTACTAAATAGCGCGGCTTGTGGCTTATATTGGGACCAGATCCCGATTCTGGTGTTGACGAATGCGGTGATTTTTGCCCATAATCATTATTTAAATTAGAGATAGGACTACGTGAATGTGAATCTTGCATTGCTGATACATAAGGTGGCGAACGTTTTCTGTGTGTAGAACTCGATGGTGATTTACCACCACAACTATTTATATTACTTTCAGGTGACTTAGGAGATGCCAGCATCGTACGTAAGTGTGAAGGATCCGTTTTATTTTGTATTTGCTGATGATGCTGATAATTTATGTTACTAATAACTGCTTGCTCACTATGTTTTTTTTGATTATTTGACGAGTTTGAAGAGTTGCTGGTACTATTACCACTAAGGAGGGAATGAATGCTATAAGAACTATATAGCCGAGGTTGAGCAGAACTTGTTGTCGTAATAGGTTTTAAATGCTTATTAGACGATGTCGAAGTTAAGTGGTTACCATTTGACACTACAGTTGAACTTGATGATATTGTGCTATTTGCTAAAGTATTACAGTCCCGTAGATTTGCTTGTATTCGATTTGTAGGTGATTTGTCACAACGAAACTGTGATGTCATTATACCAGTGGTAGATGTAGAAGTTCCTTTAGCACGACTTCGTTTCCCACCAGCTACAGTAGAATTATCCTCTAAAGACACTTTTTCGAATTCACGCAATATTCTTTTACGGGGCGATACATGTTGTTGATGATATTCAACTAATCTTGATGCAGCTGATGAAGACGGAGGCGAAACCTATATCAATAATGGGATATTATTTAAAAATTTTTTTTTTAATATTATAATTCAATTAATAGTACCTTTTGCGCCAAAACGTTACTGGAACTAGATGAATAACTACTACTAGCTCCACATGTAGAAACATGATTTTTTGCCAAACTAGCTAGACGTATTGGAACTTTGTCAATTAATTTCTGAATTATAGTAGTGAGCTTTGCTCTAATTTTTATTTTGGATTTCTTAAGTCTTTTTTCTTCTCCTTCTATGCTTTCTATGCTTTCGATCTTGACTTTTGAGTCTTGTGTTTCATAAGAACTAGTATTCTTACTTTCACCATTTACTTCCAACTTAGTACTTTTATTCAAACCTTCGACTGTAGTAGGTATATTTGCTTCGTCCTCACTGGTATGCATTTCTTCCTGCTTCTCAATCTTTATATCTCTTTCAATTTTTAGATCCGGCAATTCATCCGACATGCATTGATTTTTCGCTATTTCAGTTCCACTTAATTCAGGCAATTCTGTATTCGTCAATCCATTTGTACAATCTTCACCTGTTAATGTAACACTTGACGAACAAGATGATCCATCCTCTTCGCAACTAATCTTACTGCCATTTCTCAAATTTTTTCTCTTCTCTTCTAATATATCATTTTTTAACTTTTTCTTAGATTCTACACTAAACTTCAAATCTGTTTCACAATCCATTCCAATTTTGAAACTGTTCAGGTTTTCCTCAAATAATGCTATAAAAATATTTCTCTCCATTTCAGTAACCTCATGAGGTTTTCTTTTCTTTCTATTTGCTATGAGCAATGCTTTTGTTGTAAGTGTTACGCCTTTTGGTCGTACATAGTGAAGAGACATTTCCTTGGATATATCACGACGTGGAGTAGATTGCTTCCAGCAATGATCACGCTGCCAAGGAGATGATTGAACTGAACTATTATCATCAGAAACTAAAATGTTATACTTATTAATCATTTGATTTTATTTTAATTTTAATTTATTTACAGCTCAAAGATGTAGAACACTCTTTGTTTTGGTATACAGATGACAAGGCAGAAGTTGGTGTAACAGTGTATGATGTTGCAGATGGTGAACGAAATAGCTTACGTGGAACGGAAATCCAACCACCTCTTTCTCCGTCCTTTGCTCTGGCTAATTCAAGAATAAATTTTCCATCTACACCAAACAAAAACCATATAAAAAATTACTAAAACATACTATTCATGTAACATACCTTTGAAGAACTGTAATCTACCGCCATATGCACTATTAACTGGTTGATTTTCAACATTTGCCAAATTTGAACTCCTACTTACGTCGGTATTGCCACTAGACTGTTTACTAGCATTGTGAATGGCTCCACTAGGTATTATAGTTGTTGATGAGGCGGAACTATAATCTAATACACCCAATTCGGATTTCAAATTATTACTACTCATTGCATTTGTATTAAGTTGATTTGATACAGATGCTCCGAGACGAACTCCTGTTGCTGCACTAGTCGCAGCAGCCATCGCTTTTGATTTCTTAGTATTGGCTGGCGTCGGTGACGGCGATAATCCATTATTGTTACCACTTCCCCTGACGGAGGCAGGCACTGAATTTATCTGCGCTATTGGTGGATGATAAATTGAACCTCGCGTTGCTGTGCTATCAGCGTAACCCGATGAAGTCTGTTGTATTGGTGCTGGCAAGTGAAAGGTTCCTGAAGTTGTTATTAGAGCAGCGGCAGCCGTGCCATTTGCAGAACCATTTTTAACTAGCAATTTAGAGGTTTCTAAAGTATTTTCGCTTTTATTATTGTTGTTAGTGCTACTGCTGCTATTGCTATTTTGATCATCGTTCATTTTAATCGTTGACTCAATAGCACTGCCAGCATTGTTTTTGCCCACATTTTTACTGTCATTTGATAATTCCGTTTGCTGAAGACTGAAGATGTCTGTCCTTATCTTTATTGAAGAGGAATTTAAAATCTCTGTTTCTTCTGTAATTTCCGATTGCTGTCCATTGATATAATGATCTATTTTCATTTCATTACCATCCCTCTCCTTCCATTGAAGATTTGATGCCATAAATCATGACTTGCTGGTGGAAATACGTCTTATACTATAAACTTGATATATTTTCAGCCTCATGACATATTCTAATTTAAAAAATTTCAAAAATATTATAGAAATTAAGAAATCAATAAGTGAATCTATATTGTGTAAGATAAATAAATTTCTGTAGATTAATAAATATAAAGAATGTATCAATTCAGTATCATATTACTTTAACTCATTTACTTATTAAGCAATAGTTAATAGAGGCTATTAAATATAATTTATTATAGTGTATTATTTTATATAGTTATAGAAACTTGACGTCTCCTCATTTGAACTCCTATTATAAATATATTTTTAATAGGAATTCAAATGAATATATATAATAGGAGTATATATGTGTATATTACAAGTCCATAATAGTGAATACTGGAAGTCAGCCGGGACCGATGTTGTAAATAAAATAAAATTAATACACGAGTGGCTCTTTTATGTTTTTTGATACTCTTTGGTAATTTACTCACAAACACTGAAACTTTTTTACTTTTATTGTGTTTCGTTTCATTGTTTCAATTAAATTCACACCCAAGAGCACAATCCACATTTGAAAGAAGCAAATAATTTTACCAGGAAAAGCAGCAACAAATTAAGTTTTCTCAACTGCCATTTTGTTTTAAAATATTCTTTTGTTTTCCTACTGATTAAACTTAAAAATTTTAGCAATAAAATGTTTATTTTCAGTAATACATTTCTCTATTATCATTTAAATCGAAATCCTCTTCTAATCTTAACCTACATCAACTTAGTAAAATGTCGAAATATTTAATGCCGCTGACCTTTCGTATACATATTGTTGCAGTGGTTTTTAACGCTATTCCAATTGTGTATATATAAAAAGCTAGAACGTTTTTAAGTTATCAGCAGTTTAGGATCTACTACTCGACGTTCCTAAGTGCTTGACTGCAATTCTCTTCCCACAAGTAATATAATTATGATGACAAATGCACTCATTGCTTCTGCTTCTGCTTTTGCTTATCAAATATTTAATATAAAATATTTTATAAATGCACATAGGAGAGAAGTGTGAATTTAACGGAAACGAAACACACATTTAAATGTAGGGGCAGTGCTGTCAAGGGAACTTATATAAAATATATCCAACACCTATGTCGGCGAACGGAATAGCAAACGTCAACTAAATATTTTTATTGGCACCTTTTCAGATATTTTCAGATAACTTTTATATATTTCTTTCAACATTTTAACAATTAATTTATCACTAATATAATATTAATATTAACCAAAAGTGGACTAAGTCCCCACGAAAGTACACACGACCAACCTTAAAACGTATGGAAAATGTATGTAAAAAACACACCAATTACCAAAATAATTTTCAATTTTCAGCTTTTACACTCAATAAATTTTAGTTGAATTTACGCATATTATAAAAAGTGCACATAAAATAATATTTTTAAATGTTCGAACGCAAGAAAATTGCAAAAATTATACTAGAAATGAATTAAAACAAAATTGTTAATAAATATGCTAGCAAGCACACACAACGAACAAACAGGCATAGCCAGTGCTGCCAAGTTCAATATTTAAATTTGTGTATGTACTACTAATTTTTTACAATACATAATTCACCAAAATATATATATTCTTTTATATACATTTTGAATATATATTATTAGATTAATTAATAGCATCTTTAGTGGTCAGAATTTTATTCTTTTATATAAGTAATTTATTAAATAATAATGAAATTTTAAACCGTTTTTTGATACTATTAATAAATGGGTAATAGGCAACACTGTACATAATTTTTTTTATATCTATGGTGAGACAACGTTTCATTGTCAAAATATTTCCCATTCTCTTTTGCACTTTTTATAAGTAACGCGAGTGTGTGTGATTTATATGCACACGTACAAATTTTTACAACAATAAAAACTGTATGGGAAGTTTAGTGCTGTGTGGGAAAATTCCTATTAGCGTGGGAAAAATGAAATTTTCATGGGAATTAAAATTTGACGGGAAATTATGATAGGAAAAGGGTACATTTTTGCAAGACGTTATTAAGAAAATTTAAACAAAATCATAATTTAATTTATTATTTCGCTTTTAATGAAGTAAAGGTTGCACACCTTTACAAATATTTATTTTAAATTATTATTATATTTTCGTAAACCAAAAGAAGAATTTATTACAAATTATATTTTTTTATTAAGTTTAACTAAAGGTTTGCCTACACGGTGTATGTAATTTTGGTAATAATTTTTTAGATTATGCCATTATGCCAATGACATATGTGTCATATAGATAGTATGACTCCGGTTCACTTTTTTAATTGTATATTTCAGCATACAATTTTTGCATTTCTTATCAAAATATTGAGAACTAATGCAGCTCATGCCCATTAAACCCACACATATCCAATTCAAACTATTGAATCATACGAAAAATAAATTATACATGCATTTAGCATAAAAAATTCGATTTATTTTAAAATGTGATATAAAAATTTCACATATTCTTGTTAACAAGCAATTCAACAGAAAATGTATGCAAGCAACATTTAAAAAATCATCACAAAACTCATCAAATTCTTATATTACTTTCATAACAGTTTTTATTTATAGTCAAAAAGATTTGTGTACGCTTAGAAAGACAATTGCTAGACTTAGGTATTCTCTTCATAATTTCTATTGATAAATTACATAATATTTACAAACATACTTATAATACATATTTCTTAACTAAGCTACATAAAACAAAGAATAATTATCTTATCTAGCATTCGTCACATTACCCATTCACGCACTTGAAACAGTGATCAATACCGAAACTAGGAAAATTGGTACTTAAAATTTCAAATACACAATATGTATTAATTAACGATGTTAAGTTCTATTCCTGACTAAATTTGTCTAAACAAATTGTTCTTGACTGTTTGCCGAAAGTTCCATAAGTCTCCATGCTGCTTTCGGATTGAGTTCATTTCTATCTCTACACAAGACCCACACATAATTTACTCTCATCACTTTTTCTGGATCGCCTTCAATCACTTTACGCAATTTGTCTCGCACACATAATATTTGTTGTGCTTGAAAAGTTATTATTAACACGGGCCCTTGTTCCATTACTTTGCCAAGAGCAAGGTCAACATTTTCAATATCCAGAGTTTTAGAATCTAAAACTAGTCCGGTTTTAAGCGCTTGAGTTATTGGTGTTGATAAAATATTATAAGTGCTCTCAAAGCACCAGTCCTTTAGTATTTCTAGATCTCCCCGTGTCATCGCCTCCAATATGTTAGGTATTATATCTGTTTCACAATCACGCAGGAATTGTTTTTGATCAAAGCCTGGATCAATTTTGCACAGTTCAGTCAAAGTTTCTGAAAGTTCGGTTTTTGAGAAAAGACCACCCATGACATCAGACACTTTATCAGTTAATAAACGTGAAGCACGTATTACGGGATTTTCTGATTCATCATATTTCAGTTTCCAGTCCAGTACTTTGTTAACATATGTATTATTGTTTTTAAAATTTTCCCAAGATTGATAAAATTTTGAATCTTTATGTAACTCCACACCTAAATGAACATAAAAAACATAATAATGTTTACAAAAATTATACACAAGATGTGCTACCTGTTGCATCTGCATTGGGCTCCACGATTCGGTCGTCAGCATTTAATTCAATTTCTACACGCTTACGCAATTTTATAGGTGGTCGATATACCCGAGAATTCATACTTTGAGAATCTATTTCGTTTTTTATTAGTTTCGTCGTGTCCGAAATCGCTTGGAAAGCTGGCATTTGACCAAGTTTTTCTCCTTTTTCTGAAATGGTGTCTGTTACACCTTTCGCGGTTTTTGATATTTCTTCCGTAATTTTTGACGCCTTTTTCGCAATATCTGTTTTACTCGCTTCATCGATAACATCTGTAACTTTTTCCTTTATCGTTCCTAATTGTTCCTTGAGTATACTGGAAGACTTGTGTGCCTCAGCTTCAACGATGTTAAATTTTTGTCTCGCTGATTGCAACGCTTCTGATTGTTCCAATTTTTGCGCTTCTTCCCGAAATTTCTTGATATTTTCTTTCATTTCATTGCTTTTATTCATTTCACTCTTGATGTTTTCAAGGAACTTTGAAAGGAATCCAGGCCTTCGACCTGGTTCTGAATAGTTGCGCTAGTAAAAGTAAATATGCAAATCAAACATTTGTTCGCCATATATTAGAAACTTATTTTAGTTTACCTCGCATTGCGAATTTTGCAAATTGTATTGGTGCCTAAGTCTTAAACATGCTCCACGTGAAGCTACCACAAATCTGAACTATAATTTCCAAAAACAAAACATTTTTATTCATAATTTATTGTGGTTAACCTACAAATTAATTTTATTGTACAACATTTCATCATCTTTTCTACTTTAGATGCCGACATAAAAACAAAGAGCTTACCATTTTAAACAATTTTGAAAAAACTATAAATTTCGAGTTTTTAAATAAAAAATAAATTTTTAGCTTTATGTAATTTATTTGTTTTTTTTTGCAAGTAACAAGCGCCTTGAACCGCTATCGGAAAATCATGCTGCCCGAATGGGATAAAAAATATGTTTAGCGGATAGCCAAATGTCAGAAATACAATGTTGCCAAACTTTTTATTTTTATTTTTTTGTATTTAGAATACATCATTTTGACAGATAAGTAAATATATTGTTTTTATTTTCTAATTCATTGTAATTTAAAAAAATTGTTTCAAACCAGTAATAACTTTGTATACACTGAAGTTAAACCAAAATTAAACCTTTCTTTCATCTTAAATATTAAGTTTTATACTATATTAAAAATTCTTTTTCCGAAATTAAAAACCATTTTAATCATATGTGTTTTTAATTAGATTCAAAGAATACTTGTACAAGAACGGCAACTTAAATGTAAACAAAAAAAACCAACCAATACACTCTCAAAATAATTTACTACTACCAAACCAAGCACGTTGTTTTGTTGTTGCAATTCGACCCACCCCGACTGAAAAGTTTCACCACCCCGAACAGAACGTTTCACCACCACGAACGGTCTTAATTTTTTTTATTACGAAAGAGCAATATGAAGAGCGCAAATTGGGTTTTGTTTAGTTATTTTGACAGGAGAAATGCGCCAAAAACTGAAAAACGTAGTCAAATCAAACTGAGTTATAAAAAGTAGTGAATAAGTTTCTTTGAAAAAATAATTATATTTATTATAATTGTTATTATAGTAAATTATTATATATTATTATTAATATTTGAAGATGGTGCGAAATTGCGTGATGGGATGTAAGTTATTTAAGGGAATGTATGAATTTCCTAAAAATGACGAAAGAAGGTAAAAAAACAATAATTTATTAATTGTGGATTTAAAATATATGTTTTGTGTTTAATGTGATTTGTTTGTTTTGATGTGTATAAATACAAATTAGTAAAGCAAAAATATATGTGAGTATATATTTAATATATTTTAATAAAGTTGTGCTATGTGTTAATTTGTGTTTGTTAAATATGTGAAAAATCCAATAAGAAATATAAAAAAAAACAAAAATTGTAAACAATTTTTTGATGGTAAAAAGAGTGGAGTATGTAAATTATATTTGTATATTAAAATATTCATATTCAAATGTATGAATAGTTTAAAGACTTTTAATATTATTTAATTTATTATTAATTTAATTCAACAATTTTATTTTTAATAAAATACTTTTATGCAATAAAATAACTTTTAATATGTTTTCTAATTAACAAATTTTACTATTTCATTTGTTCATGTTAAAAACACTGAATTGAACTAAATCGTATATTTCTTGGGACTGCTTGAAATTAGAAAATATAAATTTTTGACAATTTTTGTCAAAAATTGAGGTTGCTTATTTTGCGTTATTAATATTTTGTATTTTGTTGTTTTCTGTTTTATTTTCAACAGTTTCAATAATTGAATTGCCTTAATATAACAGTATTCTAAAACAGTAAAAGTATTCTTTGCTAATTCCGCAGTTCATTTACAAAACTGTATGTTGAAATTTCTTTAATTAATAAATAATTAATAATTAATAAATTGTTGAATACAGGCGAAATTAAAATTCATAAATAATAACACTAAATTGTTGAATACAGGCGGAATTAAAAATGCCCTTCAAAAAAGGAAAAAATGTTAAACAAACAAAAATTACTGATACAATGGGAATTAAGACCAAAAAAGCACAGGCTAGTCCTAAACTAAAGCAGGATATAAATTTGCAAGAAAAGTAAGTTAAAGTGAATTAATAAAAGAAATGCTAAAATAATTTATTTATTTCAGATTCAGCCCCCGTGAAGAACCAAAAGAACAATCAGTCTTTCCAGTTACGATCAATGAGTTTATTGAAAACACAAATATAATCGATGTAATTAAAGATTATATTAAAGATAAACATCCAACAGCCTTAGAAACATATCTCACGGAACCAGAAATCATGTTCAGGGTAAAAAATACATATAACGTTTTTTACAAAAGACCACAGCGACGATGTATGGCACCAATGAAATATGTTCGCATCACTAGTGACTGTGATGAAAACACAAAACAACGTTTGTTTAAAATTCCAGAATATTATAAACATTTGTGTGAAAATAAAGATAATGAACATCAAAGCGTAAAAAAAAGTTTAAAGAAACAAGATAGTTCTCCACATAAAAATATAAATAGGTAAATATTAAGTAGAGAAATGATTGATTATTTAGCCATTAAAAAATTTATGTATGTGCATTATAGCGTTACCGATAAAAAGATATTAGAAGAAAAGATCCTGGGACTAAAGAGGTATTTAAGTTATTTAAATAAATAAATTATTTTATTAAAACGGAATTTTTTATAAATATAGTATTATATCAAATTTTGATGCTAACAACAAAGAAACAAATGAAAAAGTGCGCAACCTTCCAGTCAGTTTTGAAACGTTTAAAAGGTTAACTTTTCACAATGATGTTATTGCTAACATTTGCCAAAGCATAAAGGAGTTGGAGTATGAGTTGCCAATTTCAAATATATCAAAAGAAGAATTATTTGATAATAATAAATTACTTCGGAGTTACTACAAAACATTTTACATGCAAACGGTTATTCGGACAATATTTCCATTGAAAATAAAACCATGTCCAGGACGTTTTAAGGACAAACTTTTGAAATATCCAGAAATTACGTCAGATCATGAAGGTAAATAAAAATATTTTGTCACAAACCTTACTATTAAGTAATATTTATTTTAGAGCCTACAGTAAGTAATAGAGATGTTATAAATGCTAATACGAAGGAACATTTAAATAAAACATTTATATTTTTTATTATTACAAATTTAAGCTGTTGCAGATAATGCTGTCGAGAAATCTATGATACATCAACAAAATCAGAAGACACCAACATTAAGTCCAGCACACTTGAAGTCAAAAGTCTTGCCGTTTCCAAACAAAAATGTTGGTTCCGATAATGGTATATTAAAAATTTATTTGATAAAATTTTTTGTTATTAACGATTTTATATTGCAGATTCAACGAACAGTGATGAGAATGAAGAAGATATTATAAATGTACCAGTGATAAAACCTATCGGCAACAAAACTAAATTAAATCAATGTAATAATATTATTTTCTGTTTTGGTTTATTTTTTATTTCATTGTATTTTATTAATTTTGTATTAAAAACAATTATATTTTCAGCATTAAAAAGTAAAGCAGCCAATGAGAATGCTAATCAACACGTAACAAATCTTCAAAAAGAAACAAAAACTCCGGAATCAAGTCCACTCATAAATGTTTTCTTGCAGACACGAGATACCCCTGACGAGAGTAAACAAAAAAGGTATGAATATTTTAATGTTTTATATTAAATTTAAACTGAGAATTTTTTATTTCTTTTTTTTTTTAAAACTTATACATTTATTTATTGTATCTTCTCCTTTTAAAATCTTATCACTAATTACATATTACAAATTTTTGTTTTAACTATACATTGTATAAAATAAAATAAGTAAACGAACCTCACTTAGAACAATGGGTTAAATTTCATTGGAGTGAATGATAAGTGGTGTATCAAGGAAGCAGTTCAACTTTATCAGATTACTTAAAAGAAAGAAGCGGTTTTCACTTCAAGCTATTGAATATTAATTAATGGCTGGACGGTCAGCTCTTTTTAGGCAGGAAGTAGTGAATAGATGTGCGAGATTTCTTGCTAGGAGAATAACATGTTCGGTCAGCCTTTTATTGTATTTTTTTCTTATATTGTCAAATTCAGTTTTAACTAGGGGAATTTCTTGATCTCGTTGAATACTTTCATTCCTTATATACCATGGGACACCAATAATTGTTCTCAGTAGCTCTTTGGATAATTTCAATATTTGAAGCACTAGCGTAGCCAAATAGCTGAATAGCATAAGTCCATATTGGTTTTATGACGCTGTTATACAAGAGTACTTTACACTCTAGGCATAGGGAAGATCTACTAATTATAAGCCAATGCAACTTAGAAGCTTGGAGCTTCATCTGAATTTTTTTGGCTTCAATATGTTTGCGCCAAGTTAGTTGTCTGTCTAGATGAATACCTAAATACGTTATATTATCTGCTTGTGGTATGGGAATGTTATTTAGTAAAACTGTTGAAGATGCACTCCGATTTACGGTAAAAATGACGTGTCTACATTTTAGTTTATTTATTTTAATTCGCCATTTTGACAACCATTTCTCCACCCGAAATAAGAGAGATTGAAGTTGGTTTGAAGCTAGCACAACGTTTTTGTTTCGACATAAAATTGTCGTATCATCAGCAAACGTTGTGGTGACAACTGAGCTACTTATTGGGATATCAGATGTGTAAAGTACATACAAGATAGGGACAAGAACACTTCCTTGTGGAACACCAGCTTCTATTGGGAAATTATTAGATATATATCTAATAATTATTAGTATATGATCTATATATAACTTTAAAGCTTCTGTTATGCAGATACAATTTTAAACTGAGTGGACATTTAAAGGTAATAAACAGCGTATTTTATGTAGGAGCCCATTGTGCCATACTTTGTCAAAGGCTTGTGTAACATCGAGAAATACCGCGGAGCAATATTCTCTGAGTTCAAACGCGTGTCTTATTTCGTTCGTTATACGATTCACTTGCTAGTTCCATGTTTTTCCCTAAAACCAAACTGGTGGGAGAGTATTACGTTTTGACCGTCAAGAAATGGTTTCAGCTTTAAAAGCAATGCTCTTTCAAAGTGTTTAGAAGAGCATGGCAAAAAGGTTATTGGCCTGTATAAAGAGGCAAGCGTGAGATCTTTACCTGATTTGAGAATCATAATAATCATGGGTGTTTTCACTCTGTTGGGTAAAAGCCAAATTTATTAATGGCATTAAAAAGTCTTGTGATAAAATTTATAGCCAAAAGGGGTAAGTTTTTTGATAGAGTAGTGGTGTTATTAAAAAAGTACTTTTCTCTACATATTATTTAAAAAATTGTTAATATTTTATCTTAGGCTTCAACTAACAATCACACATGATGATTCGAAATACGCACTGAAATTTCAAGACTTCGTTGAGAGCACCAATATTTTAGACCTTTTAAGAAATTCGAGCGATTCTACTGATGACGACTTAGTAAATTTAGCATTCGAATATTACATCAAATTTGTTACCAACCCTGTTAATCCAAATGTGGAACTATTTAAAAATTTGATGATACATGCAAATGAAAAATCATTAAAATTATTTTATACTATATATACTCAAAATAAAAAAGACTCGCCTAAAGAAGTAAAGGCTATAGAAGATATGTAAGTTTAAATTATTATTATATATATTTAAAATTTGATTTTAATGTCAGTCATGACGTTAGTGACTATTTTAGGTAATAGATTTATATTTGTATTTAATATAGAGGTTTTGAACAGCACTGAATTGCAACAACAAATTTTTTATTTATTTTAAATAAATTCGATTTAATTAATTAATTTTTAACCAAAACTTCGATTAATTCAAAATAAATAAAAAATTTTATTGTTAAAATTCAGTACTACTCGAAACCACTGTATTAAAAGTAAGTTTGATGATTCAGGATATTTTCTGGATAATCAATATGTCATTTTGATAAATTTTATTATTACATGTATAATATGAAATACACAAAAAAAACATGCATGTAAATAAAATGAAACTTGTTTTTTCAAAATGAAAGTAGAAAAAGTAACAAAAATTTTTAAATACAAATTTTTGTCAGTTTTTGATTTATTTGTTCAAACGTAACAAGCCTTTTCTATTCTTTTTATAAATATTTGCAGGCAGGGGCCGAAAGCGAGTAAGTCCATTAATAGGAATAATATGTTTCCTGTCTCAATAGTTGAATTCAAAAAGTACACATATTACAAAGAAGTGCTACTTCAAATTTTGAAAGAAAAAGCCAAAGGCGATGAAGAAATTTTCGCAAAATTACGGAGCAATAAATTGGTTTGGAAGAAAGCGCTGCGATTGTATTACACAAATTTCTTTTTTAAACCATCGATACGTAAAAAATACACTTTGCGTTTGAAAGAAATGCCGCAAAGTTTGAAGGCAAAATTTTTAGAAATACCTGCAAAATCAACTACAGTGAAGGAAAGTAAGTATTAAACTCAGCTAAAGCAAATTTTTTATATTTTTATGTTGTAAAGATTTAGCTGCGTTGTTAATTCTTTGCATTAGGATTTCCAATCTTTTGGGGGAACTAAGGCCTTTATAATTTATCCACTAATTTGTAGGTTTGAATTTACATTATATACGTTTGCGTAACATTTTTTCTAGCAGAGTTGCACAACGTACACCAATAAGTGACCACTGCCCAATGAACAGTTTATACCATATTCTCTACTACCAAAGTGTGGTAAATTGAAGCTTCACTAAGTCTTCTGGGAAAGATATGACTGCCTTCTCTGCTCAACAATAAATAAACAATGCTATATCCATTCTATGCATTTAGGTCAACTATATTGCAAAACCGAAGTGGTTTTCACCCATTCTGATATAAAATCTAATTTTTGACGTTAGGATATATAGACAATTTACTACTTTGTCAGTTGATTAAATTCAAGACACTGTTCTTATCTTATTCTAACATGGCATCTCCCGTAATTATGATATTCTCATTACCAATCTCAAACACACCATTGCATAGATCTTCGGTTTCCGATTGTTACAATTAAAATACACCTGAATGATATACGCTGATTCCTTTTTCAACTATAATTCTACTACTATCACGCTTAGAACAGTAACATATTGAATTCCTAAGCTCGTCACTTATTCTTTTTTGACTTCGTATTTCATTCTACTATAGGCTATACTTCTTCTTGCGGAATGTTGTGGTTGACGAGATTTGGTTCCATTCGTCTTTTTAATCTAATTACATCAAAGGTTTTCACTATGTTGTGATATAACGTATTTATATCACTGATATTAACGCCATCGAATACTTGAAATATTTCTATTTAACTTTTAAGTCTATTCATCAGAATAATCATTGTTTCCCAATAACCAACTCTTATATAAGAGAGGAGTGATGATATCATAACTAAAAGATTTTAAGAGTCATGATTAAATTTTTGGTCGTTCGTTCGAATCTCAATAAAAACATATGATGATTGTTGGTGATTGTAATCTGTTTTGTTTTTAGAAAAAAAATGTGATAAAAACCATTTAAAAAGTGATAGAGAATCAAATTACACCTATTTCGATAGCTATAAGCCATTATCTGATGAATTTTTATTAATGTACATATCAAAAAAAGTGTCTGATGTTAATAAGCATCCAGAAATTTTAAAACGTATAAAGGAAAATAAACAACCACATAAAAGACAGTCGGGAATAGAAATAATATCAATAGAAACGATTGTGCCACCAAATATTGAAAATGAAATAACATTGGATGAACAATCGCCAGTCATACCTGAAGAAAACATGGAAATATTCAATAAGTTGTTCGATCCAATTCCTTTGGTAATTGAAATGAACTTATAATGAATAAATTTATATAATTTTACTAATTCTTTTTTTAGAAATGTACTTTATCCTATGTACTTCGCTTTTCTTTTGGTCCAAAACAATCTGTTCTGCGCACATTGATGCATATATCGTTCGAAGATTTCTGCAAGTTCACAAATATTTATCAATTGTCTAATATTTATAATGATAAACTAAAACTATTCAAAATTTATGAATCCACGATTAAAAAAGAAATATGGCCGTTTAATTTATATATGCGCATAAGTGATATTTTCCTTTATTTACTGTTAAATGATGTAAAGCTTGATTTAAGTGATTTACAACATATATCACCAAAGTTTTTACATTGGAGTGATCTTGCAGTGAATACTGATTTTAATGAAATTGTACAAGAAGATTATTTTAATATGAATGGAGAGCGCATTGATGGTGATGAACAGCTACAAATTTCTCGTGAAAGTTTTTATACTCGTTGCTGGAATGAGGACGATTGGATATGGAAAATACCCAAAATAACTAATAATTCGATCCAAGAGAAAATTAATGTTACTAAAGGCAAGTGATTAAAAGTTAAAAATTTATTACTAATGCGGGATTATTCAGAATTTCGTTATTTATTTTTATAGCTTTTTAATATGGCATAAGTATTTGAATAATATGTTCTCTATTTTGGTTCAATATCATTTTGCTCTGTTTGTAGCAGTAGCATAATTTTAGAATTTAATACTTCTATGTTTTCTTGCTCTAATACATTTAATTCTACCTATAAATGCTTTTCGTGAGTTGCCAATTTAATTAATTATAGTTAGCCTATAATGTTCGTTTGATATTCTATATAGCCTTTTTTTCATACACAATGAGTATTAGCTTCAAAATTTAACCTTTTTCTTGAGAATTAAATTAAATATAATTAAAAACACAATTGTAAATTAACCTTGTGATGATGTTAAGAATTAAGAATCGGTATTTTATGCCGCAGAGCTTTCTGTTGTCTTAGTTTCAATGCGGCTTAAGCGTGAAATTAAATGCGAAAAAAAAAAAATTTCAAATCCTCCTTAAAAATAAAACGAAATTACTTTTCGAGCCTAGTATATTTTTCCAAGTATTGTTTTCAATGCATAATCAAGACTTCAATTATATGTATACTTAAACCATTAGCATTATCTGATGAAGATGCAGAACAGTTGACTGTTGAGAAGAAAAATGTAAAGGGCTCATATATATCACTGAAAAAGTGTAAGTAAGATATATGTATATAAATATCTCTTATAAAAACATTCTTTTTGGTTTTAATCAAAGTCTAAATATATTTGTTACTTAAGCTTAAACAAAAGCAATCAATATAGTTTTTAGTAGATATTTACACTAAAGGTTTTCAGATTGAACTCACTTTTTCTTTATTCATATGTTTTTTGTAAAACTATCACTTTATTAGTATTGTCAAAAGAGTAAAGGTTATGCACACAGTACCTCTTTTAGAAACCGATTCAATTCATTAACTTTTTAAACAGGAGATAAGAAAGTAACTGAATAACTGGGTAAGGTAACACAAACTTACAACTGAACAATCACACTGACATTAACATGGCAATCAAATATTTATAAATCAGTGTTATACATTCTTTCACAACTAAAACAAAAGACAGATGGTAAACTATTACAACCTGTACATTAACGATAATCAACTCGAGCTCTCCTAACAGAAAACTTACTAAGACTCTCCTTTAAAATGATTAACAAAGTATAATTACATTTAGTGCATTAACAAGTCATTCTCTCTTAAAAGCACACGTAGATGAGTTGGAATGAGGACGGTAATTGCAGAAAAAGCAACATACCTGGATTAAACTTTATGCTGCAATCTAGAGCAATGTTTTTCAACTCAAACCGGCCGGTAAAATATTCATTCCAATTTGCAATCTTCAGTACTTATATATTCGCAAAAAATAAGACCAAAATACAATATTTCACGAACCGGTATTTAAGAAACTCTGATCCAAAAACTTTGCCACAATCCTTGTATTCATAGTTTAATCAAAACATTTATGCTAACCATACAGAAAATCAGGAAGACCTCACGATAGTGACGAAACAATTTATTTTTATTTTATATACCATAAATTACTACTGCGATAAATAACTGATTTGAACATAAAACTATAATTTTATCAAGACAGAATAAGTATTTTCAAAGTGACATAGTTCGGCGTAAATATCTTTACTAGTTTAGTTTAAGTACCAGTATTCAACGTATTCATATATATTTTTTATCATGCTTATTTCCATATTGTTCAAATATAAATCAACATAAATAAATTAAATTATTTATAAATTTTATATAGATCTAAATGAAAATTTGGAATATCATAATCACACAGAACTGGTTGAAACGTCTTCCAGTATCACAAATCGTTCCTTGAAAATTACGGACAATGCATCTACAATCTGTTAGTTTTAAAATTTTTTATTTTCTCTTTCTGTTAATAATAAAATTATTTTTAAATGCAGTTCAAAGTACCAATAACGATGGAGCATGTAGTGTTGATGTTTTGCTTTCATCACAGACTCAACCTCAGGAAGACCCAGTCTGTATGTCATACAAAGCAAATACATCAAATCCTAATAACACAGGTATTAAATTTCAATCAGCTGTTGTTGTATGTATATCAATTATTTCAGTATATTTCAGACCAGAATTATTCATTGCATTTTACTTTTACAATTTATACTACTTTAAATATTTATATAATTTCGTTATTTCTACTTTTAATTCGATGATTCGACAATCCGAGTTTAATTAATCGTTACGTTCGAAGACATGTTATTTTGCTATGTTGAGACATTATACATTGTATTTGGCACACATTTTTCGCTTTAATATTTTAATCAGGCCTATTCTGAATCGCAAGGGAATGCGAGTTTGTTCGCTGTTCCCAATTCCCCTATTCTGAATAAATTTGGTATGTTCCCTGTTCCCAATTCCCCTATTCTGAATCGCATGCGAATGTGAGTTTTTTCCTAATTTTGCACAAATTCTCTCGCTAAGGTATGACTGCCTTCTCTGCTCAACAATAAATAAACAATGCTATATCCATTCTATGCATTTAGGTCAACTATATTGCAAAACCGAAGTGGTTTTCACCCATTCTGATATAAAATCTAATTTTTGACGTTAGGATATATAGACAATTTACTACTTTGTCAGTTGATTAAATTCAAGACACTGTTCTTATCTTATTCTAACATGGCATCTCCCGTAATTATGATATTCTCATTACCAATCTCAAACACACCATTGCATAGATCTTCGGTTTCCGATTGTTACAATTAAAATACACCTGAATGATATACGCTGATTCCTTTTTCAACTATAATTCTACTACTATCACGCTTAGAACAGTAACATATTGAATTCCTAAGCTCGTCACTTATTCTTTTTTGACTTCGTATTTCATTCTACTATAGGCTATACTTCTTCTTGCGGAATGTTGTGGTTGACGAGATTTGGTTCCATTCGTCTTTTTAATCTAATTACATCAAAGGTTTTCACTATGTTGTGATATAACGTATTTATATCACTGATATTAACGCCATCGAATACTTGAAATATTTCTATTTAACTTTTAAGTCTATTCATCAGAATAATCATTGTTTCCCAATAACCAACTCTTATATAAGAGAGGAGTGATGATATCATAACTAAAAGATTTTAAGAGTCATGATTAAATTTTTGGTCGTTCGTTCGAATCTCAATAAAAACATATGATGATTGTTGGTGATTGTAATCTGTTTTGTTTTTAGAAAAAAAATGTGATAAAAACCATTTAAAAAGTGATAGAGAATCAAATTACACCTATTTCGATAGCTATAAGCCATTATCTGATGAATTTTTATTAATGTACATATCAAAAAAAGTGTCTGATGTTAATAAGCATCCAGAAATTTTAAAACGTATAAAGGAAAATAAACAACCACATAAAAGACAGTCGGGAATAGAAATAATATCAATAGAAACGATTGTGCCACCAAATATTGAAAATGAAATAACATTGGATGAACAATCGCCAGTCATACCTGAAGAAAACATGGAAATATTCAATAAGTTGTTCGATCCAATTCCTTTGGTAATTGAAATGAACTTATAATGAATAAATTTATATAATTTTACTAATTCTTTTTTTAGAAATGTACTTTATCCTATGTACTTCGCTTTTCTTTTGGTCCAAAACAATCTGTTCTGCGCACATTGATGCATATATCGTTCGAAGATTTCTGCAAGTTCACAAATATTTATCAATTGTCTAATATTTATAATGATAAACTAAAACTATTCAAAATTTATGAATCCACGATTAAAAAAGAAATATGGCCGTTTAATTTATATATGCGCATAAGTGATATTTTCCTTTATTTACTGTTAAATGATGTAAAGCTTGATTTAAGTGATTTACAACATATATCACCAAAGTTTTTACATTGGAGTGATCTTGCAGTGAATACTGATTTTAATGAAATTGTACAAGAAGATTATTTTAATATGAATGGAGAGCGCATTGATGGTGATGAACAGCTACAAATTTCTCGTGAAAGTTTTTATACTCGTTGCTGGAATGAGGACGATTGGATATGGAAAATACCCAAAATAACTAATAATTCGATCCAAGAGAAAATTAATGTTACTAAAGGCAAGTGATTAAAAGTTAAAAATTTATTACTAATGCGGGATTATTCAGAATTTCGTTATTTATTTTTATAGCTTTTTAATATGGCATAAGTATTTGAATAATATGTTCTCTATTTTGGTTCAATATCATTTTGCTCTGTTTGTAGCAGTAGCATAATTTTAGAATTTAATACTTCTATGTTTTCTTGCTCTAATACATTTAATTCTACCTATAAATGCTTTTCGTGAGTTGCCAATTTAATTAATTATAGTTAGCCTATAATGTTCGTTTGATATTCTATATAGCCTTTTTTTCATACACAATGAGTATTAGCTTCAAAATTTAACCTTTTTCTTGAGAATTAAATTAAATATAATTAAAAACACAATTGTAAATTAACCTTGTGATGATGTTAAGAATTAAGAATCGGTATTTTATGCCGCAGAGCTTTCTGTTGTCTTAGTTTCAATGCGGCTTAAGCGTGAAATTAAATGCGAAAAAAAAAAATTTCAAATCCTCCTTAAAAATAAAACGAAATTACTTTTCGAGCCTAGTATATTTTTCCAAGTATTGTTTTCAATGCATAATCAAGACTTCAATTATATGTATACTTAAACCATTAGCATTATCTGATGAAGATGCAGAACAGTTGACTGTTGAGAAGAAAAATGTAAAGGGCTCATATATATCACTGAAAAAGTGTAAGTAAGATATATGTATATAAATATCTCTTATAAAAACATTCTTTTTGGTTTTAATCAAAGTCTAAATATATTTGTTACTTAAGCTTAAACAAAAGCAATCAATATAGTTTTTAGTAGATATTTACACTAAAGGTTTTCAGATTGAACTCACTTTTTCTTTATTCATATGTTTTTTGTAAAACTATCACTTTATTAGTATTGTCAAAAGAGTAAAGGTTATGCACACAGTACCTCTTTTAGAAACCGATTCAATTCATTAACTTTTTAAACAGGAGATAAGAAAGTAACTGAATAACTGGGTAAGGTAACACAAACTTACAACTGAACAATCACACTGACATTAACATGGCAATCAAATATTTATAAATCAGTGTTATACATTCTTTCACAACTAAAACAAAAGACAGATGGTAAACTATTACAACCTGTACATTAACGATAATCAACTCGAGCTCTCCTAACAGAAAACTTACTAAGACTCTCCTTTAAAATGATTAACAAAGTATAATTACATTTAGTGCATTAACAAGTCATTCTCTCTTAAAAGCACACGTAGATGAGTTGGAATGAGGACGGTAATTGCAGAAAAAGCAACATACCTGGATTAAACTTTATGCTGCAATCTAGAGCAATGTTTTTCAACTCAAACCGGCCGGTAAAATATTCATTCCAATTTGCAATCTTCAGTACTTATATATTCGCAAAAAATAAGACCAAAATACAATATTTCACGAACCGGTATTTAAGAAACTCTGATCCAAAAACTTTGCCACAATCCTTGTATTCATAGTTTAATCAAAACATTTATGCTAACCATACAGAAAATCAGGAAGACCTCACGATAGTGACGAAACAATTTATTTTTATTTTATATACCATAAATTACTACTGCGATAAATAACTGATTTGAACATAAAACTATAATTTTATCAAGACAGAATAAGTATTTTCAAAGTGACATAGTTCGGCGTAAATATCTTTACTAGTTTAGTTTAAGTACCAGTATTCAACATATTCATATATATTTTTTATCATGCTTATTTCCATATTGTTCAAATATAAATCAACATAAATAAATTAAATTATTTATAAATTTTATATAGATCTAAATGAAAATTTGGAATATCATAATCACACAGAACTGGTTGAAACGTCTTCCAGTATCACAAATCGTTCCTTGAAAATTACGGACAATGCATCTACAATCTGTTAGTTTTAAAATTTTTTATTTTCTCTTTCTGTTAATAATAAAATTATTTTTAAATGCAGTTCAAAGTACCAATAACGATGGAGCATGTAGTGTTGATGTTTTGCTTTCATCACAGACTCAACCTCAGGAAGACCCAGTCTGTATGTCATACAAAGCAAATACATCAAATCCTAATAACACAGGTATTAAATTTCAATCAGCTGTTGTTGTATGTATATCAATTATTTCAGTATATTTCAGACCAGAATTATTCATTGCATTTTACTTTTACAATTTATACTACTTTAAATATTTATATAATTTCGTTATTTCTACTTTTAATTCGATGATTCGACAATCCGAGTTTAATTAATCGTTACGTTCGAAGACATGTTATTTTGCTATGTTGAGACATTATACATTGTATTTGGCACACATTTTTCGCTTTAATATTTTAATCAGGCCTATTCTGAATCGCAAGGGAATGCGAGTTTGTTCGCTGTTCCCAATTCCCCTATTCTGAATAAATTTGGTATGTTCCCTGTTCCCAATTCCCCTATTCTGAATCGCATGCGAATGTGAGTTTTTTCCTAATTTTGCACAAATTCTCTCGCTACCAAATTGTTGGGGAGACAAGTTAAAAAAGTATTAAAAATAGTTTAATTTAATATAAAAGTAACTGAAAATGATCAGATTTTTGAATATATTTTAATAAAATTATTATTATAATAAAATTATTACAATAAATTTAATATTTTCAAAGTTTTATTTTTTGATTAGTTTTCCGAATATATTTTAATAAATTTAATATAACAAAATTTTCATTTAATATATTTTATTAAAATTATTATTTTAATAAAAGTATAACAAATTTAAAATATTTAAGTTTTTATTTATTTATTTTATTCACACGGGTTTTTTCCACTAATTAAAGTGTTAACTATTGTTTTTAAAACAATAGAAAAATGAAAGGAAACCAAATTCTGAAATAAGTGGATTCCTAGAATAAGTTAAAATAAGTTAAAACTGCAATTATGTGCAGGTAAAACATTGCTTCTTTTTTATTGTAAGATCTTTATAGGTATAAACTAGTATTAGTTCATTAATTTAAGCATGAAGGACATTTCTATCCTAATTATATAAAAAAAGTAAATTATAATTTACGCAAATTTTGTATAAAAGCAGTGAATGTTTGAAAATAAAGACATTGAAGAATTGATATCATAACGTAAGGTTGTTTTTTAATTAGTTTAAAAAAGAGTTAAAAATTTAGAATTTAGCATTTGGTTTATTTTGCTCATGCATAATTATTTTTATATATTTATTTTAATCATTAAAATAAAAGTTTCTAATTGTTTATTATTTACTCATAAAATAACTTATATTTATTTCCGATAATTTGTGCAGCAAACAAATAATGCGATTTTTACATTTAAATCAACATATGATACGCAATTCTTTTCTTTGTTTTGCTCATTTTCTCACTTTTCGTCATTAAAAAGTGGCATGGTTGCCAAAATTTAACAAAACAAATTTGAAATTGTTGTTGTTCACGAAACTGCTGTCTCCCTAGCGATTCAGATTGAAAGGGCTATTGAAGGTAAAAAAGTGTGTTCTGTTGTATTCTTCGATGTCGCACAGGCCTTCGACAAAGTCTGGCACAAAGGTCTTTTGAATAAACTAGAAACATGTTTGCCGTCGTCATATTTTGCGATTTTGAAGTCTTACATTACCTCGAGGTTCTTTTATGTAAAACACGAAAACTGCTATTCAAATCTTTCTGCGATAAAAGCTGGTGTACCTCAGGGCAGTGTACTCGGTCCACTACTGTACCTGCTTTACACAATGGACTTGCCAATAACACCTGAAAATAAAATTGCAACATTTGCAGATGATACTGCTATTTTGGCGATTGCTGACTCCGTTGAAGAATCAATAGCCAAATTACAAACAGCTACAAATTCGTTAGACAATTGGACAAAAAGATGGCGTATCAAACTGAATTCTGCTAAATCTGTTCATGTGGATTTTGCAAATAAAAAAATACAGTATCTTCCTATTTCGATTCAAGGTACTCAAATACCATATGCCAATACTGCAAAATATCTTGGTATAACGTTGGACGCAAAACTTCGGTGGAAAGAACACATAAAAAAGAAACGGGACGAGCTTGACATGAAGTTGCGAAAAATGGAATGGCTGATTGGCCGCAAATCCACAGTATCTATGCAAAACAAGATTCTGCTATATAATCAAATTTTAAAACCTGTATGGTCGTATGGCGCTGAACTATGGGGGAGCGCTAGCCAAAGTAACGTCGAAATAATGCAACGTTTCCAGAACAAGGTTTTACGGAACATTTTAAATGCGCCATGGTACATTAGGAACAGCGATATACATCGCGATCTAAAATTGTCCACAGTCGCTGAAGAAATAAAACAGAAAGCAACAAGACACAAACTGAGGTTGCAGCAACATGTCAACATAGAAGCTGTTAACATCATAACTTCGTATGGACAACAGAGACGATTGAAACGGCGAAATGTCGCTGATATGGCATTGAATTAGAATGTAAAGTAATTTGTGTAGAAAATTGCTTATTTATGTATGTATAGTATTTATCAGATTCAAGCTACTCGTTATTTATAATGTAAATAGTTGTAGCAATAAAAAAAAACAAAAAAAAAAAAAAAAAAAAAAAAAAACAAACTTAAATTTAGTGCTTCAAAGTACTTTTGTGTTATAGTTTTTTATGTTTTTGTTTGTTATAATAAAGAAAAAATGTCCAGAGACGAAGACACAACAAAACGCAACGTGCTCTCGTTCATTAATGGACCCGAGCCAAGCATAGATCGGCGATTTCGTCCATGTCCGAAGAATATATTCAAAGCAAGTGGTGACATATCGAAAACAAGTACTATTGGAGAAGATAGGGCCATGGTGTATCTACGACTGCGTCCTGTTAATTCTCCTTCATCGTCATATAAAATTGCAGGCATGGGAAACACTCTTGTGGTGAACCCACGTTTAGATCAAACAACGACAAGTAACAATAAAGCAGCAATGGAAAAACATTTTACCTTCAGCGCGATATTCGATAATAATGATAGTCAAAAGGGCGTATACAATAAGTGTATAGGTGACAAAATAAAATTGGAGGGAAGTTTCACAGTGCTGACTTATGGTACATCTGGTTCCGGAAAGACTTTTACACTATTAGGTAAAATTCAATTAAAGTAAAATTACATGATTTGTTTAAAAATAATTGTTTCTTTAGGCGATGACGTTAATCCTGGTATTGTGCCGCGTTCCATTGAGAATATTTTCACATTATACAATTCCAATATAAATCCGCACCCGGCAGTTAAATTACAAAATGCTCGCGTAGTTATTTTAGAGGATGAACTTGTTGCCAAGGAAATAATTTCAACTCGTCAAGTGCTCACAGCTTGCGGAGATATAACCTCAGTACATAAGCAATTCCAACAAATCATATGCTCAGATCATAATTTTGAAACCACAGTTTTCGATGATGTGCTTGTTATGATTTGGGTGTCATTCGTTGAAATTTATAACGAATTTGTCTATGATTTACTGGAATTATCGGCATCTAATCAAACAAATACAGTGCCGTCTCGTAAGAATCTTAAAATTGTTAGCAACGATGGAAAAGTTTTCGTGAAAGGATTAACACAAGTTTATGTGAAGAATAGCTTGGAAGCCCTAAAATTGCTGCGCTTTGGCTTACAACGTGTCACTTACGCCTCTACTTCCATCAATGCAAACTCCAGCCGGTCGCATTGTATATTCATCATTGACGTGCTAAAGTACAATGCATCAGGTTTGATAACAGAAGTAAGTTATTTTACTATTTTACTATCATTCAAATGATTTTATCCATTATTTTTTTGTTTTGTATTTGAAGATATCTTATAAATTCTGTGACTTGGCTGGTTCTGAACGACTTGACAAAACTGGGAATGTCGGTTCACGGCTTAAGGAAACACAACGTATCAATACATCGTTGATGATTCTGGGTCGCTGTCTTGATGCTGCTAATAATTTAAATCGTAAGAAGAATACTGAGGTTATTCCTTACCGAGAATCGAAACTTACGATGTTGTTGCAAGCTCCACTGTTAGGAAAGGAGAAAATTGTCATGGTGGTTAATGTTACACCCACTGAAAAATATTATGAAGAAAATTTAAATGTTTTGGGATTCTCTTCAATCGCTAAGAATATTATCTTCAAACCACCAATTGTGAAGCAAAATAACTTAAGATTTTCATTCTTTTTGGAACCTTCCAAGTCCGGCAGTGCACAAAATGCCTACATTGAGCAATTACTCGAAGAAAATATTTTGTACGTTTTAAAATACCCTAACTCTTTTGGAATGTAATAATATATAAATTATTTATTCAAATAGGCTGCGTAATGATAATGATCGACTGATAAACGAAGTAAATAATTTCCAAATTAGGATAAATTCTGAACTCTTGCGGCAAGAAAAAGAAATTCGAAATGAACTTGTGGACTCGTTTGAAAAAACATTGACTGCAACCAAGGAACAAGCTGAAAATCGTCTGAAACAGGAACTTGAATGTCAAAAACGAGTATTTGAATCAAAGGTGAGTCAAGTGCGCTATCAATTCAGATATATTAATCACATCAATAATTAAATTTCAATTTATAATTTTTAGTTGGCAAAAGTGAAACGAGCGCATATTGAACAAATTGAAGATTTGCGTGAAGAGTTACAATAACTGAAAGAGAAAGAATGTCAAAAATATCCGAACAAACACAATCCAACACTCGCTTTTAGTCCGCGGCAAGTTAAGGTATTGCAGGCACTGCCAGAGAAGATTCGCGATAAAACTCAAATCAAAATTGAGACAATAGATTCAGTAGTCGCAGATCCTAGTCCGATAAAAAATGATAATTCGCATGAAGAATTACAAGACTTAAAAGAAAACATTTGCAATGAAATATCAAGGAAACGCAGGACATTAGAGAATATGGGAGCTTCGCATGAGGAATTTTTAGAAACTGAAAGACAGATTTACAATGAAAATCCAAACAAAGTGATTGTACTAGACGCAAATTATACGAACAAAATAGGAGAAGAATTAGAAAAAATGGAGGAGGACTCAAGCGATAAAAATTCTAACGAACTCAACACGAAATAGTCCTTGTAAAAGAGGATTAACGTTTTTTTGTAATTTATAAGAATATTTCTAGTTTTGTTTAAATAAATGTATTAGATTATATCAGTTAAAATTACACAATTTTTTACTAATTATTTTTTAATTAAGTTAAATTCAGGCAATTACAAATGAATCAGTTTAAGTTTTAAACACGGTAGTAAGATTTTTCATCGCGTTTAGATAGATGTAGCAGATAGAGCTGAACATACTTGTATCATAAAGTAATATCCAAAAATAGATTAATTTTTTTTCAAATAAAGGTAAATGTCCATTAGACTGACTATTGTATTACGGAAAAAATATGAAAAAATAATTAATTGATTTTAAATAAATTTATCTGCGTGATACCCGATATACCACCAGTAAAGCTAAAATTAATTATTTTTCTAGAATTTTTTTTATTGTATATTATGTTAAATTAGTATTATTTTGTTGTAAATTAATTAATAATTTAAGGCTTCATCGACTAAATGATGAAGTAATTGCATTAAAGCCCACATAATTTTAATTTCTTTAAGTTCTTTATTTGTTAAATACCTTATCTTTCAATATCCTTACTCGTATTATAAGCTTTTAAAAAAATAACAGTAGGAGAATTAGGAAGGAGTTGATAGTAGCTAGCACCTTGACTCTTCTGTCCGTATGCACTCCATGTAACGGGTACTGTGTCAACTTGGCAATTTACATCACTTTTTTTTTGTAAAATCCATTATATACTTAAAGTATCAGATAATGAATATTTTGTTGAAGAGATTGTTGTAGCAATATGCCAAACTGGAAGCAAGCTCAGAAAAGGTTGATAACACATTGCACAATGGGCGGAATAGAGAAAGTAATGTGAAGATATAAAGGAGTAGAAATGAAAGTTTCGAGAATGGCCATGTCAACTTACTGGAACCACTCGTCAACCAAGTATCGTTCACCACCTCCAAATGGATATTACAAGCAGCTTCTAGCGTGTTAAAAAAAGACAGGAATGACCATCTTTAAGGCATCTCTATGAATATCAGAGTTTCTAATAGACCAAAGAATTTGAATATCTCCCTTAAGTTGATATTTTGAAATTTTTTTAGTCAAGTGTAGACTTAGCTGGCTTACTAAAAGCGATAAAACCAAACTGATTCAGAATATGTGTACAGATTGTTTTCTCTGTTTTGATGTGGTGTTTAACAAAAGTCAAACGCAATTCCAATACCTCAATTAAAATCCTACAATTTTTTTTTACAGAAACAATTAAACTTCAAATCTAATGATATTTACTAAATATAATAATAACGATTACACAATAAATGTACTTAAAGTGAAGATTATTACAAATCATCCTTAACTAAAAATAACTTAAGATTTATTTCTTGAAAAATGAAGATATGCTTTTTGTTCCCTTTGCGCTCTTGGCTAATGCTTTGTCCTTAGCTGTGAGTACGCGCTCCTTAGGTGCTGGTGCCTTTGGTGCATCATTAACGATTATATTAGATTTATCATCATCCAGTGAGTCATCTAATAGGCTATTATTTTTTAATTTTTCATTAGCACTTTTATCATTCGTGTTTTCAAGTTTAATTTTTTTATTATCATTTGAATTAAGTGATTGCAAGTGATTTTCGTTTATTTGCCTGTTTCTGCTCCTCAACGATGGCTTTTATTTCCGGTTGTATTTCAAAATATTTTGTGAGATCGTCGTGTAAATCCAAGTCAATATAACCACCAACAATATCACACGCCATACGCAAATAGTCAATATCGTTAATCAGATCTTCAGCTGTTGAATTCTCGCTGGGAGTGTAATTATGTGACACGGTGCTCAGTCCGCAATAAATTCCTTTGCTTTTAAGCACATTCGCAATGTTTCGGGTTTTAAGCGCTAACCAAGCTAACGTTTTTTCTGCATTGTACTTATAAAACACCGTTTTGGAACCAGCTAATCTTTTAACATCAGCTACGCAACCTAATGTGTCTTTGTCTACAAAAGTCGTAAGCAGGCGAGAAGTGCTTAAATCTTCACTTTGCCTGCAATGCAGTTCCAGTACTCTTTGGGTGCAATGCTTGCGTATATGATGTATTGCCAAAAATGTGACATCAATCGGTGTAGTAACATAAATACGTCCATTGGAACATACATTTGAATCTATTAGCCAACTTCGTCGTGGTTCAGAGAACTGTAATACTTCCATAATGATTTTATTGGAACATGCTATAAATAGCGCGGTGGTACCTTTGCCCGGATGAAAGAAGCGTTCTAATCGCAATTCATTATCGGCATTTTGCATTAAAGATTCGGCAATATAAAATACTTTTCTTATAGATGATGCTTTAACCGTTTTATTGTCTCTTGTTGAATCATTTAATTTGGTTTCTGATTTAGAAGAACGCGTAGATTTTATTTTGCTCATATTTGCTAACAAAATTTCTTTGCATTTATTTTTGCGCGAAAATCTTGAAGTATGCTTTAATCATAAACAAAACCATTAACCGCTGTACAAAATCATGTGTATTCATATTAAGAAACAAAGAATACTTGTACAAGAACGGCAACTTAAATGTAAACAAAAAAAACCAACCAATACACTCTCAAAATAATTTACTACTACCAAACCAAGCACGTTGTTTTGTTGTTGCAATTCGACCCACCCCGACTGAAAAGTTTCACCACCCCGAACAGAACGTTTCACCACCACGAACGGTCTTAATTTTTTTTATTACGAAAGAGCAATATGAAGAGCGCAAATTGGGTTTTGTTTAGTTATTTTGACAGGAGAAATGCGCCAAAAACTGAAAAACGTAGTCAAATCAAACTGAGTTATAAAAAGTAGTGAATAAGTTTCTTTGAAAAAATAATTATATTTATTATAATTGTTATTATAGTAAATTATTATATATTATTATTAATATTTGAAGATGGTGCGAAATTGCGTGATGGGATGTAAGTTATTTAAGGGAATGTATGAATTTCCTAAAAATGACGAAAGAAGGTAAAAAAACAATAATTTATTAATTGTGGATTTAAAATATATGTTTTGTGTTTAATGTGATTTGTTTGTTTTGATGTGTATAAATACAAATTAGTAAAGCAAAAATATATGTGAGTATATATTTAATATATTTTAATAAAGTTGTGCTATGTGTTAATTTGTGTTTGTTAAATATGTGAAAAATCCAATAAGAAATATAAAAAAAAACAAAAATTGTAAACAATTTTTTGATGGTAAAAAGAGTGGAGTATGTAAATTATATTTGTATATTAAAATATTCATATTCAAATGTATGAATAGTTTAAAGACTTTTAATATTATTTAATTTATTATTAATTTAATTCAACAATTTTATTTTTAATAAAATACTTTTATGCAATAAAATAACTTTTAATATGTTTTCTAATTAACAAATTTTACTATTTCATTTGTTCATGTTAAAAACACTGAATTGAACTAAATCGTATATTTCTTGGGACTGCTTGAAATTAGAAAATATAAATTTTTGACAATTTTTGTCAAAAATTGAGGTTGCTTATTTTGCGTTATTAATATTTTGTATTTTGTTGTTTTCTGTTTTATTTTCAACAATAATTGAATTGCCTTAATATAACATTTTTTTTAAAAATTATTCTTTTTCTGGAATAAGAATTGTGTATTATAAAAAACATATTAATTTATTATTAAAAATTTTAATATGATATTTTCTTAAAGTTTTTTTCGTTTAACGGCTTTAATGCATTTTTGATCCGGTAATCTTATTCAATTATTTTCGGGTATATCGCAAGTGCATTTTCTATAAAAGTGATGCATGGCAATAAAGTTTAATATATATGTATGTATGTTTACAATTATCTAGTCCCAGATTTTAATATCATATTGAACATATTTTTAGTATATTATTCAAAAAAGACAATTTCTTTTATTTAAATATTATTCCTTATGTACGCAAACAATATATATTGTTTTAAACAAATGCCTTTAATAAATTTGTATGTTTATTAAATTATTGTTATTATTATTTCAATTCTTAGAAATAATAAATTATGAGTACAACTTGTACTTCTTTTAATTAAACCCAGCTAATATTCTTAAATACTTAAATATTTATTAATAAATATATTTTATAAATATGATGGTATATTAAAAAATTTTCAATATTTATAAAATACTTTTTTATTAAATTGCATATAAAAATACTCCTGCTTGAAAAATTCATATAAATCTAATCATACAGTAATGTATGTAAATGAATAATACGCATCATTCACCTCACACATTTGAAGCGAATGCGCGTACATCCCCACCCATCAACAGATTTATCGCTACTGATCAGAAATGCATGCAAATTAAAAATACGTACATTCATCACATAAATTTACAGCGAATGCGCGTACACCCTCCCCATCAATAGATTTTTCAGCACTAAATTTGAAAAATTTGCCTATGCAGAGAAATATAATTCATCATTCACCACTTGAGTGTTACCGTATAAAAAAGTAAATTGGTAGTAGCTTCGGTTTTTATTATTAATTACACATCATAACAGCATTTAATGATATTATTTCAATATTATATTACAAATAATGTTTTATACGCTCAAAAAATATTTAAGAAAATATAAATCATTAAATAAGATATAATCAATACTGCTTTTTTTATTTTATAAAAAAATTCTCTTCTACAAAAGTTTGTTGCCGAACATAATATATCAAAATACTTTAAAATTTATATGAAAAAATTAATTAAAATTATGAATTTGCTGAATACATATTACATGATTAAGCAAACTAAACTGATTAAAATTGACTGATTTAAATGTTTATATATTAATTTATATATTTATTTATCATATATTGTTATAATATATATTTGTTGTTATAATATATATTTTGTTTACGTGATGTGATATTATTAACCAAATAAGGTACACACAACTTTTTTATATTATTAAAAGGAAAGCATATGATAAGCAAGTAGTAAGAAATTAATATACTGCAACCCCAAAAGAGAGTAATTTGATGTTATCGTGGTAAAATCACATGTATTCCATACGTGTGCCAAAGTGTAATAAATTTCTCTTCGTTTCGATGGAAGTGGGCGGAGTTTCCGTTCTTGTAAAAGTATTCTTTGATTAGATTGATCATGAGCAGTGATCTACGTTAACATTGCTATCTGTCTAACATCATGTTCCCATTGCAGCTAAAACAAAACGAAGGCAGTGGGAATTTACTATTGGAAACATGTTATCAATAACCACATTTGTTGCTATTTTCAATGATATCTGATATAAGAATCAGTATATAAAAAATTTTTTACAATTTCAAAATTTATTTATGTTAGTACTCTGCTTAACAAGAAAAATATTGATTGTGGCTTTAACAAAAATGGATAGTAACCAATTTTATAACTTAAGGTATTGAAGATATTGAAGAATTGAAGGTCAAAAGAATTATTTTTCTTATTATAGTTAGAAATATTTTAACTATAACAGTATTGTTATATGACAATTTTAAAACGCTTTTTTGGTAATCCTGATTTTTAAAATTTGAACATTTTTATGGAACCGTAAAACTTTAAAAAAATAATGGATATATTAACTAAATATTTATATTATATTTATATTTATAAGCCAATAGTAGTTTCAAACATATAATCACACATATGTAAAAAAAAACATTTCTAATATTATTGTTATCTATTGTATTGTAAATATTCTTAAGAGGTTTTGTCTGTATATGCAATAATATTGTATGTATTGTATTATTTATTTTGTATTTCTTATTTTTTTATATTAATTATAAATAAATTAGTATGTGCTTGTAATTAGTTTTGTGTATAAAAAGTATCTTAATTATTTACGTAATATTTAAAAGAAAATTACGTTTCATTATAAGGATTTTTTTAATTAAATCAAAATTTATTTTAAAAATAGAACATAACACAAATGTTTTTAATCGAATATTGAAGATTTAAATATTTTTAAATTTCTGTAGTTTCCCTGTGACATGTAATTTAAAAAAATGTCTACACCATTGAAGAATTTTTGATTTTAAAATTTATAACGATTAACGATTGCATATATTTAACAAATTCTATGAACGCTTTTGTTTGGAGGAAACGGCAACAATATGCCTCTGCAACGACCGTTATATATTGCATTATTACCGAAACAATCAGTTCCTTGAATTTAAACTGCATGATTTTAAGATGGCCGGCATTAGTTAAAAAGTTAGAGCCTTCTTATGGAAGCGGACTTAGAGTTTATATAAAATTCGTATAAAGTTTACCACTGTGACTTGAAAAACCTCATTGAAATACCATAGCTTTTACAAAATTAAAATTAACAATTATAAAAAAACAATAAAAGTAGAAACGAAGTGAAATAATTATTTCGTTGTAATAAATTTACAACATAAAACGTAACGGAATTTTGGTTTTTTATAATTTGCAAAGGCAGCAACGTTTTCAAGATGTACCGCAATAATACTGATATACCAGATGTACATATAATAAAAAAAAAAAATACTAACTGTTTTAACCTGTTTGTGTTGTTGTTGATTTAATATATATATTATTTCTAGGGTGCACTTCGCCACCAATTATATGGATTTAACGATGTGGAATTAAATGATATGCGTAATACATTTACGGATGCCACAAACCCATTTCCATCACCGGAATTATCACCAACATCGCCAAATGCACCATTTCAGTTTTTCTCTTCGAATGTCATCGGTATGCCATTCGGTACATCTGATGCCTATAATCAAAATCAAGTGGGACTTGGCAGATCGACAATTAGCGAAACAGATTCAAGTTCTTCATTATCGAGTTATTCTAGCAACCAACATTTCAATCGCTTCTTGTCTCAACAATCGGAAATGAGCGCTTCACAACAACAACAGCCACAGCAACGTTTGCAACAACAGCTAAATTTAACTGGCGCATTCGCTCAGCCACAAATATCGGTTAGTCCAACCACTGGCAATCATCAGCAACAGAAAGATGACATATCCAAATCTCTTCAAATGTTTGCATATAAAATGGCATGCAAGTCAGAACAAGGTTTGGTTAATTAATTTAAACGATTCATTTTTGTTTAAATGTTCATTTTTGAATAATTATATACATATATATAAATTTTATGTTTTTATAATATTATATTAATATTTATAATATTTTATTAATATATATTTTATTTAATTATTTTTATAATATAAAAATAATTATAATTTTAGAACAAATTCAACAGCAAACACCTAAGGCAAATGACTTAATGCAAGATTTCTCCTACAATGGTTTTACTACCGATGATTGTTTCCAATATCAATATCAATACCCAACAATGCATCCAACAGAGGATGCTAATAAGAACATTGGATTTGATGTCATTAATAGTAATTATTCGTATGGGATCTCTGAGGCGCACAGCAACATCTGGAAAATGAAACCAACTCAACAGTTAACGAAGTCTAATGTTCAGGCATCTAACTTTCAGCCAGCTAAAGAACCGCGTGCTATAAGTATTGGAGTTGCTGCTGCGTCTATGTCGAATTCCGTTGGTGTTGCTCCAATCAAAAAGGTTGATAATAGTAACAATTATAACAAGAGAATACAAAAACGATTCAACGCTGCTAAACATTCTGTAAATGTAAGTATATTATTAAAATAAAAATAAATAAAAATATAATGATAATATGATGTGATTTATTAACATGATATATATATGTATGATTTACTATTTTTTATTTGTTTTTTTTTCCAGTCGGTAATTAAGCATTGCGTTTTCTGCGAAAATAACAATGAACCAGAAGCAGTTGTGAAAAGCCATGCCGTGCGCGATTCACTTGGTAGGGTTCTTTGTCCAAAATTGCGTACATATATTTGTCCAATATGTAAGGCATCAGGTGATGAGGCACACACAGTTAAGTACTGCCCACAAAAACCAATAGTCACCATGGACGACGCTATTAAGGCACAAGCGTTCCGTTTGGCTAAAGGAGGCTTTTACAAACAACAGATGAAGGTTTAAATAAGGAATGAAAAATATCCTCAAATCAAATATATGTACATAAAAAACAAAACTATCTCAAAAACAATTAGTTTTGCACTTAATGTGCATTCGTTATTTTTTTTTTTTTTAAATGTACAAAAGTACATTACGTTCAAGAAAACACATTTTATACCTTTTATCACTAAATTAATTCAATTAATTTAACAGGATTATTCTTGATCAAAGCAAAGCATTTTTATTTTTATTTTATGTCAAAGTTCTTGAACTAATTTGACATATTTTCAAATATATATATTAATCTTTTTGAGTTAATGTAACTTTAGTGCGTAGTTACATAAAAGATCTTAGAAAGAAACGAAAAAAATTTAACTAATCAGATCTAATTCTCTTGCTGAGCAACGAGATATCATTCAACGGTTGTGAATTATTATAAAAATAAAATTATATCATATTCAATTATATGATCTTCAAAAATTATCGCAACAATTTTAAATTTTGACTACTACAGAAGTTTAATGTTATAATAAATTCTGAAAGTATTTTATAATATTTTCTCGTGAATAATAGTTTCTAATGAAATTGCTAATTTTCCTAAAATGTTTCTGTGAGAAAACATTCATATTATACAATATATTAAACTTGATTCTTTTTTTAACGTGTAAGATTGAAAAAACTAAAGGAGATGTTTCGTAACATTTCTTAAAAATTTATATAAAATATAATAGTTTTGTGTTTTGTATACGTACGATTCCGTCAAATTGAAATTGTTTGTTTTAAAATTTAAAAAATAATATTTATTAGTGAAAAAATGTTAAAACGTTCGCGTTTTACACAATTTTTAATAATAAGAATTTTGGTATGTAAACGTTCAAAAGTAGTAATAAACGTTATTTGAAACTGATTAGTGTGTATTTATATTTGTATTTAAACCAAAACATATAGACATAACACCAATGAACTGACAAAACCAAAAGCCATATTGGAATCACTTTTTACAAGTTTTTTTAAATAAAATAATATTAACTAATATGAAATCCTTTCTTAAAATTTGGTAGATAAGTTTTTTTTATTTAAATTTAATTTTAAAAGTCGAATACGATAAAGAAGACTATTTTCCATAAATAACAGTAAACAATTAAAGAACAGTAATAAATCAAAGCAATTAAAACAATTATTTCTCGCTTATAGTTTTTATTTGAGAATCTCATTCTTTAAATACAATTTTCAGTTCAATCTACCATGAAATAAACTATTCAAATGTTATAATATCGAAGTCGGTTACACGCAGTGTGTGTATGGCATTCGGCCAGCGTATGACGCATCAGTCGGAAAGTTCATATTGTTATATGCTATGCCTTCCCCCGTTCTTGCAAATGATGCAATTTTAGAATAAACATTGTGAGCGGTACTTGTATGCCATGGATAAGTGGCTGTGAAATGTAGACGATATAGATATGAACGCTCCTAAAACTGATCGCATAGTCTCACTGTGAACAACTTCCCTTAGCAATATGGTTCTAAGAAATTTAGTGTCTATGGAACACATGATATTTTCGTGCGTTGTTTCCTATTTTATATGCCTATGTTCTAACATGAGCATACCGAATTAACGAATCGTTAATCGTTGTAGGCTTTATAAAGCACATTTTAAGCAAGAACATAAATAGATACCAACGCTTTATTCGGAAGCGGCAGAAAGCTTGTGGAATTTAAGCGAATGTAGATTTGAAAGTGTCGATGTTACCTGAAGTCAAGATGAAGGAATCCCTTTATGTCCCACTCTAACTCATGCATTTATCTTATAATCTAGTCATGTTTTCTCGATAGGTTAGTAAAGCAACACAATGAAGGCATTTTATTACTCCTATAAGGCAGATAGAGAAGTGAAGTTAGTACCTATGTGTTGACGAACGGTTAAAAATATTAATGTCGTCATGAATTTAAATATTTTGGATAACGATAACGACATTCAATCTTCTAGTATATTTCTATAATCGAAAATAGTGACTCCAAAAAGCCACAATTAAAGTTTATTATCTCTAAGAAGCATATCACTGAGATCGCTGAACATTGGAAAGCAGCGATTTGGATACAAATATTGATTCTTCTCATTTCACGTTCAATTGATCTATAAAGTAACACTTCAATAATTTCATCAATGATGCTAGTGTTTTGTACAGATATTTTAGATATTCAGAATACTTTCCTTAAGTTGCATGCCTAGCTAACGCTTGACCAAACCGCAATTAATTGATTGTAATTAATTAAAGCTATTGTGCCTATTACTGTTGATTCAAAATTTTTCCCTATAATTTTAATTGTTAATAATTATACCGTAGAAACATATTAAGTTTAATTCACCATTAATCAAAACATCAAAACTTTATTTTATGGTAATCAAGGTAAACAGTTTATTTAATAGTCAATAGCTATTAACAGTTTATTAAATTCGCTAATTATCTTAAGATACATTTCGATTCATTTCATATTTAGTCTTCTTCTTTACGTTTCTCAAATATTGCAATGAATATTCCATCGGTAAAATCCTTCTCAGGTAGTGCATATAAGCAGTTCTTGCCAATATTCTTATAATTCACATCACCAACGTTTTGCCACTTATTCCGTAATGCTTTTTTACCGCTAAGCAATTTAAATTGTGGATTAATTTGTAGGCAACGTTGTACTACCTAAAATGCAAAAAGAAAAACACTTATTTAATAAGAATGTGTATAATCTCCTCCTATAACTTATATAACCTGTTCATTTTCCTCTGCATACAAGGAACAGGTGGAATAAGCGATACGCTTCACTTTTGAGAAACTCATGGCATGTGAAAGCATTTTGATTTGTAATCCTGCTAATTTTTTAAGACGATCCGGGTTTTTGTCGTCAGCTTCCAATGACATACGGTTTTGCATACCTGAGCCAGAACACGATGGATCTACTAGTATATATTCTACATCTGGGCAACGTGTGCTATCTACATATAAAAAAATGTATTGATTATTAAATTTTACAGAATCCGCGAGTATATGTATTTTATTTACCACACTTTAACGCATCTGCATTTATCGTTTTCACTATTTGGCAGCCTGCGGCTTCCGTCATATTATTTAAAACGCGATAACGGTCGGTATCTTGTTCTATAGCGAATATTGTACCTTTGTTTTCCATCATATTACATAAATGAATAGTTTTCATACCGGGTGCAGCGCACATATCTAATACCACCGACCCCGGTGGGGGATTAAGCAATTCTGCTACCAAGCAAGTAGCCTATTGTTATATACGAATATATAATTAAATATAATATATATGTATATATATATATATATCAATTTATTTAATTACCTTATCTTGTAGCATGAACTTCTTGCTGCGAACGAAGTCATGGCATGCCCAATAATGTTTCTGTTTACCACAAAATACGAATAAATTGCTTATATGCATATCAGTTAAATATTCCGCTTCCTCCAGATCGCATATGGCTTTAAGATAATCGTTATAAGATTCAAAAGTTGGATGCTCTTTTTTAACCCATTCTTCATTAGCCAACATTTCATGGGCATCATTGACGGCAAGTAAATTGGTGTTGACGCGCACATAGCGAGGTTTAACATCTGTTAAGACAACATTAAATATTCAGTAAAAATGCCATTTAAAATTATTTTCTAAGTTTTATTTATGAACTTAAATTTTACAATACTGTTCATGATATTATGATAATTAATTCTCTTTCTTTTCATCTGCTGAGGGCTCTTCATTCTCTCGGAATGCCTTGAAAACGTATAAACATATTATGCCGTTAACAGCTAGAACCGCTGCTAGCACTGAGAAACAGTTTGTCTGGAATACAGTAAAGTCAAAAGATGTCTGCAGCCACGAATGAACACCATAGTACGTTATGAAGGGAAACGTAAACATTAGTACACTAAATACTAACAACCACAGATAAGTAGAGACGGTTGAGTCATGTAGTACTGGAATGACAATTTCTTCCTCCTGAGTTTTTTGCTCAGTTTTCTTTGTTTTTAGTTGAGTTGTGTTTTCAACGTTAAGCCTTTCCTTACCCATAATAACAAGTGCTATATATTAGGAAATTTCAAGTAAATCTTGCCTTTTTTGCGTTCCGTTCCTAAGTTTTTATCTTTAAAAAAACTCGAAAGTCGTTCGTGATAGTCACGCACGGTAGTTACAGGTTTGCTTTCGCCAATCAGTTGTTTGCGACCGAATATCAATTCTGTAACCAAGATTTTACACAATACAGGACATAAGCGTGGATTCTCCTCAATGATTTTTGTTTCTTCAATTGCGTTATCAATAGCACCGCGATTATCTACGTATTGTTTTAGAACCGCTTGCATTCCACGTTTGTTCTAAGAAAGTTAAAGAAAATGGTTTGACAGTTAATTGATGTTTGACGTTTTATTGTTGCACTTTTGTTACCGCATGCTTCTCTTCATAGATTAAGCTTTTTAAAGAAATTTTTTGGTTACGAGCTAAAGCAGTTTTTAATAATGCAGTACAACGTCTATATTGCGTAGGTACTTTAACCGAATGTTGAAACTTTGAATTCGATTCTTGAGCCATAATAAAGAATGCAACCACAAAACGAAAACAACACGTGACCACTAACACAAGACAAGTACCTTTAAATGTCAAACACGATATGAGTGTAGATATGAAACTCATACTCAAAACACATTTTTAGAAATTTAGTACTGTGGATGATGTGAACATAAATTATTTTAAATATGCTTGGCTCTTCACGACTTTTATGTAGCATGCTAAACTTATGCCCATTTTTTTGATTATTAAGTAGTTGGTAAATAATTTGAATCATGTGTTCATGATGCAACCATTCTTTGAATTAGCTATAACCACCTTATGTAAATGCAATTTTTTGGAGGTGATCTTAAGACTTTTAATGAGATCTACTCTCTACATTAACGATTTTTCTATTTAACGTTTTATATACAAGTGCAGGAAGGTATATCAATACATATAATTTAGTTTCACAAATTCATATTTAATTACCACAATGAATTAAACGCCCCAGTAATTTTAAGTGGTAGGGAGTGAGCATACAAGGCAAAGTCTCTAACTGCATTTAATTTTGTAAATCTGAGAATGATGCTTGTCACTGTTCTATTCAATTTGAATTACATTGTAGCCCTCTCTGGATAGCTAAAACCATCCGTCTGTTGGGAAGAAACATGTGCAGCGAAACCTCACTTACAAGGATATGATGTGGGTACCATCATATACAATACTCCTCCAATGAAAACGGATTGGATGCTTTGAATTAGGATACAACATACTTATACATCTAGTATAACATACCAATACATCAACCATGCACTAATCAATAAAAGACTTTATTAAAATCCGTATCAAAACAAAATGTTTCTACATCAGCTTTGTTTTTTTATAGGTCCACACGCCCCGACGTAAGATAAAGATAATAATACCAAGCTCTCGCGCTTTCTATAAACAGCTTGAATAAAAATATAAACGCTGCTTACATCATGACATCAAAATAGTTTTATAAGACTTCAATATTAAGATGGGTAAAGAATATTTCTGGTTGATTGATTTCGCCACGGTAAGAAACATGGTGGTTAGCAGTATCAGACTCCAACATCTTGACAATGTAACGCATATGACTCTCCTCTGACTAAAATACAGGGTCTTAAGGCATACTTAATACCCGCAAAAATTAGTTCGCGAACCTATTAAATGGCGATAGTAGTGATATGATTAGAATCGAACTTCATCTCAAAGTGTTGTTTCTACTATATTAGAAAGGTGTTTGATTCGGTACCCAGTGGTAATAAAGTGATGGCGGATTGATGTATCTTCGGTTGAAGTAATTTTCGTTTTAGTCAATGATAACACATGTTCTGTTAAATATAATCGGTCATTTTTGTATATATATTATTGAAAAATTATTAATATATGAATTATTTTATTTCTATATTCTTATATATCATATAACAAATGAATTTATAAATTTATATAAGAAATTCAAATTTGAGCTATTTGATGAGATATTAAATTAATTCAAAGGCTAGCTCGACCTTATATTAAGTTTATTCTTATTAAATAAGAATAAGTATAGTTTACATTTTATTACGATCATTGCTTAAGTTTCGAGCGTTCGAGCTTCGACGCGACTATATAATAAATCCTATATATTTTATATATAGGATATATATTATTAAGTGAATATTTATTTATTATATTCCCTAACTATTTCAAGAATACAACTCAAAAGTATTGTATATTATTACATATTACTTATGTATATTTTTTTAATATAATAATTAGTGACAAATGTATATTTAACTATTAAAATTAGGTATTTAAAGAATTAAGAGATATTATAATAAAACATAATATAATAAATGTACATACTACAGAAAACTCGTCCTTTGAAATCCGTTAATTTCATCTTAAAATAAAATTATGTAAAATTTCTATCTAAAACTTATTGTAATAATAAGTTTAACTATCAATGAAGCTAAGGTACGATAATTGAATCTATTACGAGACATTTTTTACAAGATGTAATTTTGTAGCAATGGGTCGAGTCGATGATAGCAATTGGGGTGAGTATGATGATGCTGTCGTTGAAAGAAATTCTGATATCGACGGTGGTTGTTCACCTCGAAATGGTCCAAATTGAGGCGTGTAACGTACAAGTTGTTCAAGTTTTGAAAGGCCATGCTGTTTGCGGATATTTGAATTAATTTCTCGAGCATCCAACTTTGGTGGTAATACTAAAGAGCTGTCGATTAGGGCTTTCCCATCAAAAGTTATTACAGCACCGCTGTTTGTATCTGGTATTTTTCTGTTGTCTGGAGGTAAATAATATGTATCGATCCGTTCAGCAGCCTGTGCTTCTTTGTCTTCTTCATCTTCATCTTCATCTTCTTCTGTTTCTTCAATATTTATTTGTAATTGTTCGTGACTCGTGTTGGGACCTAAATCAGTTTTCGTTTCGTTATCTGTCGCAATTGCAATATTATCTTGGTCGTTTTCGCTTCTATTTGTTGCACTGATACTTAAATCTATTTCTTCATTTTTCTCAAATTCCTTATAATCGTCATTCTTTTCCTTATTATTTTCTTTTAATTCGTTGAAGGTTGCATTTCGCAAATGTTCAGCGGACGGCATATCATCGGAAATAACATTATGAAAGAGATCAGTGTGCTTTATTGAAGGGGAACCGAGTTTTGTGATTACAATTGTCTCATTTGTGCTGTCGGGTGGTGATGGAATGAACATGGGCTCAAAATTTTGGGTTTGGGCCTCATTTTGTGCTGATAAGAACAATGTATCTGTTTCCATAACTTCATCAATTTCAGAGCCAGGATCTTCACGACGATGTGCAATTTGATCTACTCCCTCAGGTAGGACAATATCTTTGTTAATAATCGGGCGAAAACCACTTTCAACGACTACTGAATCAGGCTGGAAACCATTGTTTACTGCTGGTTTCATTGTGGCTATTTCTACCGATGAGGGGTTTTCTTTAACTTCATGTACATCAAAAGGTTTTTTAAATGCATTATTTGGCTTATTGACAGGAAAATTAGTTACGGAATTTAAGTTTTCATTGCTATGGCTAGATGGTTGGTTGAGGTATACTGGTTCTTTTTTTAAAATGTTTGTATTTTGTGCAAAAACATTATTGTGTTGTGAGTCCTGTGGGATTAAATCACTGTAAGGAACTGGTATAATAGGTTTTACATTGGCAGTTTCAGCTTTTCGTTGGCTTACTAATTCAGTATATTGACCAAGTAGAAGAACTGGTGTGCGTATCAAAGGTTTATCCGCAAAAAACGGTTTGTCTTTTAAAAGTGGTTTCATTAAACCTGGTATTGGAGGTTTTCTGTAGTGACTTATAATTAATGAGGATTGTGGTACAGCAGCCATTAGTTGCTGTTGTTTAATTGGATTTCGTGGTAAATATTGGGGAAGCACAGGCTTTGGCGTTGGTACCTTTTTAAGTGGAGCAGGGTATGGGCGTCTACCTGGTAGTTTTACTGGATGGAAAAGTGGAGCGTTTTGCGGTGGTCGCAAATATTCCGAGAGTCCTATTGTTTTTTGTGACTGTGTTGGAAGATTTGTAAAATTATTTGGATGATGATATAAATGAGATGACAATGCATGTAATATATGAGATGGAGGTGATTGGTTATGAGATAGCGAATGTGGATTAAAACTAATGAAACTTGGTTGATTATGTAGTTGTGTTTCACCATGTAATATTTCAGGAGTTGCTGTGGAGATGTAAGGCTGAAGCGGTAATTTTCCGGAAGATGGCGGTATTTTGAGTAAACCAATTGCGACTGTGTTTGGCTTCACATTTGTGGACGGGACTTTGTTTAAGGGGTAGTTGTATTGATTATTGATTAGATTGGCACCTGGTGATCCAACACTGTTGTCACTATTATTGCTTAAGTTGCCACTTTCACTCCGATTCCTTACGATACTCTCCTCGAGAGCCTCAGCAGCGCGGATTCCATCTGAAATCAGTTTAGTAATTTCCGATGATTTTGTTATTTCAAAATTTAATTTTGGCGGAGTTCCATTCATATTGTGATTCTTAATTAAATCTGTTTGGTGCATCAATAAAAAATTAACGTTGGGGCTGACCTTAGTTTCATGGCGAATCGAAGATTCGGCTGTTATGTCCTCATCATCAGCAGTAGGTGCAGGCAATAGAACTTCATGTTTTTCAGATGCAGCAGTAGCAGCTTTATCACAAGTGTCATGTACGTGAATCTTCCAACCGAGGTATCGATGTGTAAAGCAATGGTAATAAACTGTATCGGGTGTATTATGGTCTGGCTTCCACGTAATAACCTCAGGTTCACCAGGATCGCATTTGAGAGTTAAAGTACGCTGATACGCTCCAAATGATTGATAGTCATCTGCTGAAGGTCCATCAACATCTGGCGTCCAATTACAAAGGCGACCGACGCCTGTAGGCGTAAGCTGACCAGATCGTGCGCGATGTACACCCGCGAAAATTCGAATTGACTATGAAAAAAAAATTAATAAAAAAAATTTAAAATCAAAGTACAAATTTTTTATAGACCTTTTTCTCTTCTTCACGTTTGTGCTCGTAACCACCGACAGGGTCGTCGGTTATATAAAACGGATGATATTTAGCGGGAATATCTGGATTATTACCGCCTTCAACAACGAAGGTATATGTCTTACCTCTCACGACGTGTATTTCTGGTATTAATAAGCCATTAATATACCACGATATGCCCCACCCAACGTGCCCTTAGTAGAAGAGGTAATAATAATTTAAACAGAAAATAGATTAGTGCGGAAATTAGTAACAAAAAAACGAAACATACCAGTTATTGCAGGATAGCCATGCTTACCACCCGTTGGACCCATTTGTGCATAAAAAACACCATCCTCTGGTTCGTAGCACTGTATAGCTGGAATATCCCATGCTCCATTGGTGTTAGAAGGCTTTGGAGTTGGAACTGGTCGTGCCTGTTGGGATGCGGCTTGTGATTCTCTACGAGTGTTTGGACGTTGCAAGTTTTGTGGGCGGTTATCATAAAACTCTTCTTCTTCTTCATTTTTCCAACGGTCATTATTTAAAGAAGGCGTGCTGGCTGGCGGATATCCTTCACCTAGTGTATCTTGTTTAGTGTCTTGCTCTTCTTCACTCTCGTCGGATGAGGAACTCGATTTGGTAGCTTCTGGCATGGGACAATTCCATGTAGGCTGACGTCCAAAATCAATTTTATGCGTCTGTTTGGTGTAATGACTATGGAACGAGGTTTCCTTACGTTCATTCAACGGACCAATAGCCCATACAATAGCTTCAGAACCATTTATTGAAATTGGAAGATCTAATCTGTCAGTAGCTTGTAATGAACGTTGATAAGTTACGATTGAATATCCATTCACCATTGCAGCATTTAATAATCGCAAGGAATTGGTGTTTTCCTATTTATTACTAGAATTAGAAATGTTAAAATAAAAGTCGTTCGGATTTCTTTTACCTCGATGTTGACATCGGGGCAGGATCCTCGCCCACCCGAACATTGTGACTTATCATCTAAGAAGTAATCCTGAGCAAAGCCCTTTCCTGTAGCCTTGTCTACCCAAGCAACAGCTACATCGGAACCAATCATCTGAGTGCGATCCTTATTTGGTGAAATACCAAAGCTCATGTACTCATTTTCGGCTATATCATAATAAATAAACAATAATTCGTTTTACCATACGTTTTATTTTTAATGTAAAAATATACTGTGGTAAATAGCAAGAATGTAACATGTGTTGGGAACGGGAAAAGTATACCAGTAACGCTTCTTTGCACAAAAAAATATTTTAATCAATCATTTACAGCTAAAAATACCGTTTTAGTAAGTAGCCTAAATAGGCAAATCAACCGGCTTGCAAAAACTTAATAACCTAAAGACTTGACATAATTGCAGATGCGGTAGTAACCGCAAGACTCGCGACGCTTCTCTACTTCGGGCATGACAAATTTGAGAAGAACAAGAGGGTTTCATGTGCTCCGCTACAATGGTTGGGAGTAGGGAGGGATGCTCAGTATGAAGTTGTTACAGCCGCATGCCTGTTCTGGCATAATTGCACCATAATTGGCATGAGTTGAAATGCATAAAGAAGCCAAGTAAACATAGCCAAGTAAACACAGAACAACAAGACGGTATAGAACTTTGGAGTTCCACTGATGCCTACCACTGATGCCTACCACTGATGCCTACTAACATTGCCAGACTGCATGTTAGTGGAATTCGCTGTTATTACGTATAAAGCTATAATGGTGCAAAAATGCCATCTCTTGTGTATGTGCGCAATTTGCGACTCCTTGAGGTTTTTTTGGTGGTATGTATGGTAAGTATATTGTCGTATTGCGCAATAACCTGTTGCTCGCTGACATTGTTTGCAACTCGTTATTCCGCAAACGAATCCAAGTGAAGCGATCAATTTTAAATCACATAAAAAATGATGTAAATATATTTACATTGTCTCTCTTATTTGGCCCGAGTACTCCTGAATTTCTGAATATTAATACAAATATTTACATATAAAAACCTCTTATAAACTAAATACATTTTGATATGTCAATTAACTCATTTGTCAAACCCATGACATCTTCATGTAGATAAAGATATTAGTTTAAACTTTTCTAAAGGTATACTAATACTCCTACTATAAGATAAATGGGGCATATATGAGGAGAATGAAGCATTTGTCTGTTTGTGTAAGATTATTTCTTGACATCTTCATGTAGATAAATTTATTAGTTTAAACTTATTTAAAGGTACTACTACTATAGTATAAGTACAAGGTACTTGTGCTCCTACTATAAGATAAATAGGGCACATAAGAGGAGAATGAAGCATTAGTCTCTTTGTGTAAGTTCACTTCAGCATTAAGTTGGGACACCACAATTGGGCTGGTTGTAATATTAACCAACATAGCTTTTTAATATAAATTTCTACTTTCTTGAAGTTTTTTCGGTTAAAAATTAATTTTAACGATGGGTTGTCAAACAGATCTTCTAAGAAAATCATGTGTTTATGTTCTGTTTTGTTAAATATATTGAAATAATATCACACACTCTCTCCAAAAGAGGCACAACTCGAAGTTCGTCAATTTTGAGTTAATATATGGAACTTGCTTATAGTTTACCTGTTACCTGTCTACCAAACCGCAAAATTCAGTAATATCTCTTTTTTTTTAGGAATGACACTACGTTGAAAAAATTATTTTTTCATTTTGTGAAAATCGACTAATTTCGAGTCGTGGCTCTTTTGAAGAGGGTGTGGAATATTTAAGAAAAATTTTCAATCATTCGATGCAAAACTGTCGTGAAGTGTTATTTACTTACCCAATTTGGCCACTAATTGTATAACGATGCTCTCTCCAGCTACAGCCCAACGGACTTCGAACGCCAAGTCATCATACAAAACTTCACAATTCAGCTTTGACTGGATCCGTTTTGGTTAGGTGTGAATAGAAAAAGAATTTAACAAAAATCATTTATAAGGAAACCAACCCACAAAAAATTTAAGCTAAAGCAGCGAAAGTTTGAGGAAGTAATAAATTGGCTAAACATTTTTAGAAGAGATTGAGGAAGCCCTCTACCACTGTTTAGTATGCAGCATGTCTAGATTTGTTTGTGTTTTTGAATAAATATCGATACATATTTTTGTGGATGAATATACAAAATGAAAATGTTTTTCGTTTGAATTTTAAATATTTAAAAATAAAAATATAATTTGGAATTTATGTTGAGTGAACAGTTAGTATTAAAAGAGAATAAAGGAAGGAGATAGATAGTTAATGATAGAAAATAAAATATATTTTAATAAATAAGCTTGAGAGTTTTCTGAAATACACTGGAAGATGCATAAATTTGTGCGATAGAAGCAGGATTTTCTCTGTTATACCAATCAAACCAAGTTAAACTAAGGAACCAATTTCATTTTGTATTATCCAAAAAAATATATAAAATAAATATTCAAAACACGAGTCTTTTATTGTTTAAAAATATATAAATTTTATTAAATATCAATAATAAACACGTATACAAAATAAACCTTAAAATAAATATATATAATTTTGCAGTACATGCCAAAATAATTTTCGATCAAATTAAAATTAGAATAGAAAATACGTAAATTCATTTCAAACTTAAACTAGTTATATGTCTTCTTCAATAAATATAATATACTATAACATGAAAATATATAAGGAATTAAGCACTAAACAAACGATTGAGTGTATATGAGCAATGTAGGCTTCAACGACACAATCTATTTTCAAGGCTCTAAATCATTGAGAATTGTTTTGTAGTGTTTTTTTACCTGTGGACTTATGCCGAGCATTTTCAATGAAGGTGGCACATTAAGGCCTTCGGGTACACGCACATGGCCGAAATCAACCGTGAAAGCTTCACACCAAACACCAAAGTGGCCAATATCGAAAATGGTGAGATCTCCGGGTAATGTAAGAACAATAGTTTTTCTATCATATCGTCGTAATGGATCTTCTTTTCCATTCTCGTCAGGTATGCGAAGACCTTGTGGAGTTGGACGCTGACCACGACCAACCCAAAATTTAGCATCTGAAATTCAAATTTCTCATAAAAGTTTGCTTATGAATGCTTATTATACTACTATATTGTTGCACTCTGTAGGATAAGTTGTAGACTTATTAAATCACTAAGTTAAAGAATATGTAGCGGGAATCACCCTGAACATAAATTTTAAATATAAAATGAAAACGGTTTGTGAAAATAGGTTAAGAGGTGGACCCATATTTTGTTTACCTACAATAATTACTTAAGTACTTATAAATTTGAGTTGGTATAAAACTGAAACAGATTATTTAAAAGGTTTTCTAGAGAGTCATCTTAGTAGTCAAAATTTTTTTCATTTGAAGACAAAGTTTTCTGTTTATTTTATGGTTTCAGACGTTCTAAAAAATACAATAATAACAATCTATAGTAATAGATCTTTTTCTTTAAATCTGTTTATTTGAAAAGAAACAATTCTTACTGATTTTTTCTATAATTTGGGAAATACTTCGCATAGGTGATCAAAATCTTCTCATTTCAAAATAAACAAATTCAACTGATTTTTTCATGATTGACAAGGTTTTGGAAGACAGAATAATCCCGATTAGTAATTAAAATCTTCTAAATTGAATATTAGCAATTTACTGAATTTTTTTATGATTCAAGAAGTTTTATATGACGGAATAATCATGATTAGCAGTCAAAATCTTGTTTAAGGACGAAGAATTTCTATGGATGTGCAATTAATTCTAATTTTTAGCATCAATTAATAATAATTTTATACATTTTTATTACTCAGCTTTGTCATATTAAAGTTATTAGTAATCAAAACACAAATTTCTTTTCATATTCAAAATAGTTGAAAACTTAGAAATTTTGTATCCAAAACTTCTAAATTAGCTCTACGAATACTAGTACTTACCTGGTGCTTCGCCATCATAACTGAAATTGGGAACTAGCAATGTTTGTGCATCAACGATGACAATACTGTCGGAACCGACACCATGCACACCTTTCAATGCATTAATTTTTTGTGGTCTGGGAAAGTCCAAATTGCTTGGTATTGAGACATCACCAAAATTAACAGCGAATTCATCACACCAGACCGAAAACCATTTAATGTCACGCAGCGTTTTGCCATCTGGCAACGAAAGTGTTATGTGCTTATTGCGATAACGACGTGTCAGAGCTGTATTTCCACCACGTTCGTCACGCAAGCGGTATGCCCCTTCGTTGCTGGGCTTATTTGTGTGTCCCACATAAAAATAGGCGGCTAGTTTGATCAATTAAAATGAAAAGTATATATGTACACAATATAATACGAGTAGTAGTTTATATTAAAACAATTATATAAAATGTTTAGTAAATAACAGCTCATAAGTAAAGTTAAATGAGTAATTTCATTCCTATTAATTATAATTAATTACAATGCTAATTATTTAAAATACCTGGTGCTTCACCGTCGTAGTTAAAATTTTTAATAAATAAGGTACGCGAATCTACGGCATACACATCACCAGATACACCATGGTGTAGGCGTTTAAGAGCTCCTATTTTTGTGCCATAATATGGAAATGAGGCGTTTGTTTGTAGAAATACTGCAATAAATACAAAAAAAAAAAAAAATTAAGCATATTAAATTAAACACTTAGGAAACAAAACAAATTATATATCTATAAATATTAATTTAATAACATATACATATCACTAAACTGAAGTAGCAGCGTTTGCTTTGAACATAACATTTCAAACAAAAGACTTAAGACACAAACTACTGTGATTTTTGCTTTCAGTTGATTGTAAATAATTTAAAAACAATGCCGTGAATATGAGCAAAAATTAATGAAAATAATATTTTATAATATTGTGTAATAATTTGACATTGTAAATTGCAAACAAGTTAATTTAAATATATAACAAAACTTTTTTCAAGGTACAAAATATAGATTGGAGTATACGTCTCCAGAAAATAAACTTCTAACAATCAGTATAAAAGATCTATTAAGTTCATAGTGCTTCACTGGTTTATTATTTTTAAGATTGCTTTAATTAATATAATTTGTTTCCAGAAATTAAGCAGATTTAAATACTGTAATTAAGGATCAGTATGAAGTTGAAAGATTGCGTGAATGCCACAATTAGTTGATTGATACAAAAATAAATAAAGTGAAATGAGACAAATAATTACAACCGACAAAATCTATCCTTCAAGATACATTATATTATGTCAATATTCATAAAACCGAAGCAAAAGGCGCTAACACCTAAAAAGATACAAACAGCATAGCAAGGTTGACAAAGATGCAGTCATGAAAAAAAGACAAATAAAGGTTCGGAGAACAATTTCTCACCAATACTCGTAATGCTGATAACGATGAAATTAAACACTAATTGAAAAGTGTATATATTTTGAGTGTTAAAATCTAAAAGATGAATCACAAACTAAATGGTTAGCTTAAACTTAAACCTGTCTTGATAATATATTACTTTTGAAAACAAATACAATAGTTAAATAGTTTACAATAGTTAAACGTAAATATATTAGTAAGACGTAAATAGAAAATAATTTAAACTAATTTTAGCCGGGCATTCACATTCTCTCTGTGAATGCCTGGCTTTGGCGTCCAGAAGTTATAGGTTCTTAGGAAGATACTTCTTTGATAGTTTATCTGACTGTTCATCGGTGAAGACGAAATACCTATTAAATTATGTAAATTCGGCGGGATGAATTTAGTCTCTACTCTTCTATACTAGGCGAAACGGCGAAAAATTGCTAATTGAGGTACATGGAAGTTAACTAATAGCCTGCCACTGCAACCAACCAACCAACCATATTTTGTTAAATAATTAGCTGAAGTTTTCTATGACACATATTATTTGCAAACAGTTTCTTCAGTGTAGTGAACTCATGCTATCACTCTCCATTGTTAGTATATATTATGTATTTTAAATTTTTGCATTGTTGACTAAAGTATATATAATAAATTACCTTTTATTTATTATTTTAAGTTCATTAAAAGTAAATTCGAAAAAATGAATCCCAAAATGTTTGTTTCCAAACTTTTGTAAATTTCAAAATTAAAGTTTGGCCTTCATGTGAACTTTCTCATTTGTTTTTATTGTTTTGAAGATTTATAATCTAAACAAATCGTAAAAATATAATAAAACAAAGATGAACATAATTAACTATGTAAAAATATGTGATTTTGTTATTACAACATAATTACTCAGTGAATTCACACAATCATAGAAATTGCTAATTATCATAAAAACTACAAGAGATTTTGGTTTTGGGTGTATACGTTATATACTCTTGTATTGTAATACCCAATAAAATAATTAGAAGTACAAAACTAAGACTTTATTATTACATAATTAATGACACCAAATTTTCATTGTTCTTTTCCAACCGAGCAACTAATTAACACCAATACAAAAATTAGCAAAAAAATTAAAAACAAAAAGTTATCTTTGGCCTCATCGAAGTTTCAACACACTTTACTCAAACAGTTGTACTGAAATAATTAAATAATTTATTCACAATTTTTATATTTTTTAAAAACATGAATTCATTTTTGATAGTTACTTTATATGGATTCTTACTCTAACTGGACTCACAAAAATCCCTGTAAGAAATATGTTTTGATTGGTTAAAAATGTCAGACTGATTTAAATACAAATAGTTAGATTGACTAACTGTTATACTGATCAAAAATATAGTTAATATGATCTCTGTTGTGATGCCCTTGTCACTATGTCATAAATATTTTAATATGCTTAATATACCTTGTATTCAAGACATTGTAAACTAAACATGACAATGTACATAGCGATGCTGGCTTGATTCAATCTAGCCATTCCAATTGAAGTTATTTTCTACCAACTTGCAAGCATGATTCTGTTCTTTATATATGAATAGATAACTATATTTTATTATTATTATTAAGCCTTGCTTGGCGTCACATGATTCCAAGCTGCCTCTATACTGGGCATAGGCTGTTTACAAATTGCCTCTATCTTTACCACTTCTTACTGCCACTTCTCCGAGCTCAACAATATTGATGTTCTATCTGCCAAGTTGTGTGGATTGGCTGTTACATTCGTTTAGTGTTGATCTGCACCAGGTAATCTTAGGCATTCCTCTTCTTCAACTGCTTTGCGGATTATACGTAAGAGCTTGAAAACAATCCAGTCAAACCTTCTCTTGCGTATATATGTGTTGATGTCGTTTGTATTCGTTATAAATAACTATAAAATCATCAAAATTTTGTATCAATAAAGGCCAGTTGGCACTGAAAGCTGAAAAATTGTAATATCTGTTAATTAAGATGAATAAAGTAACACTCATCTGGATTTCTGCGCATCGTGTATTCAATGGTTTTAAAACAGCTGATAAATGTGCAAGCCAGTTTAACGAAACCTTATGGCCACAACTCACAAATCAGACAACTCACAGAACATATTATTGAATCAATTTCAATTGATTCAATTGAGAAGATTTTAAAAGTTATTACAATCAATGGAATTCAGTTGATAGTTTTGAAAACTCAAAAATAACCATATTTGATAAATTCTAATTGTTAGCGAGGCGTCAAAAATCAATACCTTATAGAGTAGTTATCCAGTCAAATGTTTAGTCAACAGCACAGTCGTACTATTTATATTAAATATCGTAACTATTGTTAGTACGTCAAGTACTCTCAATACAAACCAAATTGAAGAGATAAAATTCTGTTTACACACGGTATATGTACAATATATACAATAAGATGGAATGGATGATATATATTATTTAACAAAGGATGATCCGCAATACATATATATTATTGAAAAAGTTTAAGTGCACATGCATATTACTATAAACCTTTTATAAAGTAAGAGCGTTTACGTTTGCGTTTGCATTGATTATTTCGAACAAAAGACTTAAGACACAAACTACTGTGATTTTAGGTTAAAATAGATTGTGAATATGTAATTTAAAAACAATGCCGTGAATATGAGCAAAAATAAATGAAAATAATATTTTGTGATATTTTATAATAGTTTGCATTGTGAATTGCAATATAGCTTAATTTAAATATATGTTAAAACTTTCATTTCTATTTCACAAAAGATCTAGAATTAAGTTTAAGTTTAATTACATTGATATATGCAGACTTACTGTCAAATTCAAAAAACTTAAGTTTTATTCTAGTGAATATCTGGGTTGACCATGTAGCTATTTCTGATACCGCCAAATATCCATCAGCAGTAGTCTTTGAAAGTATATATTGGTTTTATTGTCTGTACATAATTATAAAAATTTTAATTTTATATACACGTATTTATGTAAAGATTTTCCCAAAATCGGCGATATAATTACCAAGTCTATTTACAGTAAATGATTTGAGTTCGCATTTGACTTCGTTCATAATTTTATAAAGCTTGGTAATGCCTCTACAAACAGAATAGTATTGAAATTGAACAATTAAAAATAAAAATATAATTAATTAATTCAATTATTCTATAGCTGGTTTAGGATTTCGTTCTAATATAAATCAAGCAAGTGAGTTTGTTAATAGAACTTTCACAGCAGAGTAACAAAACTCCAGAAAAATGTGCGAACATAAAAGTCAAGTACGGCTTTGGGTCAGTTGGTTAAGGTGCGCTGACTCTGAGCTTTAAATTTAGCAGGGCAGGAGTTCATTCCCTGGTACTTGCAGTCTCAAAATATTATTTACAAATAATTAAATACAAGGCCAATACTAAGCCCAATGATGATGGGTATTTGACAATATTCGAAACAGCTGTATGGTTAGACATAAATTCAATTAATTAAAATGATATAAAAATGAATTCTTGTTGTTGTAGTTCATTACTGTCCGAAAAACCTCTTTATAGAGTTTGATTTATTAAAATTTGATTCCAGGAGAAGGAGGATTTACTTCAGTATTTACTGATCGTTGCAAAAATTAAGTATAACTGCTTTATTTATTATTATTTCGTACAACTTTTATTTAGTTTATATAATCTAAATTGTATTCATAATGAATATATTATCTTAATTAAAATAATGGATTCGCTATTTACCTATTAAAACCTTTGGATTGCATTTGAGTTGCTCGTAATTCATTTTAAAGCCAACAATTTTTTATACGGAAATATCTGAAGTTCCAAGTAGATATCAGTGTTTGGTAACTACGAGTACCCACTTATGGTCATTTTAAATGGACAATGAAATACTAATTCAATGCAAAAGTTGTAAAATTATGTATTGTGTAGTTTATATGTGTGTAGTAGGAAAGTTGAGTGTGATGAGGAATAACGTTGAATTTGTCTATGTGCTCGTAATACGGGTATGATATGCATACTAAACGCTAAATAAAATAGTTTTATTAAGCTCTAACATAGACCTTGCCAAATGCGATTTTATGTTATTTTTGCAGAATTTCAGTGCAATTATTTGCGCTCTTGCCTGAGCTTACCTGAACTTGCTTGAGCTTGTCTGAGCTTGACTCAGCTTGACTCAGCTTGGCTAAGCTTGCTTAAGTTTGCCTAAACTTGCTTCTTGTATGCAAAAGGCGTTGGCGCAATTTACTCTATAACTGCGAATTACAAA